AAAAGGCTTTTATACTTATAAATAGATCGAGTCTATTTCGTTAAAGTAATATCTTTATTATTATTTATATAATCTATATCTTCGCTATTTAAGTTCTTATTATTACTAATATCTTCACTCTACTAATTAATTAGCTTTATAATATCGCTCTTACTTTTTATCTCTATAATCTTTCTACAAAGAGAATATCGTTATCTTTTACTAAAAAGAGAAGTTAAATAATTATCTCGATTTCGCTTAGATTATATTAAGCTTACGCGTTTTATATTTAACTTCTTAAGTTCGACGTCTATAGATAGTAATAATAAGCGAAGCTAAATAGCCTTCTTATTACTAATATTCTAAAGGTTTTATTAATCTTTAAGGATAATTTCTCTAATATTAAAACGCCCGGATTAAGTATATCTTAGTCTTCTTATAATAAGTATAATTATTATATATATCGCTTTAGTATATAAAAATCGCTTAATCGTATAACTAATATATTTAAGATAATTTTTATCTAGATTTATTAACGCCTAGCCCTTAATAGTCTATTCTTAAATCTTTCGAATAGTTATAATATATTTATTCTTACGATTTCGATTTTCGCTTACTCGCTTTTATAGATTCTTTAAAAATATCGAATTTAGGGTATTATAGGCGTTATACTTTATATTAAAACTAGCTTTTTAAAGTCCGTCGTTTATTATTATCCCCTATACCTCTATTAATATCTTATTTATAATTTTCGAGCTATTTATAATCTTTTCTAGTATATCTTCGATTAATATTAATTATACTCTATCGTTACCAGCTTATATAATTAGATTATATATTCTTTATCTAATATTTTAAATTAATACTTCCTTTAAAGCTTTAATATTAAGAGCGAGAATAAAGCTAGATATTATAATATAAGATTAGAATAAAATTAATGGCCCGAAAGACTAAAAGAAGTTATTAAAAGAATTTAAAAGGTGAAGTTAATTTAAAATATTTTAAAATATTTTAAAATATAAGAAAAGGAAACTTACGAATAACGAAAGTAAATATTAATAAAGATAATAATAATAATAACTAGATTAATAAATAATAATTATTACATTTAATTAACTAGTATATTTTACTAGCGCTTTTTAATCCTCTTAAAAAAATCGTAAATTTTAAAATTAAAAGTTGAAATTTAGAGGAGGGGAGGGCTATTTAAACTATATTAGAGATAAAATATATAGTTAAGATAATAGTATTATAATTTTAGACTCTAAATAGATATTAGACTATAAAGGCGCGCGGCGCGATTTTATTATATATAGATTATTAATTTAAACTAATATCGAAGCTTATATCTTAAATAGTAATATATAAATTATATAGTTTAATATTAAGACGTAAAATCGCGTAGCGCGCTTTTATCGTTTATAGCCCTCTTCTAATCGTAGTTTATCTTTATTTACCCTCTAATATATAAACTAGACCTAGCTCGTAGTCTACTTTTTTTTTTTAACTTTTTTAAACTATTTTAGAAATTATATTACTTTAATTATCGTTATTCGATTAAAATAAATTTATTTACTCTTTTAATAGTCTTTTCTTTTACTTTATTATTATAGCTAATATAAATATAACCGCGAATAACGATTAGACTTTCTCTAACGTAATTACTATCGCGATAACTAGTAATAAGTTATATAATAAAATAACTAATAATAAGTTATATAATAAAATAGCTAATAATAAGTTATATAATGAAATAACTAATAATAGATAGTAAGATAAAGCTTTGATATGGATTTAATATCTCTTTTATATATATTATTATTAATATAGCTATTAGCCTAGTCTTAACTCTAAATTAGAAGTAACTTAACTCGAGAAATATATAAAGAGCGTTTTTTTAATTAATAATAAGATTGAGATAAGTAATAAGAATATCGAGAACCTATTCGATTCGCCTTCTCCGTCTTTTTCTACTAAGTCTTATATTAAGAAATTAAAAGTTTCTTCTAGCGCTATTAAGAAGTTAATTAAATAAAAAAAAGCGATTTTAAAATCGAAGAAGGGGCTTTAGAAGAATAAATCTATTTAGAAGTCTAAGAGTAAAGAGTTAAAGAGAGCGTATAATAAATCTATTAATAACGAATTCGATAATATAATAACTTTCGAATTAACTTTCGTAAAAAAGAAACGCGGAGTATTAGATATAGCGAAGTTAGTTAAAATAGTAACAGCTAAGTTCTCTATAAATTATTATATTCTCTACAATTCGGAGAAGGAGAATATAGGTGAATTAATCTTTTATTCACATATTAAATTCGATAACTATTTCTTATATATCCTCTTTATACTCGCGAATATTAAAGATCTTAAACTTATTTCTTAAGGCGATATTCGCCTTAATAATTTATATATTACTATTATTATTAAATCTAGATAATTCAGCAAGAAATAGCTAAATACGTTCTAGAGAGCTAAATTTAATTTAAACGATATAACTCGTAATCTTCGTAATCCTCTTAGATATACTATAAAAGTCTATAAGAAGGCGAGTAACGTCGATATTAATAATAAGATTCTTATCGAAGAGAATAAGGGTTAATATTATCTTTAGTATCGAGAACTTTATATACTAGATAATTAAGAGAGTCTAAATAAGAGTCTTTATCTAAAGTAATTAAGTTTTAAAAAAGATCTCTATATCGAAGTAATTTTTAAGAAAAATTATTTTATAGCTATTTAATCGACGCCTAGCCACTCTAATAACGACGTATTTTCTCTTATATTAGATTTTATATAATTAACTTTAAAGAAGGAGAATAGCGAAGTTATATTTATGAAAGCTATCTTATATAAAAAAGAAAAGATATCTAAGAGATTAAAGAAGAATAAAGTCTTATCTAATCTCGCTAAGAATCTATAAAGTAGACTCTTTAAGTAATATAGTATTTAATAAAGAAATTAAATAAGAGATTAATTATAGTTGAGATAGTTTTTTATAACTTAATTATATAATAGCTAGATGAATTCTATTAGATAGTTAATAGATAAATCTATATAAATCTCGTATAGAATCTTTAAAAATAATAAATTCTATTAAATATATATTTAATTAAGTTAATATATAAATCGCTAAAAGATCTTATAATATATAAATATACTTAGTACTATATAGAGTATTATATTAAAATTTATCTATAATAAAATTACTCTCACGTATAAATAATATTTATAATATATAAATATTATACGAGACTATAAAAATGAGTTTTATTTTATATTACGTCGTTAAGAGGATATATTTAATCTTAAAGTAGTAAAGCGCGTATATCTTAATAATTATTAATAGAAATAAGATAGATTTAAATATAAGTTTCGAATTTACTCTTAAACGTACTTTCTTTAAATTTCGTAGTAAGTAGAAAACGCTAACTCGAAGGGGCTTAGCGAGGCGAGCTAACCCGAAGAGGCTTAGCGATCTTAGTACGTTCTAAGAGAAAAAAAAAAAAAAAATTTTAAAAAAAAAGGGGAAAAAAAAAAAAAAAAAAATAAAAAAAATTAAGGTCGTATCTTAATATAAGATACTAATAGAGTATAAAGTAGATATAGAGTAGAATGTTCGCGTCTATCTGAAGTAGATAACTTAGAGCCTCTTCTACAATTACATATTTTAGAAATAACCCCTATATATTTCTACTAATTTTCAGCTTAGCGTCAAATATATATAGGGTATCGTTCTATAATCATATTTTCACATATTTTCGCTTATTAAGCGAAAACAGGCTTAAAAATATCTAAAAATAACTCTCGAGGGTTGTTTTTAGCTAAAATAAGGCTAAGAACGCTAAGAATAGTGGACATCTATGACCGATATTCATATATTATTCTCTTTTACTTCAGATTTAAAGCCGGTGTCTGCTCTCTTGCCACGACGATGTTATTGTATCATTTCGAGGAACAATATTACCTCCATAGTCTGGCTCCATATCATAGGCCATAAGACACCGGTATCGGTAGACACTCTATGGGAGCAGGCTTATTTGGGGTAATAATGGGAGTAATAGGAGTATTAATGATAGCCAAAGCCTGTGCAGTAGTAGCAGCAGGTATCTCGGCCATGGTGATGTGGAATGGTAGGAATTCAATGGTTTTTTACGGAGAAGACAATTTTTGCGACGATTCTAACTCAGCCTCAGAAACAGGGTTACAGAACGGAACCGTACATATATTCTACTTGTTTTGGAAATATCCTAAGCGTTATTTTCAAGCCTTGTTTTCACTAGCCAAGTGGTGGCGTTATTTAGTGGAAATATGTAGGGGTTATTTCCAAAATATGTGGTTGCAGAAGGGGCCCTTAACCTTTCCAAAGAACAAGGATCACGAATCAGTTCATAGTGTAGATTTCTATGGATGAAAGGCTTTCCACACCCCACCAAGCCAAGTAAGCTATGCTATATAGGGTTAGCCTACATAAGGCCACGTTTTCCAACTCTCTAATCACCTAACACCTTATCCTACCCTTACTCTAATACCTAGATTGCAAATTCTAGTGATTACGAGTACCAGGATTCCTGTTAGCATATTATCCGAGTCCATGATTCTATGCAACAACCCAAGTCGTCGTCGTCCCATCTCCTGGCCGTTGCTGTTCACGAGTACGAGGCAACCGAGTCTGAGAACGCCCGGAGTTCGTCGAGGGTTTGAGAGAGCTAGCCTACCGGGTTCGCTGCAAGCTTTTCCAAGCACAGCACCTCAAGCGAATACGCATCTCCTAGCCATCTATTGATCCATTTATCAATAGTGGATGTTCAAAGCGGCCATCTTCATTTCGGACTGCGTCATCGACTCATCTAATTGGAGTCCGGTGGATGTTAAAGAAACGTATAAGGCTTTGAAGAATTGCCCTCACCGAACGAGTTGCGGAGCGGATAACTTTGACCCAGACAGTCATATTATAGTACACCATTAAACGTCGCTTCATCCACAACAATCTCCTCGCTGCTTGTCATACCGCAGCCATCATCATGTCAAAACTCCGCGTCCTTGTTAGCGGTGCCTCCGTGGCTGGCCCGGCACTTGCCTACTGGCTCGTTCGCGCAGGATGCAAAGTGACAGTCGTCGAACGTGCACCGATCCTTCGAACTAACGGTCAAGGGGTTGACGTCCGCGATACCGCTCGAGACGTGATTAAGCGCATGGGCATCTTCGACCGCATTCGGGACAAAAGCTCACACGAGGAAGGCCTCAAGATCGTTGACAGCAACGACCGCTGCCTTTCGCGCTTTGGTGTTGACGAATCCGGCAAGGGCGACAGTTTAACCTCCGACGTTGAGATTCTCAGAGGAGAGCTGGCAGGGATTCTCTTCGATGTCACAAAGGACGACGTCTCCTACATCTTCGGCGACATGGTCGAGAGCCTGGAAGAAACCGAGAAGGAAGTTGGCGTAAACTTTGCCAACGGCACACCGACCACGGCTTTCGACTTGGTAGTCGCTGCGGATGGCCTTGGCTCGAAGATCCGTGGTATAGCTTTTGGAAATGGCCACTCTCATATCAGATCTCTGGACTCTTACACGTCGTACTTCTCCATTCCACCCGGTGATACAGACACGATGTGGTCGAGAGTTCACTGGGTCAAGGGGGGTCGGTGCATGTTGCTGCGACCAGACAACGTGGGCCGGACCAGGGCTTTCCTGTCTCTTACAGCCTACGACAAGTCAGACGAAAGACTTGTTCGATTTGAAAAGGCTTCGAAAGAGGGCATTCCAGCGCAAAAGCTTCTGGTCCAAGAGCTTTTCCAAGACGCCGACTGGGAAATTTCTCGGATATTGAAGGGTATGCAAGAGTCTGAGGACTTTTACATGCAACATGTCGCACAGGTCCGACTGAATCGCTGGTCGAGCGGTCGTGTGACTGTGGTCGGTGACGCGGGTTATGCTCCTTCACCATTTACTGGCATGGGCACATCGATTGCTTTCATCGGCGCATACGTTCTTGCCGGCGAGATATCTCGACAGCCGAACGACATTCCCGCCGCGCTGGAGTCCTACGAGCGTGTCCTGCGCCCGTACGTTGAGAGCGTCCAGAAGCTGCCTCCTGGCATACCATGGATCGTCAACCCTCAATCGGCGCTGGGCATCAGAGTGTTTGAAACCGTCATTAGGGGTGTAGGGTTGCTGTCGGCGACGGGGCTAGCCACCTTGTTCTCGAAACTCGCAGCGTACCTGCCAATCGGTGGGGACTCGTTCAAGTTGCCAGACTACGAGGCGTTCAGGCAGTAAGGGTTTCGTTCAGTACCATGCTTTCATAGCATATTCCTGATACACTTCTCTCAAACTTATGTATACTCGTATCGTGCATCTCTTGCCCATGCATTCTCAGCAACATGAAGTGCATCACATCGTATCCAGGGGTATGTGATAGTCCTCAGGGGTCTAGACTTGCCCGTAGCACGAGCTTCGCTAGATCGTGCTATTCGGCCAATCGACCAACAGACCTGGGCTGAACATTGCATGCTTGAAGCGACAGAGCAAGCAGGCAGAATTTGGCAGAAGCGGGATCGCGAGGGTTAGGGTCAAGACGCCCAAAATCCCGACGAGGGAAGCACACATCAGCTTTAGCTGAGCCTCACTCGCTCATGCATCTCGTGGTCTTTAGATGCACAGCCTCGCTGGCTGACTACCTGCTGTCGCCTTCGCGAATGGGAACATAGCGACTTGCTATCGTGATGTTTTCCGTCCCTCGTGCTGTGCAATGTCGTGACCTCACTGCCTCTTTGATCCTCTTGGTCCTTTCGCCATGGTGACGCCAGGCTTCGGCTTCTCAGCCGGCGACTTTGTTAGGTCATTCGAACACTTAATACTATCAGGAAGGCTTTAAAAGACACAGATGGTGCTGCTGCAGATGATGAAGAGACACTCCAACGGCTGAACCACCTTGGCGTCGTGCTCCCGCATCTTCAAGCCTTACACTCAGAAGAGTCGAGCCGGCGCCAAGATCATGTCATTTGGCACGCTGCAAACGCTTGCTATGAGCAGCTCAAGCGTTTCATAGTCAAGCATGAAAAATTGCTGCCAGATATTGGCCCAGCAGCGGACAAATGTAATCCTCGGACAGCTTTCCGCTGGACACAATGGCCACTGTCCACGAGCACAGAAGTCGGCAAGCTGTGGAAGCAGATCGAGCATGATCTGATGGCCACCAATCTTGCTCTCAGCGTTCATGCTATGTTGGTGCTTGCCTAGTCAGGACAAAAAGAGTCCAATCTGACCCCATTCAGCTCGAAGAAAGATGGGAGCTGCATGCAATTTGCGACTGAGCATCCCCACTATCACAAGTGCTGCTGTCAGGCAGCAGAAGAGCCAACTCGGTCACCGGACTGCGCAACTGAGCCTACTAAGTATTGGTCTAGCACCCCAATTGAAACCGAAACCGAAATCGAGAAGCGAGTCCGTGGGAGAGCTGTACGCAAAATAGGGGACCAGTACGAGCATGGGACTGACCTACCTTCAGGGTGGTACTACTTTTGCGTGCCCTTTGGCTCGCGTTCATTTGTTGTACTCCGGTTATCGGAAGCTTGCTCACTCAAGGCTCGCATTCAAGGAATGAGCAGGCATGTGCGATCTGTACAAACTTGAAGTCAGATCTCTTTATTTAGATTACAGCACGCCGTACGACGAAGTACTACTCCGCCATCTTCTGCCTCTGCCAAACTTGAAGCATCTTAGCATCGATCCACTAGACGAAACCTATATTGCAGTGCTGATTAGAAACATAGCTAAAAAATACATATCTTCTGACCCTGGAAGCCCCGGTCGAGTCCAATCTCTTATTGCAATTGCCCATGATCAGATCAACGTCTTTGCGGTTAGAAGATATCTACACAGACGATGATTTTGACAACACGATAGTCATAGACGCGCGAATGTTCAGAGAGATGCAGCACTTGCGCTCACTGGCAATCGATCATGCAGGATTCAGCGATATTCGCCCTTGCGAGTCTGGTCCGGAACTTCCACAACTTGACCAATTGGAGCTTCGCCTTCCAAGATCAACAAGTTTTGCTCATCTACGTGTATCAAGCTAGAGACCCTTGTCCAGCCTAGGCGTCCGCACCAAAAGACGCTGTCGACTTCTGCTCTCAAGACCTCTGTACAAGGCAAAATTCGACTCTAGGGGGCTATAAGTCATCAATCGGACAAGATGAGGCCGGGGAGGTAAGTGGCAGAGGATGTGGTACATCTCCAAGACTCAGCCGGCGTTCCTTACACGGCCGGCGGGCTTATCGAGCGCTTAATTAAACCGACTTCGTATCCTCCAGCTCGGATGGAGCGCTGCCGCCTGCCTTTGGACCTAGGACGCTTGTGCAGAGATTGCTGATTGGTAAATTGTGGTGGGTCATGTGTAGCACTAACGTCCTCGATGCAACGGTAACATCTGAGTGTGGAATCGATAACAATTATGCCGCGTTGGATCACCAGGGGCGACGTCTGAGTGGCTGCATATGGCACCTACACTTGTTGACGCCTAATTCTCATGGCTCGATCGTAGTTGGGATCCACGATCGCATGGTCTTCGCATGCAATGCAGGATCTTAAAGAGATGGACCGGTCGCTGGCTGTTTCGCCAGCTCGATTCACTTCGTCCTTTTCATTCACCAGGCCAGCGAAACAAACCCCTACCTGTGACAGTCATGGCCTGTCCTAGCTATCTGCAGAATGGACCTTTCACCTGCCTCTCAACCTCCACGCGCAACAGATCTTAACTACGACAGGCGTCCTGCGGCGCGGAATCGTGGTCTGATTACTGGACTCGAAAACGGCAACCGTGACGCCTTTGGCGGTCGCTCGGAAGATGACAATTTTCCATCCGTGGAGGAAATGATGTTTGCTTTCAAAGATTCAGGGAAGCCAAACGGGCGGACTCAGGCATGAGGCACAAGCGGGAGGTCTTTTAGAACCGTATTTTATATGCAAAACAGCCTTATATGCCAGTAGTGCTTTACTGCTGTCGCCGCTAGTTAGTAAGCTGAGAATTAGGGGATAGATAGCGTCTTACCTACCAAATTAGTATACGTAAGGACGTTTTTCTCCAGCATTTTCTCCGTCTAGATATCCGCTCCTACCTATTCAGCTGCTTCCATTACTTCCATTGCTTCAATCGAGCCAACCCCCCGTTCAATGGCTGGACCATTGTGTGTAGAATAGGTGTGGAATGGCTGAAATGATATGACTGGAAGGAGAGTAACTGAAGCAGGTACTTGATTGGCTATATAGATGACTAAGTAATCTTTATACCCTCTCAGAAATACTAGCTTTATATGACCAAACTCCCAGTTGGTTTCAAAATGGTTATTTGAAATTATGCTTTATATGTAAAACAGCCTTACAGTCAAATTCGGCTTTATATATCAATTAATTCGATATTAAATTATTCTTAACACTATTAATTGATATTACTATTTTGTTTTAAGCTTTAGGCGCTAAAAATAAACGGTAAAAAAGATCTCGTAAAATAGCGTCGAGACTATCGCGAATCAGGCGAGGTACATATTTACCTTATCAAGCGCGCGTCACGCAAAGTATTCAATTCGTGCTCCTTCTTTGCCTCTCTTCTCAGTCTACCCAGGGCCTCTCTACAGTGACCCTCCGGAATGGCAACTACTATTTCCTCTCACCTTAGGATTCCAGTACCTCAGCCCGCTAATCAGTTCGACTCCAGTACTCCAGGCCTCTCTAGAAAACGCTCGCTGTCAGAATTATATTACAGCAGCTACGGGGAGTCAGAAGGCACTCCCACACCCAAGACACGCAAGGCACGGCGCGCTTGCTCAAGACCTGGCTTCAGCTCTGATCCAAGTAGCCCAACTTTTTACAGCACACATCCGTCAGCCCAAGTACCTCGGGAGTCTAGTATGGAGAACTCAGGGGACGAGTCGGACGATGTGTACGATCAATTCGATCTTGGAGACTTCACGAAGGAGGAGATTAAAAGATACGAGGCGATGGTAGGCGCGGGAGAAAGACTTCGAGATGCTGCGCCACCGGAGCAGTCGTTTGCTGAAATGCGAGAGACCTCGTGTGAGAGACTCCATGTCTTGATGCTATTAGCTTGCTGAAAATTAAGGCAGACCAAGCCAGCCTCATTTCTTCTGGCCGAGATACCGAAGGCAGCACATCCGTCACAGTACTTCCTCGTGAGCTGTATGAGTTAGTCAGGGCGGGTATTTCAAATGCAATTGAACATGCCATGTCGGAAAAGGTTATCACGTATTATGATGCTCCGGGCCTGGAAACAATTTTTATGGACGAAATTTCCGCACCCGCTCCGCAGATTCGTCAATTCATTCGAGATCATATATTCGTCACGTTATCGTGCCAATCCCCAAATTCGTTTCGGAGGCAAGAGCTACGAAAAGGCTGTCATCCATCGGGATCTCTAAAATCTGCGCAGAGGCAATATGAGCAAGATGTGTACGACGTGGCTCGTAATTTGGGCCTTTCCATGGACGAAACAGAAGAATGGGTGCTCGAAGCCAGGGAGTTTTGCAGTGAGAAGGACTATGCTAGCATGAATACTGAAGAGAGCGATGGGGTTGATGGTTCTGATGAAATCATGTACCAACCTTACATATCATCATTAACGGAGCGATCTGCGTTGCCTTTACCTCTGGTCGAGGACTTTCACAAGGCGCTGAAAACCCCCACCCAAGCTGAAGAAAAAATCACCAATAGCGAAGACGAGACCGAAAAGAACAAACAACTTCTTAGGGAAAGCAACTCTGAAGGGGCAAAGCAGGTTCAACGCTACCTTCAACTTTTGAAGAATTTCGGCCATCACTCTGCATATGACGGTATTATGCTCAGACTCCAATTCCTCGGTGATGAACCTCTGATCGACAACATTGCCGGTTTACGTGAGGAGATCGATAAAATGGAAGCAGTGGGTAAGACGAAGGAAGAAAAGGCTGCCAGAAAAGATGCCAAGAGAGCCCGTAAAGCAGAGGTCCAAGCGCAGAATAGAGCAAATCGGCAGGCTGAGAAAAAGGAAAGCCAAGAGGGCAACGACTATGAAGCAGGAAGGCCCGAGGAGCAAGGATCTTTGACAAGCAACTCCGAGCGGCGACCCAATGTCCAGCCTCTCGAAGACCAGGACAAGCCTCTGAAACGGAAGAAAAGAGGGAGCAAGCGCAAGAGCGAACTTGAGCTTCCCGTTCATTGCGAGGTACCCTCCAAAGGCCATCACAAGCACGAAAAGGGCAAAGTGGATAGGGACGCACGAGACGCTAATTCCGAGAAAACCAGGAGCAAGACAGGTGTGGGGTCTCAGCACTCGCCCTTTTTTCAACGGAGCAGCGGTCCCAAAGCAAAGAAGAAAGACGCCTTCAAGAAGGCCGAGCAACTAACGGGTTTTCAACCTCCGATGATACAGTAAGCGTGACCGCTGCTGTTGAGGGGGTGTCGTCGTCTGAAAATAGGCCGCCACCAGCAGATCCCCCCTCCACTCCCGTCAAGAAGAGAGCCCCCTTTACTGTCACCTCGTCGCCAAGCTACGACTCAAGCCCATTATCCAGCCTCCGCTCGACTCCTTCCCTGCCATCTTTCGGCAATAGAGAAGTTGAAAACGACAACAAAAGAATACGTGAATTGTCACACAATTGTGCCCGCTCAAAGCCCGTTGCATTGGCACAAAAGCTACGAAACAATCCCACTCACCTGCCCACTCCTGCCGCAAGTCCCATCTCGCTGCGAGATTTGAACAAAAGACTCTTGGAAGGTACCATTTACCAGGATGGAATCGTACTCGCAAAGTCAGAAGTGCCTACTCCTACTACTTTATCTGTTCCGAAGAAGCCAAGGAAGCGCTCAGTGATTGTTTCTCCCTTCTTTGCAAAATTGCCTCCCAAGAAACCCAAAGCCAGTGACAAGGTCTCTTGCATTCCTTTCCCACCACTCCAATCCACATCCTTCGGCTTAGTCCAAGAACAATTATCTCATGACCCGTTCCGCCTTCTCATCGCCGTCATTTTCCTCAACAAAACGCGCGGCTCCGTCGCTCTTCCCGTCTTCTACGAACTCATGGAGCGCTATCCTACACCCGCAGACCTCGCCGCAGCCAATCAAGAGGACGTCGTCGAGATCATCCAACATCTCGGCTTGCAGAACCAACGTGCGAAGAAATGTATCAATCTGGCCAAAGCATGGCTCGAGCGTCCACCGGAGAAAGGGAAAAGGTACCGAGTGCTTCACTACCCGAAAAAGGATGATGGCAAAGATGTCAGCCTTGGCGACATTGTTGGCGAAGAAGATAAGCGAGTCGCTTGGGAAATCGGACAACTTCCTGGCATTGGTGTCTACGCCATCGACAGCTGGCGCATCTTCTGCCGCGATAAATTGCGCGGTCTGCCGACTGGCTTGCCCAAGGAGCTCACTTCGGAAGCTAAAAAGGAGGAGTTGCAGAAAGAATGGACCAGAGTCCTGGCGGGAGATAAAGAGCTACGAGCCTACCTACGTTGGCGCTGGTTACGGAATGGCTGGGTCTGGGACCCCGTGAGCGGAGAGCGAAAGAAGGCCGATGAGGGTGAGCTCGCCAAGGCAGACAAGGGTGGAGTCATATATGAGGGTAATGCTGGAGACATGGTAGTGGGAAATGCCAAAGGCGAAGGGCCGGATGCTGTTAAAGCTGAACGAGAAGTCGGAGAGGAGGACGGTGGAAGGGAAAGTGGAGAGAGCGAGAATATGATCGCTGAGCCCAAGACCGGAGATGCGCGTCAGAATGCGGGCGAAGAGGCAGAAGCTATGACGGCAAAAGCCGCAACATAGCGATCATGTTGAGAAAGAACAGAAAGACACCAAGGCCACAATAGACGAGCCAGAAAGTGGAGACCAGTCTAACCCGGAACGACTTGGCTCAATGCAATAGTCATAAAACAAAGCATCTATCGCATTTTCACGGCTAGTACTTTAATAGCACTCAGCATACACAACCAAAGCTCGAAGCTAGACCAGAGCAGCACGAGCAATCCAAACTACCTTTACATGCGACCCATCACTTCTAGACGCAATTGCACTCTCCTGATCTCAAACCTGCATCGGTCCACAAGGTCAATCCACATCAGCATACCAGATGTGGCCCCCCCCCCCCAACAACAACAACAACAACAACACATGATCAAACAACAACCACCCCCCCATCCCCCACAGGCCTGTGATACGAAACCCCTCCCTTGACCGAGGTTCTCGTAGGATGGGATGGGGTCGGGTTGGGCAGGCAATACCCCACCTAACCTTCTCGCACCAAGCGACGACCTACTCGATCCCCGTCCGGAATATCAGACCGGCTTGCCTACCCTTCTCTTTTCCCAAAGAAGTACGTACATACTCACCACCTACCCCCGCCGCAACGCCTCCGCCCGGATATCCGTAGAGCTCAGAGGAACCCCCTCGCGGACGGAAACCACATCGTGCCTGCCCGACCGAGCCCCTTTCATCCACATTCTAAACGGACGGATAGACAGATTTTTCAATCCCGGTGACCGGCTTTCGCCCTTCATCTCTCGCAGTCACTTTGATTCCAAATAGGTAGAAGTGTGTGTGTATTCTGAGCACGGAGGCCCATTTCGTTCGGCAGCTGGGGAGGATCAGCGTATATCAGATGAGCAATAGAAAGTGTTGGAGAAGGATGTCTAGTTATGGACCATCATTCGTCCCTCGCGGATATGTGGTATACAATCTTTTCAGTGGGGTTTTCTTAGGGTCGTGGTTCGGTGTTCGATAGCAAGTATTGTTCGGTTCGACGGCATAGATCGTTCGAGCCACCCAACAACGAGAAAAGACTGGTCAATACCACAGAACTATACCTGAGCTTTTTGTTGAAAGTGCCTGTACTATTGGTCCCTGTATCAGACAGAAAGCGCCAGTCCGCTGTTAATCTTTCGGTTCTTTTTGAATCAGGGAGAGTGGAACATGTTTAGAGTCTTGGAGAGCGGACATGATCTTATACTTTTAATCCGACTGGACTGCTACTCGCCTGTCTATGTCATGAGTTATGTACAATGCGTTGACCTCGTTACCATGGCACCCATGTCTAACTTTTATACCGCCTTGACTCATCATTCGTATCTGACATTAGGATTCTGCGGTCAATTCCCTGGCATCATAGAACAAATCTATAATGCACCCAGCGGACCAGGCTTGAGTTGGTGACTACAGACCGTCAGCAGTTGCATTAACCATCGACAATGAGAGACGACTTACCGAGTCCCCACAGATATCCCCGTTCTTGTTCGTCAACTCCGTCAATCCAGCCCATGGCGATTCCTGGATAGCTTTCTTGCAACCGTGTAACCTCCTCGTGATCTGCTGGAAGGCCTCTGTCCTTTCCTCCTTCGTGTGCCTCCGCATCAAGTCGAATTTCAAAAGAGCACGCAAGAAGAAGCCCGTGGGCCATAACCATTCAGGCCCTTGGTGATAATTGCGACCTTTGGAGGTGCGAAAGTCAGTCGAGTCTTCTGAATTATTATAATACGGTCGATAGTTGAGATCCGAGGGGTCGAGGGTAGCCATGCCAGTCGGGCCGCGTAGGATCGTGTCAGCCATTTCCAAGGCATGTAGAGCTTTTGTAGGAGTGAAAAGTTGAGGGGCGACGGTCATAGCAATAGGAAAGTTCGCTCGAAGCTGGTAATCCTCGTAATCTTTCCCAGACTTGTAGAGGTCTTTGTAAATGCCTCGGCGGTTGACGATGGCGGAGTTGACATCGTACTTTTCGTCTTCGTTGGAGTCTGTGGGAATGTAGTAGCAGCGCTCGAAGTTGTGCTGAATCTTTGAAGCCCACTCCGCGTACAAGATGCTCTGACCACCGGCTGTTTTGACACCGCTGAGTTTATACTTGCCCTCACTGTGTAGATGGGCAACCCAGCTCAAAGTGCTGAAAGCAAGGCCAGTGATCTCAATAGCAGCGCCATCTCTTGGTGTACCTGGCACGCCTTTGCTTCCAGCTTTTTCGCTTTCTCCCATCTTGTCCATCCATGTACCGCAATTAAATTGATTCCCTCCAAAGATCAGTCCTGTCTCCCAGTCCACATTGACGTCAATCTGAAATCCCTCGGACTGCATCTGCATATCTAAACCAGGTCCAGCATTGGCTTCTCGAAATGATAGGCCACTAGCATGTCTTTGCAAGGCTTCTTGGACAATATCTTCGATAGTGGACTCCCTAGAGTACGCGCGAGAGTCGTCAAATTCGAAATATGTATCGTCATAGGGCAAGAAGCGTCTCGCGACTTTCTCTTTGAGAATGTCACGTCCGTTAGGCACCATGTTTGTGTAGTCCTGGATGTTTTGCAGAAAGAACCAAATCGAGTCTCTTGAATTATAGCGAGGGGCTTTCCCGTCACTTAGAAGGTTTGGTATCATGCCATGCTTAAGGACACTAGCAAAGGCCATGATATGCTCTCGAGCGTCCGCGTACCTACCAGTAGCGAGGAACAGCCCACGGAGGGAGATGAAGACATCGCGGCCCCAGCAGCGCGCCCAGCTGTGCGAGAAGTGCGGCAGACCAGCTGCCAGACACGGAACACTTTTGTTAGGGTACAATGAGGCTGATTTGGTGTAACCAGTCTGCTGTATGCTGACCATGGCCAGACTCTGAAGGAACTCCTGACCGTGCCGGATGTCGTCACTCATGAGTTCGATGCCTCGATCCCAAGAAGCCCGATAAGCGGTCTGAATGACCAAGGCGAAGTATCTGGGCAACAGGAAGCTTGGAAGCTTTCTGATTGCATCAAACCGTTGTGCAAACCATGTGGCAGCACTTTGTAGCGAAGACCTTTTCCCAGTCTTTGCTAAACGTTCAAGTCTGCTGACTGTCCAGTCCAGTGCCCATTGCCCTTCTCGCAGATGATTACACAACGGATGACCAAGATCGTTGTTTCGGATGACGTCCTTGAGTATGCTCCACCAGCCTTGTAAGCCAGCATATACCAGAGGACCGCAGTTCGGAATCCTGTAGACACCACCATTGCCGCCAAGGAAGTCATGCTCTTCAGGCTCACATCTATACAGCACAAAGTTGAGGTCGACCAGATCCAGCTCGCGGAAAGCCTCGTCGGCTCCAGAAGTAATAAAATTGTCCAAACCTTCGGAGTGCTCAGCGCCAGGCATCCAAGTTTCAAATAAGGCTATGCTGCCGGGTGCAAATGCAGCAGGAACAGTGATCACAGTCTCATCAGCCTTTGCTTCAATGGCCACGTCTTGGAAGTCGGATACCCTACTGGGTAGACCTCTGAGGATATCCTTTTCTGTAAGGACAGCCTTTTTGGTGCTTTCAGACGTGTCGACCTCGAGTGACCAACTTCCCAAGAGCTTAGCTTTGGTGCCGCTGAGATGCACTGGCGTCAACGATCCATGACCACTGCCGTAACCCGGGAAAGCAGTATGTGAAATTGCAAAAACTCCTTTCCTTGTTTGTGGGTGTACGCGATGGACGGTGATATATTCGCCTTCATGATGGACGAAGGTCTCATCATAGCCATCTTTGCTCATCATTGTATGCAGCCGGTTCATCAACTTCTTAATGCCCCCAATGCCATCAGAACCACCCTCAATCTTGACCGAGCCTTCCGAAGACGGCGACGAGTAGAGCCGCCTTTCGTGAACAATGTCGAGTAGTTTTGGGTAGACCTCGTCATAACCCATCACACTGCCAGTAGCAGAAGCACACATGTTAACAAGAGCCGCGTTGGGGAGCGTATCTCTTGCATCACGCTTCTGAGCAGGGACCTCATTGTCATGAGTGCAGTCCATGAATAGTGCATGAAGAGGACTTCTTTTGATTCGGTGGACACGCTGTGGCTTCAAACTCATGGTGCGCATAGAGTCGTGGATACCGTTCGTATTCTTGGCTGCCCGGTTTTCCTCGTTGCTCTTGAGTACCTCATCAACTTCGAAGCTACCAATGGGTCTGCCACCATGCATGTGTACTAGTCGACTGACTTCTTGCGTGCTCCAAGCTTGCATGGCCTCTCGAATAAGAGCACTAAGACACAATCGTTTGACGAAAACGTAATCCATTTCCTCGGACCCTGTGAACAGCTCTGCAAAGACTGCTAAATTTGGTCTGACTGCCCGTGCTTGATCCAGGAGGTATTCAGCGACGACCAATGGCGTCGAATGGCAATTATCGATGCGGAAGCCAGCAAAGTACTTGGCCATCAGTCGAGTGTACTTAGTCATAAAATCCCACAAGAACGGGTTGTCTTCTGGTGACTTGCCGTAGCGCAATTTGACACAGTCTCCCCAAACAATGACCTCTCGGCGAAGGTAAGCCCGAGAATCAGGCCCGGCGTGGTCCTTCAAAGCATTGGCAGCCCAGATCCAGCCATTGTTGACCAAGGATAAGCTTCGAGAATTATGCTTCTTGGTCGTGGCATTTGAGGGAAGTCTTGTGAAATAGGACTCAATGAAAGCACTTTTGGGACCGATGGCGCCTAGCTTGGGACCATTGTCATCCAACCGAAGGTACCTGACGCGATCACGTATTTGCTGTTGAATCACCTCAACGTCTGTATCGTACTGTTTATAGAACGGCTCATTGAGCTCGTTGAGGATGTCTGTCATTGCCTCGATGGCTCCGTTCTTGTCTGAATTGCCCACCTCGTAGCGCCCGTGAAGCACTGTCAACAAGGCAGCACCGTACCGAGCATCAATACTGCGGTGAAAACGTGACTCTAGGCTATCGGCTCCAACGAAGCCATTTGCTCGCAGGAAATCGGCCTTCTGCTTTAGTGACCAGTCTTTGACACCCTCCAGACCGCCCACATCAGAGCTGAAGCTTTCCGGAACGGAAATCTTTCCTTGCGACCAAGCAGTCACGGTCTTCTCGATATCACGGGTCACATCGACCACGTAGTACTGCCAGAGCTTGAGAGGGTCGACGACATGTTTATTGACTCCTGCTATCACTTCGTCGAGGTCATCCATTCTTTTCAGCGTGGTGGGCAAATTGTAGCTTTGGAGCTCGTTCCCAAATTTCAGCAAAGCATCGTCGAGTTCCAGAGCAGACTCGAGCCACGGAGCAGTCTCAATGTTGTATCCTGCTTCTGGATGTGCTTCGAGCCATTTGCTATTATTGGCTGTATGGTTCCAGACGACGTCTGTCAAACCCAGTAGACCATGCTCTTTCTCCATCCTTGCTATCATCGTTGCAACATCCTCTTCACCTCTTGGAAAGCACAGAGGATCGAAGGTCAATTGATCGTATATGCTGTAAGGTGAATTGGAATCTCCTCTTTCCATCAACGGCGTAAAATGGACCATGTTGTACTCCCGCTGCCCAATTCCATTAAGGTGCTTTTCCCAGTCATCTGGATATTGGCCCATGAATTTGGAAACGACGGAGAAAATTGAAAGCGAATCCAATGGCAGAAGTGTGTTACCCAGAGTGAGCTTGGGCGAGACGTCAATGTAGTGGGTAGGAGTCTGCGTAGGTTTTGGGACTGAAAGGTCGTCCGTGGAGAAGTCTGGGAGAGGGGTGTAGGTTGTGTAAAAGGCAAAAGCACCAGCCTGGCAGATGGGGATGTCAATCCTGAGCGTCCCATTGAAATCCGGATGAAGCCTGGAAAGCCCGTAGAGTCAATTGGAGTTCGCTTTGGGGCATCAGGTCACCCACTCATATCTTCGGTATTGATCACGGCGAAAGGGATCCCCAGGAGCAGGTATGTTCACCCAGAGGTTTCCCTGTCTGCAAATGGAGCTGGTGCCCTCGAGCTCGAAGCGGAGGAGGTAGGCGGGATCTGTTGGCGGTGGTAGGTAGATGTAGCCTGAGGGAACTTCCGGGGCACCATCGTCAGTCAATGGTAAGAGCCAGACGTCCTGAGAGGCTTTGCTGTCTTGAGCGGCCATGCTGAACGCTAGGAGGAGACGCCAAGGGCTGCTGGAATTCGGACTGAGGAAATAAGAATAGTAGGTTTATGGAGTATAATGAAGGAGAGAGGAATGATTGCGGGCATATGATGTGACACGATGAACACCAGCCATACTGGAAGCGGCAACGACTAAATGCAAGTCATTGACCATTGGGAAAGAGCGCCTGGAGAAAGAAGACTGCATTCCTCTCATCTCAACTTTTGCTAAAGTAGACATAGGGCTGAGAATGCTTGGCAAGACAAGCTTTGGAAGTTAAGAAATGTTCCCCCTGGTGCCCCTAGGCCGTAGGGGTGAAGCGACACCCAGGCTTGGTGTTGAATACTTACTCTTTAGACCGAATAGATCATGTACTCTTCGTCGACATTATCCAAATAGTAATGCCGCCTACATAATACCAGATAATATGCGGGAAGATCTTAGGGTATAAGCAAGCCTTAGACTGTGGGGGCTTTTTGATACCTCATAGGGAAACCCTAGAGTACGGGAGGTCGCAGGGTACCTTAAGGTAGGAGCCAGGAGGAAGCCGTAGGTACCGCTTTCTACATGATTGCATCTTACGTATATACAAAGTGTGGGGAAGTTGATAGCGGCTGTCTAGGCTGTGCTAACTTTAAAACAATGACTGCCAAACTTGCTACTGATATTTATGCGATGGATTTGAACCAGCGTCGTCGTTGAGTGGTGCACTACTAGGTAGCTATCTGACTTGCATCTGTCACAGCCATTATGAAGTGTTATTATTAAGTACCGTCTTCACACTTTCTCGCATCTTGAAACAAAGAGCTTGTTTATTGAGAACTTACCTTGACTTAATTGTAGAATTTCCTGCCAAAAAGTCTTTTAGCGCATTCAACCGCCTCGTGTTGCATCTGCATGTCTCCAACGTACCGTTCTTTCCATCTATGTTTCACCATTTCTCTTTAGTGAAAAGCAACCGGAATTGAAGAGCAATACGAGCGGAGATCGGAATAGTGAACTACTTCACAAGGTCACAATGAAACAGTTGGAACGACTCAACACTCGCTACCACTAGTACTCATTCGGCCTAGTCATTGGTATATGAAGGCCTTCCCTGTACATAGATATCCTTCTTCCTTAGACATCATTAGGAATACCATAACTAGTGATAGGTTTCATTATAGCAGTAACTGCATACCCAGGTATTTCCAAACAACTACCACACTCAATCCTTTTCTCACCATCCGTCGTGTCAGCTTTTCCGTATCATCAGCGTCAAGGATGCCAGTCTTCCAGTTCTTGACAATCGCTGCAGGTTTCATGGTACTTGTCTCGGCAGGACGGATAGGAAACCGCCAAGGAGCTTCACCTATATTCACCTGCGCAAAGACGTAGGTTTCCGCCCTTCATTCCAGAGGCTCTTAACTAATTATTCTTCCTCAACCAGCTCCAACGCCGAAATCTGCCCAGAAACGTACTGTCTGTGCTCAAGCCTTGCAGTCGTCGGAGTCCTCCAAGGCACCATCCAAATCTTAGAAGATGTCTACGAGACAGCCACCTACGCAACAACAGAGGCAGGAGATTGTCCTTCCACAGATGCTGGATCGCCCGTTACGACGTCCTCGAAGACGAGATCTGATTGTGTTCCTACCCCAACTATACTACCGTCCTCAACGACGAATCGACCTTCGTCGACGCAGCCGGTGGATTGGATGATTACGTGTGTAGCTTCTCCATGAAAGGATTCCTGCGATGGGCTGACCATTATCTTTCCAGGGGCACAAGCAGCTGCTTCAGCAACGGCCAGTTATATACTACCCTGAGTCCATTACAGACCTGTGGACCATCTCTGACCGCAAGCAATTGCGTTTTCTCCGTGTATGTCTGCTATCCACCCCCATCGTTCCCTTGCGACAGAATCATGCCAATATCCTACTTGGACCTGAACTGGACGATGAGCAATACCTAACGGCTAGCAGTTCCATCAACGGCTTCGAAAACGACGAGGGCACCTTCAACGGCTGCAACTGCCTCACTACCTGGGGCCCTGTCCCCACTTCTTCACTCTGGATCTCGCAAAGCGATTTCGGTGGACCTGGATACTGTGGTGGTCCCATCTGCGAAGTTTCTCCTTCCACCATTCGTGTTGGTCAAAGTACGAGTACTGCGAAGTACTGTAGCTGCGATGCTTTCGCAAGCCTCTACTCTTCAAGCACGTATTTCCAGAATCCCTGTCTGGGATATGCGTATACGGCTCCTGTCACGGGGACGTGTGCTTCGTCGTGAGTGTTATTCGTCACTTCGTCGTTGATTACATACGCTGACGCCTCTCTACCATTAGGACTTCGTGGGGGCCTGGGTATGGCGGTGGTCCAATTCCATATACTGTCTGTGACTGCACGGAAACTGGGACTAGCCTTCCTTGGACTTATTCAACAAGCTTGATTGGGGCTTGTTCGAGCACTGTATCTTGGGTGGTTACCAAGCATCTTGGAGATTCCCACTGAGATCTTGATTCCTACTTTTTGGAGCTTTGCTATCAGGTCATTGATAGCGAATACAACAGAATGTCGTTAAACGAATACCACACTGATAAGTAGAAAAGGCTCTGCCAATAACTCGCAGTATCATGTTCGGCTATAGTCTTTCATAGGAATCATTCTCACCAATTTTCTGCAATCAATACTCTTCCTGAAAAAGAGAGTACTCGAGAGGCTTATGCAAAATCTTGGCACAGGGTCAAATACAGCCATCAGATTAAGACATCACGGCTTCTCACAGCTCATGGAGCAAACAAACTCGACCGTGAAGCTTAACCTTGATCTCCAATAACCTCAGATCTTGTCATTCTCCATTGGTTCAGGTAACCTGGCGCTTGCAGTCCCTCGGCTCTTTCTATATCCGTCAAAGTCCAACGACCTGCCATTTCACTTCGATACAAAATGTTCAAAGCTACCAAGCACGGTGGTGAACATCTTGCCATGCACTGCGCCTGGGGCTCGCGCGTCTTCAAGGCAAGAGGAACATTCATCACTCTGCGCACACCCACTTCGACTCAAACAACGCGCACGTAATGTGGGCTTGCTATACATTCGTCTTGTGTGAACTTATGTTTGTGATCCAGGTCACTGAAAGGATTGGAGGTAAGTGCTTGTTACACGGGAATCCATCTAGGAATGTTGCAACGAGTCGAAGGATCGAGGCATTGCTTCACGACCGAACTTCGCTTTCAAATGGATAATAAGAAGGCAAGATTACTTACTAGGACCAAACAATCCCGTACTCATTGAAGATGATGAAGGCATCGTCCTCATTCGAGCCTCGATTGATAAAGCTTATCGGCATTATCTCATTCGATCAGTCGCCCATGCTCGGCCTCAATAAAGTCGTATTAGAGGATTTGGCAAATCTAACCAGATTGAACTTGCCAGCACATTGGTGATATCGCCTGGGGCTAGATCGGTGCTGGTCTATAGTAGATCGACTGTCCCGTGGAGCAATTGCACGTAGTTGTGAATTCATCCAATATAATAGCCGCAAATGTTAGCAGTCCAACGACTGCGGAGACGGCAGTCACTATACTTGTCCATTGCTGCTCGGCCCCGGGTCGGAAAAACGTTGTCACTAGGCTGGCTGTTCGCGATACACGGTCATAAGCAGAAATATGTGCTGGGGCGCGGGCTTCCCAGTAGTGAAAAGCTTGCCGAGTACTGGTTTTTGACTATATTTGATTCTCAGGGAGACCCCCTAAAACCCCTCGGACCCTTCGGGGGCTCTTTAAGGGCTCTCCGGAGCTTGTATCGGAGGGGCTGTTAAAGTAAGCTCGAAATTTGATTGTTTTGGTGATATTTGATTGATTTCGAGCTTGCTTTGACAGCCCCTCCGATATAAGCTCTCGGAGAGCCCTTAAAGAGCTCCGAAGGGCTTAAGGGATTTTAAGTGATCTAATCTTGAGAATCGAGAGAGAGATGTTATATTTCACTGAGAATCGAGAGAGACGTTGTAATTTATTTGATATACTCAGGGGGAGACCCCCTGAAACCCCCCTAACCCTCCGGGGGCTCTCCGAGGGCTTTTTGCCGGAGAGGCTCTTCTCGCAAGCTCGATAATTTGAATAAAAATCTTAGTTTTTAGTATATCTTTACGAATACTTTATTAAATTTCATCTTCGCTATTTTATTTAAAATTGTATAATTAGCTCTATAACTCTATAAATTTACTTTATTATTATTTATTACGTAACGTTAAAGGAATTAAATAGAATAAATTGATAAAGTTGATGTTCGAGGTTCAGTCTTATGGTGCTTCCTCTTTTAAACGTACCCGTGTTTAGAACGAAAATGAAGAAATAAGGTGTGTTTTAGACTAGAAATCGTGAAATTCGAGGATCTAATTAGTTACTAGCATCTTAGCGTAGAAGCCATTTAGGATTTCAACTCTTGAGCATTGAGAAAGCAAGCTTTCCAATAAGCTCACGACTAGGTATTTTATGCGGTGCGAGGTATTAGGGAGTTTCAGACCACTTTTTTTTTTGCTGTGGAATTGTGGATTTTTCAGACTTTCAGCTATAACAAAATGGATTGATCTAGATTGGTCTAAACACCCCCACTATCAAATAGGCTTCTTTAATAGATTTATAATAAAACCGCTTAGTTATTACTCGAGAAAACCGTGTAATCTTCCCCGTACCTAATCCTTCCTGCCCTGAATTCTCATGCGGCCATGCCTCGTTTATCGGAAAAGGAAGTACGTAGGCGTGAGCTATTCCACCTCTTCCTTATCAGCCGTACGAGGCGCGGTTCTAGACACCATGTAACGAGAAGATGGCTGGCAATCCACGAAGCATTCATAGAGCAGCGTTACATGGAGCCGCGACTCTTTGTACCTAAATCAGACTGGGCGAGTCATGTTCTTCCTCAATACAACGACGCTCGATGGCGAGTCTTTGCCCGTATGGATCCTGAGAGTTTTCAGCATATTCTTCGACTTATCTCTCATAATCCTATATTCCATAACAACTCCAGTTGCCAGCAAGCTCCGGTTGAGATACAACTCAAGATCGCACTATGGAAGCTAGGACATGATGGAAGCGCAAGTGGTTATCGTCCCTCAGCCAGTCAATGGGGCGTCTCAGAGGGACATATAAATGATTGCACGAGACGGGTTGTGGCAGCTCTGTTCCAGCTACGAGAACAGCATATCCGGTGGCCCTCTGAGATAGAGCGACGACGTGAGAGCATAGCAAATGATGATAGGGAAGGCTTCCTCGGAGCAATAGGAAAGGCGGATGGAACAGACATCGTGCTGCTGTACAAACCTGGAGGCGTATTTGACGGTGAAAATTTCTTTAACAGAAAGAAGAGATATGCAATCGATCTTTGCGGTGTATGTGACTCGTCGAAGAAATTCATCTACATGCTTACCGGCTTTTCAAATGCCACTCACGATGCAAGAGTATGGGGTCACACTCGACTGCATCAGGACCCGGAAGCCTACTTCTCAGCAGGGCAGTACATACTCGCCGACAGTGCATACTCTAGCACAGAGTACTTAGTTCCGCCATACAAAGCCCCGCACACGAGACGAAGAAGAATTCGAATATTCAATAGACGACTTTCCAGCGTGAGAATCGACATCGAACATGCATTCGGTATTCTTAAGGGGAGATGGAAGAGTCTTACCGGGCTAAGACTGATCTTAGGTACTGATAAGCAGTACGAATTTGCGTGTATGTGGATTACTGCCTGCGTTGTTCTTCATAACATCCTATTGAATCTTAACGATGTTTGGACCGAAGAAGAAGGATGGTGGGCCGAAGACGACGACGACGATGGACATGATAATGAACTTTTCAGTCTTACACCGCTACAGCGACGTCAGGGACATGATAAGAGAGAGGCGGTAAGGGCTATAGTTCTTAAAAAGACGTCTTAATTATTTTTTTTTTAAATAGTAAGGAAATTAAAGTGGAGGTAGAGATACGGTCGTAAATAACGATATTTAATCCTTTTTAAAAGATATAGCGCGATAAATTAATATAGAATTCCAGTACTAGGCTTAGGCGCGTGCATTTGGCGTATAAAATACACTCATTCTTGATAGAATACCCACGATGTTTTATAACACTGTTTTTTAATACTTTGCGGAGAAGAAAATCTTCTCCGCAAGTATTTTCTTCTCCGACTATGCTTTATATAAAACTTATATTTTTTTCAAACGAGTAGTAGAAGGAGATAATTGAATATTCGTAAGAAATGTTATAATCTTAGAGCGTAATATAGTATAAAATTACTACTAAATCGACTCGAGTAGAGTGCTATATATATATCCAACTTTACGTCTCTTCGTAAGTACTTTTAAAACTATTATTTAACTCTATATTTAACCGCTATTCGAGGATCCAAAGACGTCATATCCTCGCTGTTGTTCTTCATGCTTTCGCATTTCAAATTGAAGGCGTAATACTCTCTCCTTGCTTTCATTAATAAGGACATCAGAGCGAGCCATTTCAGCGGCATGATGAAGATCACGCTGCTGTCTTTCAAGCTCAAATTGCTGACGGCGGTCCTCCCTATCTTGTTTAGCAAGCTCTCTTTGACGAGAGTCATCTATCTTCGCTTGTTCGCTTTGACGAGAGTCATCCATCTTCGCTTGTTCGAACATAGATTCCGCCATAGTCATTCGTCCTTTGCTAGGTTTCCAGCGACTGCGGCGAGACTTCTCGGTGTTGTCGCTATCCGAGTCGTCCGATATAGCTGGCCGTTTGACTCTCTTCGGAGCGTCCGACTTATCTTTGGCTTTGGGAGCTTTGGGAGCTTTGGGAGCTTTGGGAGCTTGCGTAGAGACTTGTTCTGATGTCCTTTCGGAGGACTGCTCTACGGTTTCAACTAAGGCTATCTTAGAGCGATATAAGATGGGCGTTTTAGATAGCTAAGAAAGGAGCTTCGGAGTAAGCTCGTTAAGAAAGTCGTAGATATCGATATCTAAAAGAGAAAGAGGAGGAAGAATAATTTTCTTAATTGTCTTCTCCGCTGTCTTCGTCCTGTCTAGGGCCGCTGCAGCCAAAGAATGAGCTGAATGTCCAGAGTCCGAGTCTTCCGCTTTATCAATCTCTTTCTCTTTCTCAATTGTAGATTCCTCGTGCCCTTCTGACGCTTCCTTATCAGTGTCACCCTCTGCATCTTTGTCGTTAAGTCCACCGAGATCCGTCTCCTCGACAGCCTGCCCATTGCGCCGTGGGGGCTGCCCAGATTCAATAACGACCGGAGGATTGACGCCGGGATGATCGTTGTAGACGCCTTCGAAGTCATAGAACCATGGGCACTTCTTGAGAATGAAGTCTCCCACTGTAGTGCCATGCGGGCTGTTCAAATCATGCGTCTTGTGAGTACCAGCATCAGTGCCCCAGCCAGATCCTTCGGCCTTCATTCTCATATCCTTGTAGTCCTTGACCATAGCGTCCATTTTGTCAGCGGCCTTCTTCTTTGTCACCAATGGCTTATCGACTAATCCCGTATCTTTAAGTATTCTTTCCGCCACATCCGTATGTGTACTCGTCGCCCATACCTTATAGTTGACTGCGACTCCTTTCTTATTGCGGCTGCAGAACCATTGCACCATAAGATCGATGTCCTGCTCCACCCATTTAATGGCGGGGGCTCGGGCGTCCTGGAGCTTTATCCGTAGGGGCTTTTTTCGCGCCATTGAGGGAGGGGGGGGTCTACGACGGCGTAGTAGGAAGGACGGTAGGAAGGACGGTAGGAAGGACGGTAGAAAAGACGTAGACGTGTAGGAGGTGATAGTAATGGAAGGTAATAGTAGTAGTAATAAGAAGGAAGGCCTTCTAATTAGATAGATTTGCTACGAGATATAGAATATCGCCCTAAGAAATCCACCAAATAGGCCGGTTTTCTTTATCAATGCTACCTCAGGGTAGCATTAATAGATGGCGTGGATTTTTCAGATCGTGGGAAAATAAGCGATTTGCCACCAACGGTTAGTGGCAAATCGCTGAAATTCCCACGATCTGAAAAATCCACACCTAAAAAAAGTGGTCTGAAACTCCCTATTAAAAAGTACATAACTTTTATACATTTGTACTAAACTTTATACAGCATTTATACGGTGGGCCGAGGCACATTTCTGTTGGCTTGGCATAACTTTGCCTGCCACTCCTAAGCGACTCTCCTGCTATCCCACAACGCCGACTTCCCTCGAAACGAGTGTGAACCTTCTGAGACCGTTCAGGTTTCTGGAGGCCAGCAGTGCAACGAGCTGGGTCCGCACGCTAGAATTCGAGGGGGGAAAAGCAGGTATGGGGGACCATGCACATCCCCCAATGCCTTCTTTCCCACTGACCTCCCATGCCAGTCGTTTCTCATCGCGCGGGGCCCGAACTATCACTTTCGCGTTGGCGGAAAGCTATGCCTCCAATCGTTCAGGGCCAAATTTTTCCCACCTTGTTGGATTTTAAGAATGCACTCCGCGACTGGGCTATCGAGCGCAATTGGACTCCGCATATCCTCGACAGCGATAGCCACCGAGTTCGCGCGGGATGTCGCTCAAGCCCAGACTGCCCTTTCCGCGTACGAGCAAATTACAGCATGAAACGGGGAGATGCCAAGGTTACTACATGCGATGATAACCATACCTGCGAGCCATTCCGGGCAGATGCTGATCTCGGGAAACCGCATCAAGATATTAAAAGGGCTGAGACTGGCAAGCTGAAGTTTTTGTTGGAGGCAGTACCAAAGCTCATGCTCGTAACCTTGGACACCAACATCCAGGAGATCATTGATGCGGTAGCGCAGAAATACGGACAAAAGATACCACTTCGGCAGGCACAGAAAGTGAAGTCGGCTTTGACAGACAGAGTCAAAGGACCATGTCGACATTGTCACCAGCTTGGCCACACACGAAGACATTGTCCCCAACTTCGAGAATCCGCTCCTGGGCCAATGTCTTTTACACAGAACTCGATTGCTCACCATAGCAATGGCAACGAGGATCATGATGATGGAGCGTATGCAGACGGAGGATTGGATTATGACCCGGATGATGGAGGGCATTCTGATCTCATGGACTATGCGAACCATGATCCCTCGAACAACAACGCATCGGGCTTCTCGCTTGGGCATCCTCAGCAATTGCCAAATAACATATTCACCCCAAGCCGGCAGAACGGTCTTCCCATAGATCCCATCCTTGCGAGCAGGATCGAACGATTGAACTCTGGGGAGGCACCAGTACCAGTACAACCGGCCGTTGCGCCTCAGCAGACACCGAATCAACTTACCGCTACCCAAAATTCACACACTACAAAGACTCCACAAGAGACCAGACTAGAGGCTGCTAAGCTGATGCAGCAAGCAGCGAGACTCATGCAAGAAGCTGCAAGGTTGAATTCAGAGGCAGCTAGACTGACTGCATCCGCTGCGGGTGATTGAGCTTTACTCGTCTCCCGTCTAAACATCTCTTAACACGGCTCTGACTTTCTTGGGGCTCTCGCCTTCGGCGCTGTCCCGCCAGTCACCTTGGCCGACATGTAGGCTGGATATATATGCCGTTGCTAATGAGGACGACGCTTTGTCGCTCGAGACCTGATGACAATAAGCACAGTCCCAGCCCAGCTAGATATCATGTCTTGCTTCGACAAAGACAATCGCTCGAGATCAATGTTAGCTTCATTTTTGTTAGGACAGGGACCGCAATGGCTTCTGAGACTGACTCTCTTTATAGCTCTCACCATCTCCAGGATGCTTGTCGGCTTCAAAGAAAAAGACTGGTTTCATGTTAGAATTTAATGCAGCGCAATAATGTTGTGCTAATTGGTGGAATCATGTCCGGGACCTGGCCCCACATACGCCCAGACTTCCCGAATCTAAAGCATTACGAAGATGGGTGCTACAACCTCGAGTCTGTCCGAAGGTTCGCCTATGGCGTTAGTATAGATAGGCAGACAGTTCAATGGATGATGAAGATCTAGTCATGCTTTTCCATCAATAGCTAGCTATGAATGACAGCGATCATGCAGTGAAAGCCCCCTTTCCATAGCCAATGATGAACATTGCGGTACAAATGTAATTGTGATGGTGAATTCCCTTATAAAAGATGGGAAAGATTAGCCAGCCTTATCAATGGCTGAGTTGCTTTTTCTCAATCCTGCCATTGACGTCTTTCCCACTCAAATTACATAAATGCCAGTACTTGCTCGACGCTGCGCCATAAATGACCCCACTAGCCATCGAAAATAACTTTCATCTCACAAACCTCCAACTTTCCTTCAGTCACCGCCAATATAGCGACTTCTAGAGGAGCAGCTCTGCGACGTCTCGCCAACATCTCCGCTTCTCTGCGCAGTCCACTGCCACCAAAACAGCTGCTCGCAAAATCGAGGTCGTCAGGCGCAAGAGCTATGGCTACTCTGGGCTCTCATGAGCAGAAGCACAAAGTGACCGTGGTGGGGTCCGGCAACTGGTGACCTTCTGCCCATTCAGTGCCTCCAGCGAAGCTAATGGCTTATGAAGGGGTTCAGCTATAGCCAAGATAGTGGCAGAGAATACAGCAGCGCACCCTGACTTATTCCAGAAAGATGTGCAAATGTGGGTTTTCGAGGAGGAATACCAAATTCCCAAGGGCTCAAAACACTACGAGACATCTTCGAAATTCTCGACGGAGAAGCACAAGCTCACGAGGCTGATCAACCACTTCCACGAGAACGTCAAGTACCTGCCCGACGTTTCCCTTCCCTCCAACATCATCGCCAACCCCTCACTGCAAGAATCCGTCAAAGACTCTACGATACTCATTTTCAACCTCCCTCACCAGTTCATCAGTGGTCTCTGCGACCAAATGAAAGAATCCATCCTACCCTACGCTCGAGGAATATCTTGCATCAAAGGTGTCGAGGTGTCCGAAGAAGATATAAGCCTTTTCTCCGAATCAATTGGTGAAAAGTTAGGGATATATGTCGGTGCACTGTCAGGTGCGAACATTGCCAACGAAGTCGCTCAGGAAAAGTTCTGCGAGACCACTGTCGCCTACGATCCTCCGCCAATGGACTCTCGAAACCCTACGCCTAAGGAGGGAAGAACACCTCAAGCTTCTCAGCTGGACCTAACGCAGATCACGGAGCATAAAGATTCCAAGGGACTGACATCCACGGTCCGATTAACAGCTCAACCGGCGGATCTCCCACCGCTTGACCACGAGCTCATGCACACACTCTTCCATCGACCATACTTTCACGTCCATGTGGTATCGGACGTAGCAGGCGTATCTCTTGGCGGTGCCTTGAAGAACATTGTGGCCCTCGCCGCCGGCTTCGTCGCCGGTCTTGAATGGGGCGACAACGCCAAAGCCGCCATCATGCGCGTGGGGCTCCTTGAAATGCGCAAATTTGGAAAGATGTTCTTCGAGAACTCCGTCCGCACCGCCACATTCACCGAGGAGAGTGCAGGTGTAGCCGATCTGATTACGAGTTGTTCTGGGGGAAGAAACTTCAGATGTGCGAAGATGAGCGTTCAAAGGCACATGAGTATTGCCGAGGTGGAGAAGGAGGAATTGAACGGGCAAATGTTGCAGGGAACGAGTACGGCGAAGGAGGTGTATGGGTTTCTGAAGGCGAGGGGGAAGGAGGGCGAATTTCCTTTGCTTACTAGCACCTATCGTGAGTCAAGTCCATTCGAAGGTTTGAAAGGTATCTCTGCTAACCTTGTGTCGTAGTAATCCTGCAGGGTGAGGCCAAAGTAGAAGATCTGCCTGACCTGATTGCAAAACCCAACCTATTTTAGACATGTCGAGGGAGAATGAACGGAATACAGAAAGTGAATATAAGATGCTGTGATATGAAGCCAAGCGCTCAGACCACGAGATTTTGGCGCGTTTTCTCTCTATGAATGATCCCACGCGTCACCATCTCACACTTTTCATTATTCCTTTCCTCCCATGATGATTAGACCCAATTGATGCAGTGAGTAGTACGTCTCCACAATTTTCATACAATGCCCGTGGCATTTTGATTCATCAGCACCATCTCTACCTGTGCAGAATTCCACCAACTCAGTCTACCCAGCAGCAACTTCTCTCACTCAACGATCTTCTCCCTCTTCGGCATTCTATCATAAACCTCGCAACCAGCAACCAAGCACCAAGCACCAAGCACCAAGCAACCATCACCTACATGCCGAGCATTGCCCCCACATCCTAATCGGTTGGACGCCAGCGTGAGACTCAAGTCTACATCTCACGGGGTACACTCACCTCACTACACACCCATTGTAATCTAATCTGACCGAGATCTATCCGCAGGCTCAAAACATGCCGCAAACTTCGCGCTCTCATAGGAGGAAGTCTACGACCTCAACATCCACTGCAGGGACTGGCGCCTCTTCTGCGTCATCTCGGAAACGAAAGAGGACAGCCTCGACAACTCCAGCGGGTCCACCGCCAAACAGCAGCAAGCGTATAAAGACAGAAACGAGTGCTCCGACCGAGCCTAAGTTGGCGAAGTCGGTGGGCAAGGTGTCAGAGTGAGTCATTCCCCTGCCTACGCTTACTGGCAAGACTGACGACGCACTTGCGCTACAGCTCAATCTACGATACCATCATCGACTTCAAGATTGGCGAGAGTCTCACTAGCTTTGGCATTCATCGTGGACTTCTCTGGCGTACGTCGTCGTTCTTTAAAGAGAAGCTCTCTAGTAGCGAGACAACGGAGGGCGGCATTACTGCCCGAAGTATTGTCATGAAGAACGAAGATCCAGACGTCTTTCGCCGTTTTACAACTTGGCTCTATTCCAAAACCATCATTTTAGAATCAGAGAACTACAAGACTCTACCTTGGGAAGTCATCATCCAGACCTACTCTTTCGCCGAACGGACGAGAATACCCGGTTTACAAAACACTTGCGTGGACACGGTTATCAAGAAGAGAAGGGATGGAGGACTATTTCCCGCGCAAGGCCCGGTCAATACTCTGTGGAGATACCCTGGAAAGGTATTCCGGCTTCGAAGACTCCTTCTCGACCTCTTTGCTACAGAATGCAATCTTTCGAACGCCCTCGCAAATAATGGCTCTTACCATCCGAGATTCTTGCAGGGATTGGTGCTTACGCTTTATGAAATGAAGGGGAAGCGGACCATGTACAATCTGGTGGACTTCTGGCAGAAGAGGGTGAATTACTACGTCGATGACAACGAGAACCCAATCCCCCTCGATTGAGACCCTCGGCAGCTTGGAGTCCTTGCTCGTCTCAGATCACAGTCGCTCAGCGTACGCCAGACACTCTACATACAACAAGCTTCACCATAACGATGTATCGTTCCCAGTCGCGGAGATTTGGTGCAAGGGTTTGCCATTGGCAACATACGACATCTGTGCATCATCTGCAGGAAGGGCGAGAAAGAGGGAGGATCTTTGACCGGCATAATCACACATCTGTATCATTACCAAGTAAAGGAGCTGCAGCAAGGATTGTTCACCAGCATTCCAGTTCACATAGCATTCGCGAAGGCTCTTTCAAAAGCATATCATGTATTCAGCTCTCAGCTAGCCACGAGAATCAAAGCTACAGCTGACGCCTCTGATCTCATCCACGCAACCGTAGCCATCTCTCCTCCACCAACAGCCCTACCAACATTCCCAATCCTCCCATCCACCATCCCATCATCTCAACCTCCTAGCTTCTCTCTCCGACTCAAGCAGGCACAGGATATCATCTTCGCGCACTGTAGACACCCCACCTGTCAGCACTCACCCGCCAAGCTCATCACGAGCGCAATGAGGAGGATGGTGGAAGCGTACCGGCCCCCTTGACGTTGCGGATGATGGAGCGGGTGGTATCGTCCATGAATTCGACGCGGACCTGTGTGACGCCTCCTCGGGAACCTGCCCACATGCCATCAGCACCCCGAAACCACAACAGGTACGAGAAGGAACAGCGCGGCGGTGGGGCGTGGCAGCTGGGACCGGAGGAGAGGGATGCGTACCTGTGCGACCCAGCACCCTGGTCACCTTGACGAGCTTGACGGGGATTTTTCCGGAATCCATGGTGGCAGTAGAATCTGGTTGAGGCTGTAGAGGGTTGTGTCGTGAACGCTTTCGCCGAAATTCGAGAAAGTTTGTGTGCGATGCGGCTGTATCGGTGCCAAGATGCTAGTCTTCTAATAGGGCTGGGTGAATGCGAGAATTTCCGAGGCCTCAAGCGAGAGACCCGGAGAAAGCTTTTTCTCTGCATGTAAGTATTCCCAGTCGGCCAGTTGGATATGTGATTGGTCCGAGTTGTCACTGACTAAGTACATCAGGAGCCTTCTACATATTGGGGAAAACAACATAGCCAGAATCCCAGCAACAACGCTGCACGCAGACCACTGAAGCCTCAAGAACGGCCCACATGCCCATTACTCTGCTGAAGATTGAAGGTCTACGACAAGCAATCACAAGTCCTTGGTGACTAACAGAAGAATCCATACCCGACTTCTTGGATAGCTTTTGCAGTTCCGAGATCTTAAGCATCAGCAGAAGAAGAGTCTCAGGACTTGCGCAGCGATGGATCTTGTCAACCAGTCAGTACTCACGAAAGTCCATATCTCCCTCCTCTCCTGCCTATGGCCCATAAATGGAACCGAAGCTGACTCCAAACAAAGCCTAGAAGGCCGCCTCCTCTTCGCCGTCCCCAAAAGTGAGCATCTCCGTCTCCCTCCCGGAATTCCCCACTCACGTCCTGCACTCCAGAGGGACGACTCCAACAAGCCACCCTCGACCTCCTCGCCGGCTCTGACATACAATTCCGCCGCGAAACCCGCCTCGACATCGCCCTCGTCAAGAACCACCCCATCGCCCTCGTCTTCCTCCCCGCCGCCGACATCCCGACCTTCGTCGGCGAAGGCCGGGTCGACCTGGGTATCACCGGCCGGGACCAGGTCGCCGAGCATGAAGCGTTTGTGCCGGCCACGGAAGATACGGGCGTGGAAGAGGTGCTGAACCTAGGGTTTGGAAAGTGCAGGTTGCAGGTGCAGGTGCCGGAGAAGGGGAAGCTGGAAAGGCCCGAGGAGCTGGTGGGGAAGAACGTGGTGACGAGCTTTGTAGGGTTGACGGAGAAATACTTTGCGCAACTGGAGGGCCTGGAGGGGTACGAGAACGGGGTCACGAACGGAGATGCGTCTGTGAGGAGCAGGCTGAAGACGAAGATCAAATTCGTGGGAGGGAGTGTGGAGGCCGCTTGCGCGTTGGGCGTCGCGGACGGGATTGTGGATCTTGTCGGTAAGAAACAGACTCCCTGGTACCCGTAAAGGTCTACTGACCGCGACCCAGAATCCGGCGAGACGATGAAAGCAGCCGGCCTCAAAGCCATAGACACCGTGGTCGAGAGCACAGCAACACTGATCAAATCGAAACACCCCTCGAATCAAAAGCTCGTCGACATGATCGCATCCCGCATCAGCGGCGTCATCAGTGAGTCCCTCTTCCCCTCCCCCCCCCTCACAAAACCCCCAAGCTCACCCTCTCCAGCCGCGCAGAAGTTCATCCTCTGCCAGTACAACATCGCCCGCGGCGGCGTGGAAACGGCCACCAAGATCACGCCCGGGAAGCGGGCGCCGACCGTCACGGCTCTCGAGGACCCGGAGTGGGTGGCCGTCAGCTCCATGGTGCCGAAGGAGAACATAGCGTCGGTCATGGACGAGTTGACGGCTTGTGGCGCGACTGATATACTGGTGCTCAACATAGCCAATTCGAGAACTGGATAATGAAACTTGAGCCTTTTGAGCTGGACTGGCTGGACTTCCTCTCACCATGAGCCCCTATGTGCATACAGAATCCCTGAAACTAAGTACAGTACAGACGGGTATTGATTGAGCGTACTCTACGCATGCAATGGAAGATTGCTCTACTACTTCGACAACTGCCCATTCTGACCCCAGATCCTGCCAAATGACAAAGTATGACCGGATCGCAGAGCCAACCCGAGACGGCGGGCACTAACCCATGAGCGATCGAACGCAGAATCTTGACCAGCGATCCGAACGCACGCCATCCCGATTCAATCCGATCAACCGACCGGCCCCATCCATCTCGCCAAACCACGACCGGAAACACGTCCCCAGACCCTTCAAACCTCACTGCCTGACCCGATTGATCTCATCGGCGGTCCAGACCGGCACACCGTCACCGCTCCGGGTCAAGAGATGCTTGTACTCGGCGTACAAGCGGCCGCCCCAACCGAAAGCGTAGGGGGCTTTGGCGTGCCTCTCGTAATGATTGACGAGGCGTCCGACTTCGACGATGCCGTGGTCCGGCAACCGAAGGTGCGCGGGCACGTGGCGGTCCAAGACTGGACGTTTCAGCTGCCGCTCAGCGCGCGACGGCCTTTTCTTCTTCTTCTTCCTCACTTGGGATCCTTCGGCTCCGTCCCCGCCTTGAGCGGCCGCGGTTGCGGTTGCGGGTGGAGCGGTCGCCGGGGCCACCGCAGCGGCCTGTGTTGGTGTTGTGGCGGGAAGGCGTTCCAGTAGCACTTTTTCGAAGCTGGCGAGTTTCCTGTCCAGGTTCCGGAGAATGGCGTTGTTCGAGATTTCCTCAAGGGCGTGGTCACGTCGTTTTTGTGGAGGTTGCGGCGAAGGATGACGTTGATTGGCAGCGTTGTTTCTGCGTATCGACTCGACGGGCATTGACTGATGTCGAGCACGCTGAGCACGGAAAGAAGCCTGCGGCTCAGGACGTCCGCTAAATGCTCCTGACAGACCTTTGCTGGTTCGCCTTAATGCCGCATTTTCTTCTCCGTAGGTTGAGCTATCAGAGATGTGATGATTAGGTATATCGGCTCCGCTCCGCTTGCCTGGCGGAAATGAGTCTGGCTGGGTGGGATAGCCGCTGGCGTCGTCGACTATAGCAGAGCTTGGATGCTGGTCAAATGAGGAGCTAGTTGGATTCGTAGTGGTTTTGACTCTCTCATGCACCCACAGATTCTCCGGCAGCGTGGGTTTGTTGGGGGCCTCCTTGGGTGGCAGTGATCGTTCTGGACCGAGACGAAAGCCCAAGGAGCGCAACTCCGTATTCGTGGTTTGTGCAGAACGTGACGAGCCTGCGGCATTGAGGGGAGGTCGATAGCTCTCTCCATAGCCATAGAATGCTGGAGGGGGAATACTTGACTGGGCTCGCCCTGACTGATCACTACCTCGGTTATTAGTGGAAAGGACTCCATGAGCAAATCCAAATATTGACTCGAGGGACTGCTCGTCTCCACGACATGGGTAACCCTCTTCCCTAAGCATCCTCTTGCATGCATCAATAACCATAGGAGGGTGGATCGAGCCGCGGCAGCAGCTGATTTGCTTCACGTGCTCGAAGAAGTCGAGCTTGCCGCCCGGCCATGTCGCTAGACAAGGCCCGTAGCCTGGATTGCTCGTAAAGTACTCGGGCAATAGTGCACACGAACAGCTTCTGAGTACCTCGGGCACAGATACCTCTCGCCTTTCATAAGGCTTGCGCCATCCTTCATTAGGAGCTCTCTTCTGTTGCCCACTATCTCTCGATGCTTGACCGCCAGACTGGCCCGACTGCTCTTCATGCAGTTGAAAATCGCGTGCCTCAGCACCCGCTCTGGAGGAACGCTGCGCTTTCTGGATTTTGGCGCCCTCTGATGAACACCCGCTGGCCTCGATGTCTACATGACAACGGACATCATTCATACCTGATCTGTCCTCGGCCTTGACAGCGACCACTCCGTATCTTTGTGCTCCCTGTCTCAGGCTCTTGCCCGTCGGCGGCTTTTGAGCACTCATTTGCTTGCTCGAATCGCTTTCTTTAATAACGGTGTTCCTGTCATCACGAGTAGAACAATCATGAAAACCATGCTTCTGCGATTTCAACGGTTTGTGTCGCTTGCGCGGTTCCATGTGCTTCCCTTCGTCGTCTGCCTTCCTCTTGTCCGTCTTCTGTGTCTGCTTATAGGTCTCCACGACTGATCGTCGCTCCCCTATTTTACCTTTCTCCTTGCGCTTTCCTGCCATCATGACTTGTTTCTTTACGGCCAACTGCTGGCGCATCTCCTTTTTGGTTTTTTTGTAATCGAACACCTCCTTGGGCAGTTCTACAAAATCAGCCTCCTCAAATCTTTTTCGACGAAGCTTTGAATTCCATATAGATGGTGATGGGGGCATTGGCGTCACTACTGTCTCGAGATTCGGCGAGCTTTGAGGTGCTGGGGTCGACTCTTTCTTGATGACAAGCGTGTCGCTGGCCCATGGTGGTGATTTTAGCGGCGATGAGTCGGATGTAGATCCCAACATTGCACTGGATCCAGTATTCGGACACGTAGATATATGCTCGCAAGGATTCCTTCGAGACGAAGTACTTGATGCTGAGCTGGGGGTTGCATCTGCCAGTTCTGCTGGCGAAGGGATATAATCGCTTTCTTTTCCTTCATCGGTGCCACAATCTGGCGTGGATCTGGTAATCCTCTTGCGCGCAGAATGCTCAATGGAGGGCACAAGATTCTTTTCGCTTGGAGGCTGCTGCCTCCGGGCTCTTGACGTCGAAGCGCTCGAAATTCCCTTTTTCTTGCTTGGGGTATGCATAGCTTTTTTGGCTTTTGCGACTGCTTGTCTGATATCGCCTTTGTTTTTAGACAGACCAGGGCTCTGCTGGTGGGTTGGAAGCACCGCAGCCCAGGGGCGCGCTTTGGGAGATTTCATACGATGGGTCTCGGGAGACGTTCGTTGTTGTTGTGCCGCTGGAATCATGACCTTTGGAGATACCTGATTCTTAGCCCTGTCCAGCTTTCGCTTTGCGCAGGGTGCTTGCTCAGGACTCAGAGCTGAGGCCATGCCTCTGTCCGTTTCGCGACATTGTTGGGACACGACATCAGATAACGGTCGCCTTCTTGAATGAGGCTTCAACGGGCTCTCCGAAGGCCGATTGATAGCTCGGAAGCTGGACATGTCAACTCTATGAGGTATCATTAGCCTAAAGTCGAAACACTGTGTTGAAGTAATTCTTACCCTAGACCCCTGGATGAAAGGTCTTGGCTTCGGGGACATCAGCACTATACCGCCTCATAAAGATTCTTAGCAGTGAATTCAAGAACCACCGTGATGTTTGAAAAGGGTGTTGGGTTTCTTGAGGTTGCGAAGACATAAAAGGAGTCAGCTCACGCGCCGTCGTCTTTGCAAGGATATCAGACGCGTTCGGACGAGTAACGCCCGTGATCTCGCTTCCAAGGTATTGCTTCGTGAACGCACGGTGTCGAGGTCATAGCGAGGCCAAATGACGCTTACAGGAAGGCATTATACTTGTTCCGATGATGCCACCACAACCGCTCTACGAGCACAGATTCTTAGCTGGCGTGAAGGACCAATTGAAAGATGTGATGATGCTCTCTCTGTCTACCAAGAGTGTCGTGTAGGCTCATGTCGTAACCGTTTGACAGCAGCGCGTTGAGTGTCACGAAATATGACGTGCAAAATTTTGAAAAGTTCGTGCGCTTAGGGGTCGCTTAGGGATACATCGAGCCCGCAGCCTGGGAAACAAGCTACTGGACTCCATGGCTCCCAGGAGAACGATTTCCAGTTTGATCACGTGTTCGTCAGCTTTTGGAATAGAAGGCCGTCACTCCTCTAGGCAGTCGGCTTTTGGAAGACCGGAAAACTTGTGAGCTAGAGAATGTTACTAGAAGCAAGAGTTCATAGCGTAGAGGTGGTGGTGACGATGTGAACACGGCTTCTTCGCAATGTCATCACTTCACCACGGAAGCGTTCAAGATCCAGGAGTATCGCTTCCGCAACTATGGAGACAGCTCGATAGGCGCCTTTTTTGATCCAGCTTTGCTCTTTGAAGCAGGCTTTGTAGATAGGTCTGCAGTCTTCTTCTCCAAGCCTTCACCACCGTCCTTCAGTTCGCGCAGCCTCCCTACAATCCAAGCCTTGAACGCTCTAAACCATCCTGCGCCTCCATCCTCAAGCCGCCCACAAATGGTTAGCAAGGCTTCATACCTCTGCCTTTCATTTGCCCCAGTAGCTTTCAACATTTTTGCCAAATCAACAGGGCAAAGGTACGGAGGCTGCCGCACATCTTCTGCAAGAGAGCCTGTAGCTTGCATGACACAGGCGTAGTAGACGCAATGGTCCATGCCGAAGCAGTGACCTAGCTCGTGACTGGCAGTTTGGCATACGCGGGAGAGCCAGAGAGATGAGAAGTGAGATGGTGTTTGTGGAGTTGGGAGAGAGGCATGAGCTGATACGGCGGCGTTGAGTGGTGTCTGGTGAGAAAATGAGGCATCAAGCTTTGCTTTCTTGACCTTAGAGGGCGCTCCGCAGCATTCTCGCATGTACGCATCGCAATGAGATGCAGGCCAAGCATGTTCTCTCTCTACATCCTGTCTGTCGTCCAGGCTCGGATTGTATCTGGCTGTGGAGATGACAGCCACTCTGCTGCCTCCATAGGCTCGCCCTGCACATTTTGGAGTCAGCACGACGTCTTTGAGACAACATACCCAGAGTATGACAGATCTGAGGGTTGAAGCGCGTCTACTGTTCCGAAACATGTCTTGTGATTCAAAACCAGGGACTCGATTAGGAAGGTCGCTCCGAGACTTCGACTTACCGCAACAAAAGTCATCGTCTTCGTCCTCGAAAATATCGTGCTCCACGAGCATCAATAGGGCGTACCCATCATCTGGCAGTATGCTTATAACTGTGTCAAGGAGATCATCCAAGTTGAGCTGGCCCTTGAAGACTCCATCTTTTGATGGACGTGTGCGGATACCAATAGTCTCCGTTAACGTAGTGAGGCCAATGTATTTCGGAATGTTCGAATTTGCTTGTGCTTTGGATGATTTCGGATCTGTGTCGTCCCACCTGCTGAAGTGGAGCAGCCCTGCTGGCAATAGCTTGACATTCATGCCGTGATAGAATGCTTTCAAGTACTCTAGCACGTGCTTTGCATTTGGCGATGGTACGTCCGTCGACTTATTGGAGACGATTGTCCCGCCGGTAGCGCCTTTTATTTGCGGATTGCTCCATGCGTGAATGAAATTTATTTCAGGCTTGATATCCGGAGAACTAGCCAAATAGACTACATTCCGTTCTGGCGTCACTTCGTTGCGCTCCTTCTCACGTACCCATGAGAGGAGACTCTGCGGAGGGCAGCGCGTATCGAACGAAAGGTCATCTCCAGGAAGCACAAGCGGGGCGGGAAAAGTTCCTCCGAACTCCCCGTCAGCGTCCTGCTTTCTCTTGCCAGCACCTGTCGCGCGCTGCTGACTTGTGGGTCTATGGAAGCCTGCGTCGTCAGCATGTGTAGATGATTCAAGGTTGAGGGTAGTGTGATTGCAAGCCGGTGACATATCTGAGAAATAGTCAATGGGCATGAGATTACGTATGCCTAAAAGCAAGAGTATCCACCAACAAGGGCGCAGAAAGCGAGGAGTGACAATCCGCAATCGACAAGGCTGGTCAGAAAGTGCAGGAAGCTCGGAAAGCATTGGTTGATGAAGGGGGGGTCATAGTGCGGCGTTGGAGCCTAGAATACCTAGGGCGGGCTGGCGAAGAAACAGGCTAGGTGCCAGGAATAGCGGCAGTCCAACCGATATGAATCCTCAAAGTTCTGACAAAGTCGACATCAACGAGGAACTTCTTGCGCTGCCCAACAATTTTCCTGAAATAGATCGATCACGGACGATGTAATGTTCCGGGTTGTCATCGAAGTTTGATGTGAGATCGAGAGGGCTTCATCTTTTGAAAATGCTCTTCTTTTCAACAGCTTGCCTGAGCAAAAAGCATCTTCGTAAGCTGACGAGTGTTGAGATCTTTCGATTGGAATCGCTGCCCGCAACTTGAACCTCTCCGTATGTACAAAGCAAGGCTGGTAAACCACTGTAGGCCATAATAAGATCCGTACGGGGCATGTTCAAATGCGCCTGGTATCATCAATTCCCAATCCAAGCATCGTGCATTGCTGCTTCAGTATGTATCTTCCTTGCAATCCCTCAAATCGATGTGCACAAAACTGTCTTTGCGAGCGCAGATGGTGGAAACTAAGCGTTTACTGCATTGGCCCATGCCATCCCACCCGGACCCCATCATTCTCAAATAAAGAGGTCTGTATTGCCCCGCCTCCCATGTTTCATCCTCTGCTTGGTCGCCTTTGACACCCTGTATCTTCCCAAGAACACCACTCCAGGCCGTTTAAGAGGAACTCCAATGCGCCTGCCAATATTCTTGTGGGATTGTCGACGGTGTTTACGGAATGAGTTCCCAGACGGAAAGGTCTTCTTACAGGCTTCGCATTTGTGAGGAATGCTAGCAGGAGCAGACACTGGAGGGGTTGCTGGAGGCGTCGGAGGTGTGTACTGCGCTGGCTGATTCGTAACCTTAGAGATCCATGCGCAGGGTCGGAAGATAGAGGACTGCTGAAGGTGATGTTTTATAGGGTCGTCATCTTTCTTCCAATCCTTGAGAATCAGCTTGCAACTGAAACAGGTGACGGCGTCTGTGCTCTTATTGCTGTGGTAGAACCCAGCAGAGGCCATTGCGGCAGGGAGGGGCTTTATGTCTAGCGGCCAGGTGTGGAAGGAATGAAATCTTTCGTCCCATGTCGTCATATAAGTGTCATTGTTCCAAGTGCAATTTGGAGCTGCCCTTCGATGCTCAGTGATTGGATCTGACTGCTCGTTCCAGCCTTCCATAACCACGTTGCAGTTGAAGCACGAGACCGCGTCGGTATCCACGCGAAACTGATAAAAGCCTGCACCTGCCATGAAGATGGGACGAAGTCGACCTCCATGAGGCCAATTGGTAAAAGAAGCGATCCTCTCCTCAACTGTATCCATTGACCTTCTTGCTGGACTATGATCATGAGATAGGTGATCATTCGAGGGTCCAGCAATAGCTATTCCAGTGAAGGCCTGAAAGGCCATAAGGATGGATGTGGTGAAGGAATTGTGATTTGATTGAGAGGCCGAGTGTCATACCATTAGATGGGGTGAATAAAATGTGTTTCGAGGCAGGCGCGTCGCGAATAAGAGTTACGCCGGGTAGGAAAAGTGACCACCACAACTCTAAAACTGTTACAATACCAGCCCCTTCGGCTATCGCATACATGTCGCGTATTACTAGGGCTAGTAATTACCAGCCACTAGCCACCAGCCACCTGTTTTATGTACATAAATATCCGTACATCCCATGAATCAATAATCAGTCTTTCAGTCACAATTATTCTTTTCTAACATGTCTGGTATCCTTCCTACTCTCAACAAAATTCTTAGGCCCGCTTGGGCCCACTACTCGTAATCTTATAGCCTCTAACGTTGTGGCGCTAAGATAGGTAGGTATTTGGACTCAATTTCTCATTCTGTTCGAGGATTTATGATACCATAGACTATAAACTCTAGGTGGCATAGCCATCCCGAACACAGCTTGTAGTCCGGCGCGTAAGAGCGTGACACTATGGGCGTTGGATTTTTCAGGATCCTCCTCTTCTCGGGCAGACTTGTCTCTACAAGATTAGCCATTCTACCAAAGTATTCTCTATATCCTCCTTTATGGTAGCATTGGCATGAAAAGGGGCCGTCAAGTATGTTCTCTCCGACCTGCTACACCGAGTCGGCAGGATGTTGGCGTCTCGCAGACGAAATGCAAAATGTAACCTCAAGGCGAAATCATCGACGTTCTAGGCTACCTCAGCCCTTTCCCCCGCCTTGAGATCACAAATGTTTCATGCATTAGCGGCACCATATTTAATTCCCCTCTTGTGGACCAGGCTGAAGTTCTGCAGCTACCTGCACAACCTGCTTGGGCGATTTCAGTCAATTGTCTGAGATTCCCTGCTATCTACTTGGGTATATATGTTTTGACAAACAAGATACAGGCCAGCGCAGACGTATCTACGAGGCATAGGAAGTCACGCCGCTTGGGCTATGTTGAGACTGATCTTAGATCGATGTTCATGGAGAACCCGAAGTGATTGGGGTGAGACGCTGAGCCTCGATCTAGAACATGACTCCCCGGGATCCAGCGGGTCATCAGATACCACTCTGCAGGCATGATCCCCACTTTGCAAGTTCTCGCCCGTTCATCGAGTGAGGCTTCCATCACCTGAAGCCTTATTACTCCCTCGTTTATCCCTTCAACTCTGTCTCACACCTGGTTATAAAGCAAGAAAGGATCTTGGTTTCTAGCGAAAGCACAGCTTTAGCTCTACAAACATTTTGCGCTCAGTCATTCCCAAGGTTACAGCTAGTGTTAGATTATGCCAGACCTCACAGTCCAGACGAAGATGTCCTCTACAGGCCCCAAAAAACGCATTCTCTACATCCTTGTGATGGGTCTCACAGGAGCTGGGAAGAGCACATTCATTTCCGTCGTCACTGGAAATGAGGACATCCCGATCGGGGCCCCATCGGACCTGGATGGAGGTACGCAACTTCTCATAACTTGTTGCTTGCTTGGAAGCTTACGCTCCCTCCAGTAACACAGGAGGTTCAAGACTATATACTCTACTACCACCACAAAGGCTGCCGTTACGAAATCCATCTTATCGACTCGCCTGGATTCGACGACGGAACTCTGAATGACGCCCAAGTCCTGTCACAAATCGCAACTTATATTAACACAAGCTACAAACTTAAACAAAGACTAGCAGGCGTGCTGTACCTCCATGATATTACCAAAGCAAAAGTAGGTGGTGTTGGAAAGATAAACCTCCGCATGCTAGAGAACTTGATCGGCATGGAGAAGTGCAACAACTGCACGTTAGTCACGACCAAATGGGGATGCACCAATCTTCAGGATGAAGAGAAAAGAGAAAAGACGCTGAGTGTGGAGAAGAAATTCTTTGGCGCCATGCTGCAAAACGCGCAGCAAGCCAAGATGAAGAGATTCGAACCCAAGACGAGGAAATCGGCACTAGACATTATCATCCCATACCTGGAGAACGAATTCACGCCGCACATCTCCCGTCAGATGGTGGACCCGCGGGGGCCGAAGCTACCTCTGGGGGAGACAGAAGCGGGCAAAGTTGTAGCCGACAACCTGGAGAAACTCTCGCAGACCAAGCAGGAACAGAAGATGGTGCAACACGCGCAGGAGATCCTATCGCAGAGTTACGACGAGAGTTTGTTTGAGGAATTCAAGCAGAAGAGGAAGGTGTTGCGGCGCAAGATCCATATGCAGCAGTCCGGCCGCTGGATTATGCGCACCGCGATCGTGGGCGGAGCCATTGTGGCCACTGTTCTCACGCTTGGACTGGGCGCTTCCGCTTTTGCATTGGAGCCCGTGTACGAGAAGGCTGTCAGGGGGCAAAGAAAGGCGGAGAAGAAAGCCAAGGTGGATCTGAAAGCAGATTTCATCGAGAAGAGTAAGAATGCGAATCAGCTCAGGCAGACCAACCCGGATTGGTTGTGGGACAACAAGGTGAAGCGGCTGCAGGATTTGGAAAAGTCATACAGTCTGAAGAGTGGAAGCTCTGACTCGGATATTTTAAAGGTTGTGCGGCTTGGGGAGAAGGTTGGGTTCGCTAGGTCTGAGGACTCCGAGGCTCCTCTGCATGCCGCTGACTGGGAATGTTCTGACAGCTCAGATTCTTCGGAATCTGATGCTGAGCAAGAATGATAATACCGCGAGATGGTTTGGAGGTGCTTTTGAGGGTCTTTATAACTTTCACTCTTATGGTCGCAGTTGAACGAAGCCAGGTGACGCACTTCAAGAGGACGAGGAAGCGCACTCTGCAAGACTGTGTTCATTTTTTCTCGCGGGGAAACAGTTGGAGATGACGAGTCTCATAGTCGATACTGTATTTGTCTTTGATGGAAATAATATCCGTCAATCATAGAAGCAGTTCCAAGCCGTGAAAAGGACGATACTTCAACAGTCTCTCCTCCACAAATAGCTTGCTCAATACCGACTACCCCACCCCCTTGGTCCCATACCGCGCCTTACCTCTCACTTCCTCCTCGTCATCGTCATCATCAACTCTTCCCCACCTCCATTGCCAAACTCCCCATCCCCTTCCTCCCCCTCACCTCCAACAACCGTCACCGGCTAGAGCATCGAAATGTCGGCAGCACCGACCTTAGCGCCCGTCTCGCTTATCAATTCCCTACGATGTTGTTCGTACTCAAGAGTCCCCCATGCTTCCAAGTCCCCAGCATAAAACCTTTCCAAAACACATTCCCTTTGGCAGTTTTGCAAACGCGTGATCCCTTTCCGCTGATACCAGTCCTGTCATCATCTTCCAGTATATCTGCCAGCTACGCTGCCATGAACTCGATCTTCTACAGATTCTTGATCCGCCGGGAAGAAAAGGTGCTCCATGCGGATCAATAATGGTCCTGTAAACCGAGCGAGGCTATGAGTGCCGTAAAAGGTGGGTCGGAGGGATCTTAGGGTCTTTCTTCAGGTACGTTTGCACTGCTGTGGGTGCAGCTAGATACTCGCCGCGTTAATGAGGTGGGGGAGGCTCGTCGCAGTGTTGGTGCTTGTGGCCTTCCGGCACCGAATATCTCGACCGCTAAGACCCCTGCGGTCAAGTAGTAGGGTTAGGGCTCGTGCTAGCTCTGATTCAGGACTTCCGGTTGCCGACACCCGTAGCCTTTAGCGTTTTGCAAAAGCCAATGATATCGGATCAAGATTTTTTTTGAAACAGATGTTTGGACGTTTGTTTTCCGTTGAGGATGTCGTACCCATTGCTAACATTCATACACCACCCTCGTCGAGTCCCTTCAGGGTCAGAACTGCGAGCGTGAGACGGCGTTAGGGCTAGGGCCCATCAGCATTGGCTAACACGCGTCGGCTGACGCACCCGGAAGTCACAAGCTCTGGGAGCTGGTCTTGAGAGCCTTCGATTCAGTTCTTCAGATACTTACAGAAACTCGTTAGAGTTATATCTCTTTATGGATATTAGTTACTCTTAAATAAAAGACTATCTTAATTTTCTATACGTAATCTTAAATATTCTATATATCTCTTATTTAAATTAATAATAATAATAATATTAATATAGATTATTTTCTACTATATACTATATTTTATAATATTAAAAAGTATTTAATCTCGAAAACTCTAATATTACTTCGTATATTTCTACTTTAACTTATTTAATTTTACTATAGTATAAAGTCTTATTTTAATTTTTAATAGTAATAAAAGATTAAATAAAGAAATATAGAGAATTATATAAAATAGTATTTAGTAAAATATATAACTTAAATCTTAACTTTTTAATATAGTCGTTTATAATTTATTTTAATATTAAAGTTCTAGTCTCTAAAAGTTAAAAGTTTAATCTTTAAAACTAATATAAAAAACCTTTTAGCTTTTAACTTTCTATTTTCTTTAAAATTTCTAATATAATTCGTTTTGATAATACTCTAGATTATTCTTTATAATAATATCGAAAGTTAAAATACTAAATAGCTCGTTCAAGGGTTAGAAATCAAGTTTCTCATTTGGTTCTTATTTATCGAATCATTTGCTCCCAATTAATTGCGACAACAGCGATGAATTACGCTCTCAGTAAGTCCTACGATTCCCTTAGAGATTGCGATGATATTTACAGCTTCAAAGGTTCCCCTTTGAAGGCTATTCAAGGTACTGCGATTCAAGACCTCACGGACGGTCGATTTGGCGTCCCTAAATTCGGCCGATCGCGCGGGTGGCCCACCAGCCTATCATATTCATCTACAACTTCATCATTGAAACCTCGCGGCCTGGGGTTATCAAGTGTAAGCTTTACCCAGAAGACGAATCCTTGATCTTGATTTTTATATAGGATGGGATCATTTGTTGAATCTTTCTTAGGTCTCAATACCAACCAAGCCAAAGTACATTCCAAATCAAAGGCCACCTCCACAAGTTCACAGCAGTCTGCCACATGGCGCAACTGGACCGAACGAGAGATCACGCAGAGTCATCATATCCCGTTTTCTACTCTTGGATGGCAATATCTCATTCGTTGTTGGGACCCAGATTGATGGTGTTATATCTTGTGACGCCGAAGAGGTTCCTGTAGCCAAGATACTTGACCACGTCTCACCAGCAGAGATAGAACGCTTCGAAAACCAGGACTTCTTTGCCGAAGATGAGAGAGAAAGACTTCTGCCTCCCAGAAAGCCTCGTGGGAGACCGCGAAAAGGTGACCGCATAGTGCCATCTTTCAACATAGCTCCCATTGGCCAAGAGACATCAAGGGAACAATCACTTCTACCTGAGGGTTTCATCTCCATCAAGAAGAAGCTTGGCCGTCCAAAGGGTTCCCACAATCGAGGTCCGCATAAGAAGAAGGCCTACAAACTCACGTTGAAACCATTTGTTCTATCTGAAACATCGACCGCTACCAAGAAAGCTCGCGGTCGACCACCACTTCAGAAGAACCTTTCCGTCGTGATTCCTTCCTTCGATGGGCCTCAACCCCAAGAGCTCGAAAGTACCCCTGGCGCAGAGTCGGAAAGCGACGACATGTTGGGCGACCCTAAACCACAGTATTCAATGGTCGCTGCAAGCGGTCTTGGCCAGTCAGACACCGAAGACGTGACATCGAGAGATCAATCTATTGATCTCGTACCACCATCGAAGAAAAGGCGTTTAGACACAAGCAATGCTTTCATTGACCTCAGTTCTGACGCTAACGGCGGCGAGGGATCGCCACAACCAACGAAGAGGGCTAAAACACTTCCGGAGACGTCCCCAGATCCTATCGCTGACGACAGTGCCGCTCTACTCAGACAATTCCAAGCCAGAGTCTATGGCCCTGATCACTCTGAAAAGGGCAGCACCATTCCTCACCGACAGTCTCAGCCCAGCCCCACTCTCGATGATAGTACCGCTCTGGTCAGACAATTTCATACTCATACCCGCCCGTCCAGCCTTGATTCCTCATCGTCTGACTCATTGATGGGACCAACTCCACGTCCGCTTAAGCCATTGCCGGCACAGTCTGTTCCATCTGAACCACTACCCGGAAAGGCATTACTCCCGCAAGACAACTCGGCCAAAGTTCCCGCATCGTATCCCGATAACAGTATCACTGTCTCTCACTCTCCTCGGCGTCAACCAGCCAAGGCTACGCCTGCCAAATCGACCTCGCCAGCCAAATCCATCCCGAGAAGAGTCAGCCTTACGCCCCATTTTCCTCCGAGTACGAGCTTTAGTCATATCAAATCCTTGGGTAGCTCTACAGTGAGTAAGCCTCGGCCTTCAATTTCCTCAGCAAGTAGCCATGCGCCTTCACAACCAACCAATACGACATTCTCTCAAACATCCAGGACCATGCCCTCCGTTCCAAAAGAGAGAAAGCCATCTCCCGTGCCCGGAAGCGCTCCATCACATTCTTCTCAAGCCTCATCCACAGGCAAGGTCGGCTTCGCGGGTCTACCACAAGCGAAAGACATCACGGCCTACTTTGCTCCAAAGGCTACAGTAGCGAAAGAGACAGCAGTCAAGGCTCTACATTCTCCAGCGTCGCAGCTACTCGACCCGGAGGACAGCGAAAGCGAGGACCAGCTTGCTCGCCAATCCTCCATTGACAGTATCAGCTCAGGAGTCATAGTTGTAAGACAGAACCACGTGACACCAAGCAGTCAAGCCGCCACTGCTGAAGCCAGGCCGCAAGAGCCGTCCCACAATCAGGCTCAAAGCGTTCTTGACGGTGCCGAGGATGACAGCTCGGACGACGAAAGCGAAGACGAACACGGTGGCACGACTCGCGTCTCGAATACTGCAGCGCCTGTCCTACCTACCGCCAGCCCGGCAAAGGTGCAGAGCAGCGCTGGAGCCTTGAACAAAGCATTTGATGCCGAGGACGACGAGGGCTCGGATAGCGACTCTGATGGCAATTCGGATCATGATTCGGACAACAACTCGGACAACAACTCGGACAACAACTCGGACAACAATTCGGACAACAACTCGGACAACAATTCGGAGAAAAACTCGGATAGTTTGAGCTCTGAGGTGATGATCGTCAGACCGAGTTGAGGAGCAAGGGAAAGGCGTATCGAGCGACGAGCTTACGATCCAGATGACCAGACGGCTACACTTGGTTCGCGATGGATGGACTTGGAAAGACCGCGCATGTTGGACCATGGCGCCGAACCTGATAGGTCATACAATGGCTTTCATCATAATAGAGCTCTGCCACTATTCTATACTGTTGTAGCTAAGTAGACTATTTAGCCAGCATTGTAGCAAAGTCAGCATAGATACAATGAAGAACATATCCAATGAGTTCCTTCGCTTGCTAAATGCTATTGGGTCTCCCGTGATCGTGGAAGCATATTTATCACCCCTCGCTTGCAACAAGCCATTCATGTTCTTAAGATTATTATAAATGCCTCAACGCCCAACGCCTTGCGCGAATGAGTGCCTAATACTCCGGAAAATTGGGATCGACCGACTGCCTCCACGCTCGCAGTCCACCCGATATATCGCCCATAAGATCGTATTTGGCATCAGGCCGAGACCGTGATAGGTCCTTGAACTTGTTCGCCGCCAGCTGCGAATCATTCCCGTACCGACAGATGAGGTATAATGATACGCCGTCGGCGATGTTGGGGTCGCTAGTGATGGTGTCGTCCAACTTGTCGATACTCGCCTCTGGATTTCGGCTGATCTCTGAGTAAGGGAGGTTCATGCTTCCCTTGAGGTGGCAGATGTCGAATTGGACTTTCTCTCTCACGTCGAGGAGAATATGGGGACTTCCGGTGGCTTTCCTGATCTCGCTGTATTCCTTGGCAGATATCCTATTTGCGCTGATCGGCGCTGCCGGAGACCTCGATGCGCAGAAAGCGTCGTAGTCCAAAGACGCAGACCCTAATGATTCTTCGGTGATTGTTGCTGTGTCCGAGCAGCTAGGACATCCCTTTCTCTTCCCTCGCAATTTAATGCTTCTGAATGGAGGATTACTGTAGGCGGAGTATAGCAGTAGTGATGGAGGAACAGTGTCGTTTGACGCTTCCGTCGGATATTGGTATTCATTCTCTTGAAGTAAAGGCGAAAGAATTTTGAGAGCCTCCATAGCCATAAGAACACCCATAACTCCAACAACAGGACCCAGTATACCACCTTCGCCGCACGACAAGACCGTCTCCGACGGCGGAGACTTTGGAAACACACAGCGGTAGCAGAAGCCGCCTGGGTTGTCGTGTCCTTTTGGAGGATTGTTGAGAACCATGAGCTGCCCATCCGTACGTAATGCAGACGCTGTGACCATAGGCCTTCCCGCTAGCACGGCTGCGTCTGATACGAGGTATCGGGTACTAGGACGGTCTGTACAGTCAAGGATGAGATCGTACTTTCGCATGGTCTCAACGGCTAACTTCTGATCCAAGTCGGAGTGGTGAGCAATGTACTTATTCTCCGAGTTCCGGCTAAGCTGGTCAGCATGTGTGGGTAATGGAGACCTCCCTTGACTCACACTATCAAATTTTCTACAGCGCTGTCCACCTTCCCCAGACCAAGCCACTTCTCGGTATGTAGTAGCTGACGGTGAAGGTTGGAAAGCTCCACCGTATCACCGTCGATGAGGCCAATCTTTCCCACTCCGGCACCCGCAAGGTATGTGGCGGCTGGGCATCCTAGACCTCCCACACCGACGATCAAGACCGAGGCATTTTTAAGTCGTAATTGTCCTGTTGTCGATTCGTGTAAGAGAAAGGCGTACGTTGTTTTTGAAAGAGCTGGGCCCACCTGTCAGACCAATCTCGGGTATTATCAGCTGCCTTCCATACCTCTTGTGCTCTTCCGACGTTAACTTCCAGCTCCGACCCCATTTGTCTTCTTGAGGCAACTTTAACTGTTCGACAAGACTCTCAAAAGTCTTCTCGTTGTAGTTGACTGAGGGGACTGGGGAAGACGAGATAGGCTGAGTCTGCGAGTGGCCATTGGCGTCAGCTTTGGCAGATGTGATCTGGTTGTAGTAGGCTTCAGCGTCTTGGAGTTGTGTTTTCAAGTCTGCTAGTGTGCCTTCGAGGGAGGCAATCTGGGCTCGAAGCCTCAGCACGGGATCATTTGATAGGTCCATCCTAAGGCTCGCTTTCTGGACTGTAGCAAGAATGCATGAGAAGGCAGTGAAGAGGTGACTGAGGAGGAAGAAAAACGAAAGACTGGTGAAAAAGTAGATGACCACAGGAATACCTTAGGGCAAAGTTCTTAGGGTTCAGCTCGGCGACTTTCGATGCCAAGACAACAGCATTTTGCCCCACCTTATTAGCCCCAACGCTAGACTCACCATAGTACTCTGTTTATCAGACTCATCTCCTGGATTTTCCATAACACCAAGATGTCACCTATCTACCTTCCAGTATACCTGGGACTTGAGGCCGCCTTTGTCTCCATCAAGCTGCATTCAAGTACACAGTAGAGTACGACGAACATTTCTCAATCCCTGTCATTTCAGCTTCAGCTGCAGCCAGAACATAAACACAGCGGCTACAGTACGAATACTACCTTATGAGGCCATGGACAAGCGAAGTCACTACGAATGGCTACTATCAAAGCAGGTTTTGACGGAGTTCAATAGGAATTCTTCCGCCATGCCTGCTTCTCTGAATCGTACTCTTCATTCTGTGATAAAAGAGTATTGATGGATTGCTGGTTTTGCTCCTTTGGCTGGACGAGTGATTCTCGGTGTCCATCTCCGTGGGTTCGATCTCTCCAAGGCGTTCAAAGTGAGAAACACGATAACAGCAGTATTGATCAACGACCATTTGGTCCCTAGAGCCCACGTCCATTCCTTTTTCATTACACCATCTTTGCCGCAGCGGCGACCGGCTCGGCGTGCAAGGTTTTAGATCTTGAAAGGTCCGAATGAAGGCGCAATTGTATAGCGTCGTCTCAGCGAGGGATGTTTAGTGACAGCTTGGTTAGCTATCTTAGATATTGTTGCGAGGGATCTGTCTCGCGTCCAGTATGGAATTGTCATTTTGCTTCAGCCATGAGAGACTTCGGTCCATCTCAAGCCTTTGGTAAATCTTGGGGGCTGCAGTCTAAAGCCAGTCAGTGATTGCAACACATAGAGTTCGAAGCTTACATTGAATGCCAATTCCATTGCCATTAAGTCGAAGCTTCGCCGGAGCCGTATTTGCAGAATCACCCATGCTGATGGTCGACATAGGCGAAGAGTCAGTCGTGATTGGGATGGGAGCAGGTGGGAGCAAACCTAGTGCTCCACCCCCATTGAGCGCCGCCATTTTCGGTGCTAAGTTTTAATCCATGGATGACCGTTAGAATATTCCACCTGCGCTTGACGCTATCGCAAGAGTGTGGTATGACCAAGAGCTCGACATGTTGGGACGTTGGCTCAAGATCCTCTACAAGCAGCACGCCCTCTCTCGCTTGACACCCAGGATGCTGGTCTAGCACCATCCGTGGAGTACGGTCCCGGAATGCTTTCCAAATGCTCTCTGTTGACAGTATTATTCTAGTGTCATCGTAAATCCACGTTATCGACAACCGTTCTAACGATATCTATTGAGCTTCCGCTTGGCGCGTTCGCTACTTTCCTTTGTAGCACATATAGCTAATTCAACTAAGTGTCCTATCTTTATTGTTGATAGTGGGCTCTGGGATTCGCATACCTCTTCGGTTCAAGGCGTGGGAGTAGCGGTGTTTATACCTAGGTGCATTGTATGGTAGTATTCGAGGGACGTCGGCTTGAGTGCCATTCGCCAGAGCTGCTAGTATTCGCCTCTTAAGTAACTATTATCTACTCCATCCCCGGTACAAAACCACGTTGAGTACAGCTCAACAACATTATCAGCCCATCCAAAACCAAAAACGCCACCTTATCCTCCCCTTCCTCTCCCTTTCAACCCCCAAGACCTCAATCTCAACCTCACATCCAACCCATTCTTGGGCTCGGCAGTAATCCCTCCCCCTATAACAGGTACAAAGACTTCATCAGCCAACACTCTCTCAGCCGTGCCAAACAAGGCCGCAAGCAAGCACCTAACTTCGCCTACCGCAAAGTCCTGCCCAATCCAGCTTCTCGGGCCACGCCAAAACGTAACCGTTGCGAGACTACCCTTCTCCATGCCTCGTTACCCGCCCACATAACGATCAACGAGATTATCGTCACCGCCGCCGCCGTTTTCTTGCGCCAGTTGGTAATCCCATGGATGGGGTAGCGGGAGGCTTCGCTGTGGGCTTGACGCAACCATACAAGCTGCCCAAAATTACCAGAACGCCTCGTGTAGATAACGCGGACTCGATGATTTCTTGAGATACATGTCATGCGCAATGGAAGGTGACTTGGGTATCTGATGCTTCTTAGCAGAGGACATACAGATGAGTTGATGTTGCTAAAAGAATCAACAGCTCAGGCTTAGAAAAATGCGGCATAGATAGTCACTGATGGTACCACCATCCAGGCGATCAAGATGCTATGAGGATATCTTGGAAGTACCCGCATCGATGAAAGATTTTCTATTACGAAGGTCAGATGTGCTGCACGAGCAGGTCTTCGACATTTAATGGAGGACTGGCTGAATATAGCGGCAGGAAGAACACATCGGCTGACTTTTCGGAGATATTCCTCAAGGAGTCCGCCGCAACAACGGCTTGCTTTGTACACTCGCCGCCGTTGTCGATTTTTTCTTTCATTTTTCCAATGCTTACATCGTTTCAACAGAGTCTTGAAAAACGCATCCCGTGGCAAAGGGACAACGCCTTGGCCTAGCTGTTACCTCCCACACCATTTGAAGCGACCGTAGATGTTCTGTGCTTTTGCTCTAAGCCTAAGGCCTTCCGCAAGGTGGAATGCAGACTGTTGGTTCACTCCAGTCCTGCGCTTTCCAATTGCCGTAGAGGAACCGCACGATTTTCCTCGCTTTACGATGCCTCATCTCTGTACTGGCACAAGATTCCGCGCTGGAAGGACGTCGAAGCTCAGGATTTCTTAAATTATCGCTGGCAGGTATCTAGAACTCCCGGCTTCTCCAAGATGTTTCTTGCAATGACGAGATCAGTAGATTGCCAACTCCGTGCAGAATGCACGGCAGCTTTTACCATTATTTTGGCATCGTTCTACCAAAAGAGATAACGACTTCAGAGCAGCAGAAGATGTGGGCGCCAAACGAATTATAAAAGACGTGCAAAGAGGCTTGAGTCGAGCACCGATGTCAGTTCGCCTAACACCTCACGTTAATGTACTGAGCGTTATAGACTGGAGAAAGCCAATGGGAATCCCGGCCAGGAAACAATTCATACCTCTTGGTTCTACAAGCCAGGAAAACCAGCCCAAGCTTCGCCTGGATTCCTTATCGGAAAGAGACGATTCTCCGGTACGAGGCTTAGTCCACTGATATCCAGACAAAGCTCTCTTTCTTGGTTTGTCTCCCAGGGTATCTTGCTGAAATATACTCTTACCAAACGACTAGCAAGCTCGGTATGTTCAGTATACTGTCGGTTCTGTACACGCTCATACTCGGTGGGGATGGAAATTGGAACAGTGTCAAAGACGCGGTTCCTGCCAATACAGAAGAAATGGGGGAAGATGTTTGAGTATATTGAACGAACACCTTCGCTTCACGATGTTATGATACCTGGAGGAGACACTTCCTCCCTCGAGCTAACTCAATTAGACAACATAGACCACCGACTCCTTTCATTTCCTCATGCACAAAGGATTCGTCTAGCTAGCAAAGGTCTTGCCGTTTGTCCCAGTCTTATCCTTGATGAAAGCGATTCCTGGGCGAAAAGAGTAATTCAGCCATTGAGCCCGGGAAGAAAGATTGGAAAAAGTGTAGCTCTGCACACCCAATTCAACCATCCCAACGAGGTCACTTGGATCACGACGTCAGCTGCTCAGAAGTTTTTCGAAATCGGAGTCACATTGCGAAATCAAACGGTATTTCTGAAAGGCGTAAACAGCGATCTTGCTACAATGTAACAGTTGATTCGAGATCTCGCAGAGCTCAATATCCAACCGGTAAGGCAAACTGCTGTTCAAGTCCCAGTTTCTTTTTACTCCTGATGTGCAAGAGACTTACTCGAGCTCAGTATTACGTATACCAAGGCGACATGGTACGCGGCCTGGAAGATCTCTGCACGCATTTACAAGAGATTCTCGAGCCTCAAAGAAACATCCGCATTACGATTGCAGGCTTTATAACACCCTCTTTCGTGGTGGACCTCCCAGGCCGGGGAGGGAAACGCTTGGCCAATCCTGACGAATGCTATGATAGATCATCAAGAAGATCACTCTTTCGAGCGCCGGGGGTCAACGGTTCTGACCGCCTTTTTGAGTATCATGATCCTCTTTAGTCACTACCTTCACTCTCTGCCCCTCAGGCGTAGCAGACCTCAGCGTATTTGTAGTATAGGGGAGACTAAGCCAAAATTAGTATACAGCTTCTCCGTTGGCGTGCAGATTTTTCCCATAGGGGAATCGCGGAGAATTTATAGACAACATAAACATCGTAGGCAGCAACAAAATACAAAGTGTATTGGAAGGTGCTCAATGATCAGGGAATCGGTAAATTCCGCTTAACGCCAAGGCTGATCGATCACGTGACGCATTTGAACCGTTCGCTGTATAAATCACACTTCATAATTTCCAAAGTTGCGTACCTTCTTCAGCTTGCCATTCACCTCACAAGATCTACACCGAACCACACGAGGCGTGTACCAATGGTACGGTCCTACATCTTCTCTAGGTCAAGCTAACGCACCCAGGCGCCCCGCCCACCGACCGCGCCCTCCAAAACCCCCCACAAACCCGCCAAAGCCCCCAGCCGCAAGCACGAAAAGCGCATCTCCAAACACGCCACCCTCCTCTCCCGCATCACCAAGCCCACCGCCGCTACGTCCAAAGTCACCAAACGGAGACGGCCGAGCAGGAAACTCGTTACGGGTCTGGACTCTCTCGCCGATGCCCTGCCGAGAGCTACCGACGGTGACGGAGAAGAAGAAGCATGGGAAGGTATCGTGGCCGAAGGAGGTGGCGAGGACGGGGCGAGGAAGATCAAGCACAGATCCCTCAAGAGTAGACCCGGCGCCGGGAAGAAGAAGGAGAAGTTAGTGGCGATGGAGCGGGAGCGGTTTGCGAAGAACTTGGCGCAGATGGCGGCGGGGCGTGTTTCTGTTCCTGGTCCTGCGGACGCGGATGGAGGGGTGATGATTGTGGATGGGAGGGAAGAGGGCGAGGGGACGAAGAAGGGGAGGGGGAGTGCGGATCGGTGGGCTGCGATCCGGGGGTTTATAAGTCAGACGATGGAACGGCGGGTCGGGGGTGAGGTTGGGGTGGGGGGGAAGAAGTGAGGGGGGGAAGGGAGGAAAGGGAGAGGAATTGGACTGCTACGGAATAATGCTGCTGCGGCTGGTTGGCGGCAATTGCTACGTGACACTGCGGTCATGGCATGACGGTCCCCGAGCTTTTGCATGGGCAGAGGCTTGAGGGTGCTATTGCCGAGACGGTCATCCTTTCGACTACCGATTGGAGTGATCAAGGGAGAGGCGAATGTGTGGGGGTAAGAAAGTTGGGGCTCCCCTTCAGTTTGCCTGCTGATGAGTCCAAGCCTTGTATGAAGTTCCAAAGTCCAATCAGGGAAAATGGGAAGGAGTCGCCGATCGCTCTAGAGATACTTCAACAAGTGGATTCGTTAAGGGCAGAGAAGAGAATGACACAGTGCGGTCGAATCTGCCGAGCCAGAATCACCACGATTGAAGGAATAATCACAGATGCAATGAACCGCTGTAACCTCTTGAGCATGCAGCTGCTGAGCCATAGATGATATATACACGCCGATTGTACAATCTTTTCCTCTATTGCTTCAGAACCCCACCGCTGCAAGATTAGCACCCTAATGCCCAGCAGACGAACGATCTCCAGGATTTCCACGGATGGGAGGGTTGTAAACGATTTTCCTTGTCTTGATTGGAACCCATTTGTATCTAGGGATAGGACGGTTAGCAACCACGCCTCTTTGCAAGTATCATGGAATGACGAACCTCTTCACCCAAATGCTTAGAGCTAGTAATGCGCTTGTAATCACAACGGTAGCTATACCCATCTTCTTCCTTTGGTCCATCTCTGGCTCCGCGGACCAATTCAGGAATTCCACCACATCCTTTGCCATTTGGGATGTTGTAGCGGGTGTGCTATCCTCATATTCGACGAGACCATCGTAGAGGACGCGAGCCATTGCAATACCTGGCAAACAATGTCAGCTTCCTGCTCTATACCGGAGACCGCAGATAGGCTCACCAGTGCCAGGGAAGTAGGGATTGAAGTTCAATCCAGGAGCCACCGTGGCGCCTGGAGGCGGCTCCTCCGGGTACCCAGTCAATAGGGAGAAAATGTAGTTGCAGCCTCCATGTCTAGCCTTCACCATCAAGCTGAGATCCGGTGGGAGCGCTCCATTGTTCGCCGCACGGGCAGCCTCGTCGTTCTTGTAGGGTGCAGGAATATAGTCCGACAGCTTCCCTGGTCTCTTCTCGATCTCACCTTCATCATTGGGCTCGGTGTCGTATTCGTTCTCTTCAGCCATAGCTTTCATCTCGTCGACGGTATGGGAGGAGCCGACAAGTGATCGCCAAGGGATGCGGTTGAGGGAGTGACAAGACGAGCAGACTTCGCGGTAGACTTGGAAGCCACGTCGTAGGCTGTCATTTGTTAGCGAAGCTCGCGGTAATTGAAGAAGGAAAGGCGTACGTTTGGTGGTCGAAGGTCTTTGTGAATTTCTCATGTTCCCACGGGTATTTAGTGGGGTGAAGTCTGCAGTCATGCTCAGCACAATGTTCGGGGCCCTGCAGAGTAATGGTCGTACCCTTCTTCTTGCGGTGTCATTGCATATAGAGTGGGCCCGTAGAGATGATAGTACCACGCCATTGATCCGAGAGCTAGGGCAGTGGTAGCCGTCCCAGCTACGGTCAGGCGGAAAGGAGAGGCAGCAGCTTCTGACGCAGCATCTATGGATGAGGAGGTGGTAGAGCGCTGAGGAAAGATTAGCTTGTCCGTGGCTGCCAATGGATCGAGGGATGGACTACGGTCGCCGTTCGCGCCAGCGAGCTGCGGGCATTGCCAGCCATACGCGCGGAGCGCAGGACTGAACGTGCCAACATGACGCCGTCTGGGCAGACTTGATACAAAAGAAATGACTCGACAATGGACGTGGTCGCCGCGATGGAGTGGGGAGTGGAGATTGAGGTCAGCGACGAGGAGATATTGTGATGCTTGGCGAGATGCTGCTGGTTGGCTTTAGATGTCTGTTACATTTGATTGGTTGATCGAGACAATGCTGACTCAGCATGGGATTTTGCTGCAACACGGTTTTCATCGGCCTGATTTAAATTTCTCTGACTCCCTCGACTCCCTCACCGCCTGCAACTTCTATTTCACTCTCTACTCCCGTACCATCTCACAGTCTACAAAAAATAAAAACATGTCTATGGGTTCTTCTGTGAGTACTCTGCAACCAATGGGCTCTACCAATGGCTCCTGACAAACGTTTGGGCAAGTTCCACGTCGAAAATCCGCATTTGGGGAACAAAGACAGCGTTGAGGACTGGAGAAGTGCGAGGATTCGCCTTTTACATTAAAGACCCAAGCTTATAGGCCATAGTAAGAGGGATAAACCCTTTGACACCACCAGATCTCCTCCAACATGAAATAGCACAAGTACGAGCCTCGCCATCACCCCAATCTCAAAGACTCACCATGGTTAGACTCCTAGGTCCAAAGATACAGTTCTATCGGGTCGAAATGAAGTCGTATCTATTGTTCAAAACACAGATCCCAACCGTCGCCTGCTCGTCATCATCGGCCCTTGCTCGATACACGATCCAGCCGGCGCCCTCGACTATGCTGACCGTCTTATGCAACTCAAGGAAAAATATGCTGGCGACCTATTGATAGTCATGCGCTCTTATCTCGAGAAACCTCGGACCACAGTTGGGTGGAAAGGGCTGATCAACGACCCAGACATCAACAACAGCTTTCACATCAACAAGGGACTGAGAATATCGAGGCAGTTGTTTGTGGATCTGACAGAAAAAGGCATGCCGTTGGCTAGCGAGATGCTGGACACAATATCGCCCCAGTTTTTGGCAGACCTGTTAAGCACTGGCGCCATTGGAGCGAGAACGACAGAGTCTCAGCTACATCGAGAATTGGCATCTGGATTATCTTACCCGGTCGGCTTCAAGAACGGCACAGATGGAACTTTGGATGTTGCCATAGATGCTATAGGAGCTGTCATGCATCCTCACCATTTCTTATCCGTCACAAAACCTGGCTTGGTCGCTATTGTTGGGACTATGGGCAACGAGGATTGCTTCGTGATCTTAAGAGGTGGGAAGAAAGGGACGAATTACGACAAAGAGAGTATACAAGAAGCGAAAGAGGCGCTGGGAAAGAAAGGACTGCGACAAAGGTTGATGGTCGACTGCAGTCATGGCAATTCGCTGAAAGATCACCGAAACCAACCAAAGGTAGTGAATGATTTGGCCGGACAGATTGCGCGAGGGGAGGAGGCAATAATGGGTGTGATGATTGAGAGTAACATCAACGAAGGTGGGCTTGCACCGATTGAAAGTGCAAACTGGAGTGCTGACCGTTGAACAGGCGCACAAAAGGTACCCAAGGAAGGCAAAGAAGGCCTGAAATATGGAGTTTCTATAACAGATGCCTGCATTGGTTGGGATACTACAGAAGAGGTGCTCGAAATACTCGCAAAGTCGGTCCGAAAAAGAAGGGAAGTATTGGGCATGAACGGTCATCAAGAGACGAACGGTCATACTTAAAAAGTTATTTCGCCAAAAGTTCTGAGATACTACGACAGATTCTTTTAGACCAACCTCTGCATGTACCCGTCTTTTTGGGGGATTCCAGCATTCCCTGTGTCATCCTTTGAGCATACAAGCAGCATCTGAGCATCATGGGCGCTGCCCCCTGTACTGTTTGAGTTGTCTGCTCCCTCCTGAGCCTTCCATCTGGCTGGGATTAGGACGGGATGTCTCTGACTAGAAGCCCCAGTTTCATGGGCGCTATCATTGCCTTTGTTCTGTCTCGCGTGGTCTCAGACACAACAATTTCCTTGTCGAGATCTCTCCGATCCTTTGTCCCAGAAGACTCATGCTTTTGCCCTTTCCTTTGTTGCTCTTTACCTCCTTTGTCTCTGTTCTCATGCTGTCTTTATTGTTCATGATCGCTCCTCTACCTACATCTATCAGAGAAAATGCAAGCTTCTTCCTTCCCTCATCTTTAAGAGTCCTCTGCTGGCCCCGATCTCTCATCCATCAATTCTACCTTCTCATTCCCTATCCAACCAAAACCGCTGCCCGACCAGCAAACCTTTCTATATCAACCATGGGCAACACTACTTCCCTCCATGTCGCGCTGTTTGGCGGCGTACCAGACCGCAAAAAACAAGCATGGGTAAGACCCAAGGCTCCACGATCGAATAATAACGGACAGGCGGGCCCTTCAACAAGCAACTATCCGGGCCCTCCCGGGGAAATGCAGGAATACGACGATGAAGCAGGACTACATGACTCTTCACACCCACCTCCTGCCAGCAAAGGGCCGCCAAGGCCCCACACAGCTCAAACGCATACCCCTGGGCCCGAAGCTGGACACTCTTCTCCAACAGGCGGACCAAAACCTCAACGTCCGTCGCGCATGCCAACCTACCATGTTGAAGACGAGGAGTTCCCAATCCACACACCCGGACCTGGTTCAAGACTCACGGGGAGTTCTCAAGTAGGTCCCCCCATCCCACAAGCTCAACCCCCCAAACGTCAAAAGCAGCCACCGCACTCCCGACGCCCCTCTCTGACAAACCCCCGCACCAGCAGTCCCCATTCTCGTCCCCCTGGGGATCGATCTCGCCAGCAACCTCCTCCTCCGCCTCGTCATTCACACTCAGCAGCTCCTCATCCTCATTCTCAGCCTCATCCTCACTCAACAGCCCCTCATCCTCATCCTCATCCTCGCTCTCGCACTCCACCCTCAGCACCACCGCATCCACACGGACGTCACGCAGAAGGCGGTGGCGGAGAGCGAGGCGGTATGCGCCATCCGAGAGATTCGCGCGATGCGGTGCGGGATCCGCGTCGGATTACGGGGCGTAGCCGGAGGGGGGAGGAGGGGGTGTAGGAGAGGAGCGAGGAGAGGAGAGGAGAGGAGAGGAGAGGAGAGGAGAGGAGAGGAGAAGAGGGTTGGTCTTGCGAGTAAGCGTGGTGTTCGCGTTGGAGGCGGGGAGAGAAGAATCGCGAGAGTCGCTTTGTAAGATATCTATTCACATATTGAAGCGGAGCGTACTCAACTTACCAAGCTACTTTCGCGCCTTCGTTGTATGCAAATCACCCCAAGCACATCGCCACGTTTGCGGTAAAGAGCCACCCACAAGACCTATCCACCCCCCGTGAGAACCTCTTCTGCACATACATGTACCTCTCTCTCTGTCTCTGTGAAGGGATCCTAAGCCAAACAGCGGACCGGGAGTCGACTGTTAGCCAGCTGAATGTGGACACAATCTCACCCAAAGCGGTAGGGTAGCAAGCTTTGGAGGGGTACTGGAGGGAGCGAGCGTCGAAGAGACAGTGGTGTGGGGATAGTAGAGGGTGTAAGGAACGGGGTTGGGCGAAATGACTTTTTGATGGTGAAAAGGTAACTGACGATAATGAAATGAAATGAAATGGAAGCCATATCAGCAGTAGTCATCCGAAACGTCGAAGAATGAAGAGCGGACACCACAACCGTAGTACAGACCGAAGTAGCGAACGGCTCCCGCAACGGTATTATTCTTACACTGGACGCCCGCCGTACTATACTGCTATGCTATGAATAGTAGCACCATGCCAGACCGTTCAAAGGGAATATATACGCCCAAGTTGCTATATCCCAAGATTCAAGACGCCATAGAAATGCTCATATGCAAGCCATGCCATTTCCAAGATAACTACAAGAGTCCTCTCAAGCGCCGCCGATGAAGGAATCAAATATGCACAATACGATACCTTTACAATGTTCCTAAAGTTTGATCTGAAACCTTGGACTCTTCCTTATCCTTTCACCATACTTGTAGAAGATAATCGGTATAGGACACATGGCCACTGCAATGAATGCCAGCAGGGAGTTTCCCCACCCAAGACCAAGTGTTGCGTACATCTTTTGCCCGGCCAGAGGTAATAATGCACCAATGAGAGAGCGTAGGACGGTATTAGCTGCAAGGGCGGAGGCGGCGTAGATGGTGAAGGCGTCGACGAGGTAAGTTTGAATGGGCATGAATGTGGCGAGGAGGCCCAATCCAACCATACCAGTACCGATGATAGGAACTATCCAGAAAACATGTTTGTCTGCTGTCCATCCATACAAGAACACTGCATGACGTTAGTACGGCGCTCGTAGCATCCAAAAGGTGCAGACACACAGCCAATGGGTATAATGAAAGACCCCGGAATCATCGGCGGAAGTCGGTACTCAGCCTTCATTTCCCCCGTCTTCGACTTCGCCTTCAAAATCCTGTCGCTTGCAATGCCAAAGATGACCACCCCAAACAACGACCCTACTCCAATGCCAAGGTACGTCAGACCAACGGAGCCCTGACTGAAATGATATTGATTTTCGTAGACCTCTGTAATCGTAGTGAAGAGAAGATATAGATATCCGTAGACCACAGCCATATAGGTAGACAGCGCCAGAACGATAGGCGAAAAAAACAGCAGCTTCATGGGTCGGACAATGGAGACTTTAAAGAGGGCCGCTGGGCTAAGCGGAGATGCCAACTTGGATCTGAGGTTTTCGTTGCCGGTCTCTTTTCGGAGCTTCTTCGCCTTACGCTCGAGGATGATGGGAGGGTATGTTTCTCGAAGGGAGAGGAAGGCTGAAATTGTAATCACGCCCGCCTAAGGTATCGTTGGTAGGACACCTACTTGACAAAGGGGGGAGTATAAGCTTACCGCCATAGCGATGACCCAAAAAATCCACCGCCATCCTTTTGCTTGAGCCAAGTATCCACCAGCTACAGGTCCAATCACAGGGCCCATCAAAGGGCCTAGAGCCCAGATAGCCATGACACCTCCTCGCTTCTGCTGAATGATCATATCCGATATCGTCCCTCCACCAATAGTCAATGGGCATGAACCAAAAGTCCCTTGTAGGAAACGCCAGCCAATGAGCATGTTGAGGTTACTCGACACAGCGCATGCAATCGTGAAAACTATGAAAAGGACGTTGCAGACGTGGTAGACGGGGACACGGCCATATAGCTCAGAAAGCGGAGCAATAGTTATGGGACCAAAGGCGTACCCAAGAATGTAGACGGAAACGACGAAAGAGGCGAGTTCTTCATTGGTCGATTTGAACTCTGTCATGACTTCGGGAACTGCAGGTGCCAGCATGGAAGAGGCCAAGGGACTGTTATCTATTAGCATCTTGTACCCGATGGGAGAAGCTTGGAGGTTCACTTGCGTTAAGAAGGTGATGGATGCAATGACCGCAACGTTGGCCCACTTCAGCTTTTCGGACCAATTTATGGGATTTTGGGGGTCATCTGGTCCATCCCAGTCCACTATATTCGGATCCGCCTCTGTCTTTATTGTCTCAGGCTCTTTCTTATCTGAGTCTTCGCTGCGATGGCCCGCTTCAAGATCGATTTCTTTCTCCAAGCTGGAGCCAGCGGGTGATGCTTTTCCATTTGGCACCAGGAATGCCGAGATAGGTACCTTTTCTGGGTCTGTGTTACTGGCTGCTTCATGAACCGAGTCAAATGCTTTCTCCGGATCTGTCGATGGTCCTGCTTCTGGAACAAAGTCTGGTGCTGTCTCTGGGACTGACGCTGGTATTACTTCAGGCTTTGTTGACGTCGGTGCTTTAGATGCCGTACCAGGTACTATCTCTAGATTCGTTGATGAAATTGCCTCTGGCGCAGATAGATATGCTTTTGTTGCGGAGGCTGACGCTGCCCCAGGGGCTATCTGTGTATGTTTCTCGTCCGGTCCCGGTGTCAGAGCCTTCTCAAAGCTTGGTAACCCTACTCCGCCAAGCGCTGCCGGTACCGTTCTACCTGTTGTCATCCGATCTTCAGAAGCCGATGATGAGGCCTTTTCAGGAACCCACTGGGATATTGTCGAAGGTGCTAGACCAGCCGGAGAGGGTTTGTTTATTGCAGATAGACCGGCGTGTTGACCTTGGGGAGGTACGCTGGATGCTGCTGCTACAGACGCTGTAGCAGAGGGTTGTTCTGGAGCTTCTGAGAATGCGTCGGTGGTAGATGCTAAAGACTGTGTCTCCGCAGTCGCGGTAGGGTTGTGGCTTTCAGGAAGCGCTGGTGATGGCGCGTGGGAGGGAAAAATTGGATGCGATTCCCGAGTGGGAGTGGCAAAGGCTTCAGTGGAGGCAATGGACTGTGTTTCTGTAGGCATATCTGCATCATGGCCCTCGAGAGCTGCCGTCTGTTCTCTCTGCTTTTCGAGACTTGCATTGTTGTCTCCACCTATAGCTTCTGCCAGGGCGTATTCTGCGTCTGATAGCCATCATTAGCCCCATGTTTTCATTCTTCATTCTTCATTCTCCATGCTTGTTTTGGAGAGACATTGAGATTGTTGGAGCAGCTCGTTCGAAGACATACTCATGATTGAGGCTTTCTGTGTGGTCCAAAAGACTGTTCAATTGTCAAGGCATGGCAGGATAGGAGAGTTTCCGGGCCGTAACAAGTGAAGCTTGTTTTCCTTCCCGCGGTCCTCTATCAGCAGTCAGCACATTTGCATCAATTCATGTGTCGGTAGAAGATAAGATAATGCTTACATGGGGCAATTGATGACTTGTTGTGATTAAACACTCGTGAGATTTGGTGTTTCTTTTTTCCATTTCTTGAACGGAGGGTATTTTAGACTTTAGCTTAGGGACATGATCGGTCTATAATTCATGGCAGTCTCGGTACAAAAAGTGCCGTAAACGCCAAGGATTTGCATAAAATGGTACATTCACATAACTTAATCATTACCGACGTCCGTCATCAGCCCTATCCTTTTTCTCATTTATGTAAAGTAATGTAGACATGGTCCATCCTTGACTATGTGACGGGGTACACCCAGAAATAAGATATCTTATACATCACCTCCAAGTTGTAATAATATTGCACCCGAAGTAAAGCCAAGACAATAAACCCATCATGACGATTTCCGAGAACAAGCAAAGAATGCTCCAGGGTGAGCTCTACCATTGCTGGACTCCGGAGCTCATCCGGGAACGTGAGCGCTGCAGAGACGCATGTCAACGTCTCCTTGATGCTCGGGAACCATCCCGTCGAAGACAGGTCGAGCTCTGGCGTGGTATCAATGGTGACTCTTCACCAATGCCATCCCCACTTCCAGACCCGAAAGAAGATACTGCTCTCTTTGAAGATGATCCTCGAGTTGATGCTCCTATCCACATTGATTATGGAACCAATGTCCGTCTAGGATCCAATGTTCAGCTCAATTGCAACTGCACCATCATTGATACCTGCCTTGTCTCTATCGGATCTCGAACTCTGGTTGCGCCAAATGTCTCCTTCTACAGTGGAACACATCCACTTGACCCGCAGCTACGCAATGGGACCCGAGGTCCGGAGACGGGCAAGGAGATCCATGTGGGAGAGGATTGCTGGATCGGCGGCGGTGCTATCATCTTGCCAGGTGTGACCATTGGAAGAGGTTCCACCGTGGGAGCGGGCAGCGTGGTGACGAAAGATGTACCACCATTCCATGTGGTGGCTGGCAATCCTGCCAGGATCATTCGCAAAATTGAAACAACAATGTCCAAGGAGTTGTCCGAGTCTGACAGAAAAGACTGATGCAAAAGGTCTCGTATATCATGGAAGTAAAGGGCCTACAAGGTGCAAGGTGCAAGGAGCAAGGCAATATTGATGTGGCATTACTATTTTTTATTTACATATCAGCTTTGGACTGGTCACAAAGAGATTGGGCCTACCGTAATGTATGTAATTTATGTAATGTATGCAACCCAATCATTACTTAGCCACCGAAATGCCTGCGACGCCACCAGTGAATAATCATGCATTATCATAATGCGTACTTTACGTCGGTACCCTTGGACCCCTGGACCCTTGGACCCTTGGACCCTTGGACCCTTGGACCCCTGGACCCTGAAAGACCCTGAAAAACAATATCGCCGCACTATATCAGAATCCAGGATGCTGACACCAGATCTTCTACCACATATATATATTCACGTATGAAAATCCTAACATCACTTCGCCTTTTTCTCACCAATCAAAATCACCAATCACAATAGAGCATAGCAAAGAAAGGAATCATGGTCAGCACAGTGCTGTCCTGATAACTCCGATGCCAGACTCATACAATTCCCAAATAGTGTCTTTCCTACGTGATCAGACCAAAGAGAGCGAGCGATCATGGTGAGTCCAATACGAACACCCGAGTCATACCCTCCCCAACAATGATTCGCAGTCGCTTATCCATCACTCTTCCATAGCCAGACTTCCTTGGTCTCTGTCCTGAGGTTCGCTGCCTCATCTACACCTACCTCTTCCCACAGCCTAGCCATGAAATCCTCGCCTTATCAAGAGAAGCCAAACACGATTACTCCAAGGGGGCGCCTAGCAGCTGGTACGCAGACTCACTCCAAGAAGGTCTCGTCTATGGCAGCCACACGGCCAGAACTGCTCCAACAAATGCATCTTTCCTCCGCACCTGCCGCCTCATAAACACCGAGGCCACCCCCATCTTCTATGGCGCAAACAAGATCATTGCATACGCCGAGGATAACAACGACATCTTCTACTGGTTACTTGATATCGGTGAGCGCAACAGAAGAGCCATACGTCACCTCGAAATCGGCTGGGCCTACGGTGTCAGTATCGAGTCTGGGAGAGGCAACATGCACGGCATCCTAGAGAAGATTGAAGATATGGGGGAATCGGAAGATGACGAAATTCGAGAGCACCGGCAACAATTGATCGACATGGTGAAGCGACTTGAGAAAAAGACAATCCGCCTCAGTAAATGAATTTCCCCCAGCTCCCTTAATAGACAAGTTCTGCTGACCATTCATTGCTCACAGTTGTCCGCACCCTCCACCTCCTTGTCACCAACCAAGACCTCCAATGTAAGCTGCCAATCCCCAACCCTTTCATTCAGCCATCCTAACTTCCTCCAACAGCCCTTTCAGTCTACCTCCCTGGCATCGACGGTGGCGACATTTGGGACCTTCCCAACCCAAATTTCTACTTCGCCGAAGAACTCTTTTCAAACTCCACCACAAGTGTACACGCTTGCATCCCCGAAGCCCTGGCAAGAATGATCGGCATCAAGACCCTCACTATTGGCTACACCAAAGACATCGAACTAGCCGAGGAAATCGCCAGGGCCACAGGAGCGAAACAGTTGTTAATCGAAACGATGCCGGAGGGCAACACGTTAATGTTGAGTGCAGCAGAGCAGGCCGAATGGGCAAGCAGAGGTTGGAGTTTAGAAGGCAGGACGGCGAAGAAGGCGCTGAAACCAAATACTGTCGAGGATTACTCGGGGAATGGGACCGAGGAGGAGAGGAAGAGTGAGGTGCAGAGTGGATCCACAAGCGAGGGATATGCCGAGGGTGGGAGATTGAAGGCAAGCATGCTCCATGATATGGGGAGTGAAGAGTCTAGTGAAGTGATTGATGACTCGAGTTCGGGCCGGGACTACGATTGAGCGAGGGAAAAAAGGAAGGAGCGAAGTGAGGAAATGGATGATGATACAAACACAAGGAGAGAGCTTCGGAGGCGTAAAGCGGATGGCGAGACGAACGAACGAACGAGCGAGCAGGCTGCTTAAGCATACGGAGAGCACTAGGGGTTTCCCGTGGTGGATGTGATATCCTCTAAGATTACAAGCTTTTCTTGCTGCTTCTCGGCTTATGTACGTCTCTGTTCTACAGTTGCAGCTCAGCGCGATGTGTAGCAGAACACGAAGCTAGGACGATAGGTGACCTTTCGGTGACAATTCAACTCAACTCTGCATATTCTGGACGAGAAAGGATGCCCTGAGAACAAGTTGCGACCCAACTGCTCGACCTACAACATCACTAAGGCGCAGACCATGATTTGATGGCTCGACCTGCCGTTCCTTGGCCACTACTACTTCTTGCCTCTTTCCATCGTCGGATGACATTGATCCTCTGGGCGAACAAGTGAGGCGAAGATCCTGTCAGTGGTTACGAGCGTGGTGTCCGGCATTCGTTGTTCAGGCCAGTTCGTCCAGCTCCTCCAGCTTCTCTCTATTTTCAATGCACCCATACAACGGTAGACTCTACGGCCACTAGGACGTGGGCAGAGGATTTCATAAATGGCGTTCTCATTGCAGGAACCTTTCGAAGTGCCATGAGTCGCATGCCTCATCCCACAAACGTTACGAGCCGGACGACTCAACACGACACATCGCAAAAGCAGCCTCGATCGCACTGGGCTACGTCAAGGAGCGACATACAAAACGAGATAGACGAGAATCGGGGAGCATAGGCATCGTTGAGGCTCGGTGAGCAGTCAGTGGCTCCCTCAACACAAACTCCACCAGCTCTGGAGATCAAAGAATCTCCTGCAAGTTGTACCCACTCAAGCCTTGCTCTGGTTACCAAAATGTTCTCGTGTGGATGATTTTCCTGACCACGCAATCTTCTGCCTCAAACGCTCTCTTCGCTTTTACGTCCTGATTGATATATATAACATATTCCTGCTCAATTGTCGCTTTCACGATTTACTGAAATCTGGCCCTTTCTAAACCACCAATTTGACTGGTGCTTTATGTGACCATCCTATACGGATAGAGATTAATCGTACATGAAGAGCTCTCCTGCTTCGGGTTCATCTGCAGAGTCTAGCTGATACAAGCATCTGACAACCCTACTCCATTCACACAGTCAAGTTTTCTGACTGAGATTGTCCGCTGGTTGACCATTGGACAATACTGATTTCAAAGGTGACAGCTATGGCGAAAGGGGCTGAGGACGTCTCATACCTTCTCAAATGACGATCACTTTACTCACCAATTTGCTCACTATCAGTCTCTTATAGGTCACGCTCATGACGGTGAAGTGTTAACAATATGAAAGCGCTTGGCAAGTGAACTTAAAAGACGCAGCTTGCTCATCCTTACAGATTCATCTGATCAACCTCTACAGCAAAGATGCAGGACAACGCCATCACCGGCATCCTCTACGTTGCGTTTGGCTTAGTCGCTCTCGTCACGCTCGGCAAGAACGACGTCCCCAACATCCGCCAACACCCCGACAACTCCGCCGTACGCGTCGCCGTCGCTCTCAACGCGCCCGACGACGGTCCCACCCAAGCCGACGGGACGTACCCGGCCATTCTCGCGTACAACGAAGTGGGCGACTATATCGGATGGTCGGACTGGCAACACAGACCGCACATCAAGTCCGGCGGCTTCCACGATGTGATCATCGAGCAGCAGAAGGGCCCGGGCCAGCAGGCTACGTATTTGCAACTCTTCGCTGGAACGGATGCGGTTTGTATTGCGTACATATCGCAAACGTGGGCTGATGGGACGACGCGGGGGTGGTTGGGCGACATGGGACGTGCGTGTGGGAGGCCTTATTACTATTCCCACATATTCGTCGGTAACGATGGTCATGTGCCTGGTGAGTTGGTTCCCAGGGTTTCAAACAAACCCCATTACCATCGTGCTACTCGAATCGAACAGCTCACGCCAAACCCCTTCTTCAGATTGCATATGGATGGACGCCGACCACAGCGACGACCCAGACCATGACATGCCAGCAGCGCTCCAGATCCACATGCAGGTAAGCCAGACCACCACCCCCCCTCCCCCCTTTTTCAAAGTCCCGCCCGCCCACCGCTAACCAATTCCCTTTCCCAGGAGTACACCAACCTGACCACAGCCTACAGCCGCGACCCCGCCCACTACTGCGACGAAGAATGCATCATCTTCCACCGCGACCCGACCAAACACCTCGACTTCAAAAAACACCCGCCCAAAGAGGACCGCCTCTTCCGCGGCAACCACCCCCCGGGCGGACCCTGCTGCATGGACGACGACGACGGGTACGCGAAGCGCAACCGGCAGCGCCAGCAGCCCCGCAACCGGCGCCCGCCCGCCCTCGCCGCCCGGCTCGTTTCGAGCCCGCACGGCAAACACAGCGCGACGGACCTGTGCGGCAGCGAGCTGTCGCACGGGCCGGACTTCGTGTCCTGGTCCGAGCGCGTGTTTTGCGACATGGGGACCAAGGTTTCGTGGCCGCTGTGCGGGAGCGGTGGGAGTGTGGGAGGGGAGGAGGGGGAGGGGGAGTGTTATGAGTGGGAGACGCATTCGTTGGTCACGGGCGGGCGGAAGGTGGCGAGGCATTATGCGACGGTTGAGGAGTGGGGGTGAAGCCCTGGGGAAAAGGGGGGTTGGGTGGGGGGGTTTTCTTTGGGTCAAGACGTCGTTTGCGATTTCCATCTCCCTTCTTTCTTTCTTCCTTTCATTTTTTCCTATCAGCGGCCAGATCGTGCACTTTTTCTGCAGAGTTGATCGAGGGCTGGTTTTGGCACGGACAAACGCACTGCTAGGACTGCTTGTCGGTTTTTTCAGGTTTTGGTCCAGGAGAATTCACTCGGGATGCGCGTCTGATCTATTCGATTCGGAGTAGCTCGCGAGTTCCCATATAGTAATAGTATACCCATGATAATTGATGCGCTAAGATGTTCTGTAGTCCCAGGAGTATGTGTATACTCATCACCTCCCCACTTCCTTTCATGATTCTCCACTCGCAACATCCTCGTGACCGAGGCATACATCCCGCCGTATTCGTACATCATGGCATACACCTAACCTACCTCTCTACTCCTAGACAGTGCGTAGCTGGCTCAAATCCTCAAAACAATCTCGCTCCCCGCTTTCAATCCTTACCTAAGACTCGAAAGCATATCTACCTATCTTCGTGACGTGGTCCTGAATGCTGAGCTGAGAAGGGGTTACGACAGTACGGTAGTATGCTCCATCTGTATAACGCCGACGGATGGGTCTCAAAGCTAGGTAATCTAACGTACCTGACTCAGGAGTCAGGTGCCGCGGGGAGCTTCGTGGGCGAGTTTTTGGGGGTAGGTCAAAGGTCACTCGGATAATAGCATGGGATTTGAAGTGCATGCACTTAGACCGTGGGAACCTTGCGGGTCATTGGTGGATTTAAAAGTGGGGACGGGGTCGTCTTTAGGTGTTTGGTGTGGGTTTGTTCTGGTCACATGCGAGGCATTGAGTAGATTTGATCTCTTATCTGTATAACTCGTTCAAGAGCCGCGCTATAGAGGTAAACCAGTACGGAGATGATTGAATCATGTTGGAGCCGCTTTGGCTGATAAAGATGCGCATGATCGAGCTAAGTCAGGACATCAAGCAAGTTGATGGTTACATGAACCACGGTAAAATCCTGCTTTCTTCCCACAGACCTGCGATTGCCTGTAGCTGCAGGAAAAGGTACCACGCGAATGATGACAGGTTGAGTCCAACAGCGTTGACAGTATCGTCAAAGCCTGTATAATTGGAATGAGTGGGCAAACCCGCAGCGGCACGAGAGCGAGAGCTTGACAGCCAATGCACCTCTCTGCCTCGTCCTTCAGAGGCTACGAATGAAGAATTGACGTGGCATACCTTGTCCTGGACGTGGAACGGCGTATGGTGAGGAATTCCAGTCAGTGGGCAGATGACTCCGGTTTCGAAGTGGGTAGTTATCTCTGCTTTGTGCCGCGCGCCTTGTTTGCTTTCTAGCATACGATGATGGCCCACCCGTAAGCATTTCGTCAGCTCCCCTCTTTTTTCTTCGCGGATGACGTTGCGGACTAGAGAGTCGCTTGACGGCCGTTTCAAGGTCATCCAGTCGTCTCTGAATCGATGTGAGTTCTGAAGGTTGATTTTGTACAAGACCCAACTCCTGAGTGTGTTCACTACCTTCAGCGTTGACGCGCGGCTTATGTTGTGAACTCGCTGGCATCGACGTGTGTCTCAGAGGATGATGTTCTTGCACAGGGCCAAAATTTTGGAGCGACACATCTTCCTCGACCTTGACCTCTCCTTCATTATGTGGCGTTATTGGCATTGATTTTGGCAATGATAGGTTAAGGGCCGCTGTCTGGCTCCGTGGTTCTGGTGCTCGTTCCTCATGGTCTGCCTTCCCTATTTGCGAGGAAGGATCAGTGTAGCGAAGTCTCTGCTTGTGAGCTTCCCTGGCTGGGCACGTTGCGGCCTTAGCTTCATGTGAGCCGTGGCAGTTGGCACATAGTATGATGTTGGAAGTGCATGCCGACGTAGCATGCTGCGACGCACACCTCCCGCATCGGTAGGCAGAGGAACAGCATAATCTATGGTGACCAAAGGCTTGACATCTTCCGCACCGGAGAATTTGCAGATCAACGGGGTGACATTTGTAGTGCTTGCCGCGAACAAATATACCAGAACGGAGGACCTCGTCAGCTTGCTGGGCGGTACGGAATTTGATGACCAGGCTGCTTTCCTTTTTGTATCCCTGGCACGAACGAATGTTGTGGATGTCATCGACACAGCGCAGAGACACCACGACGCGTGAATTTTCCTCTAGGAGCTCTCTGATCGCCTTGGCTTTGTGTTTCCTTGTCCGCATATCCAGACTGTCAACGCTGATTCGAGCTGTTTCAACAGCGTAAGATTTGGCCTGCGCAGATATGCTCCTCTCGAACTCAAGGTCCCAGCCTCGTATTCTGCTAAGTCGCACCATGTCCTCTTTTGATCCCGCGTGAGCGAGCACCTCGACATTGCCTATATCTAATAACATAGCTTCGGTGAAACGTATGGAGTCTGGGACATCGTGCCCTAAAGACCTCATGGTGTCAAGCGAGCTAGACAGCCTCAGTAGTATACCGTCAGAACCCATGTCGTTCAAGTGGTTGACAGTTGCCTGATTTTCGATGTTGAACGTGATGAGAGAGGACGCGTCTGGGTCTCCCACCTCCTGCTCCGTCTCCGGACCTTGCTGGAATTGTTCATCGTGTTCAATTCGTGTTTGGTTGTCTGCTTGATCGTTAGGCCGTAGGGCCAGATCACTTGGATCGTTGACCAAAGTGTCTGCATGCATAAGGTCTACACCTGAGTCGTCTTCCTCCATAAACTCGTCTACCACGTGCAACATAGCAGAACCCTTCAGTTGCTCGCTCTCAAAATCTTGCAGCTGCAGACGGATGTGTTCGCATTGAGCTTCGATGTTCTTGAACATTCTCAAGAGATCCTCGCCATCGTCTGTCTCCACTCCGCTGTCTATCCAGTCCGTGTGGACTCGCACCTCTTCGACTCCGGGTTCGTTGCCCATGATATCCAAGATGCCACCACCACCCGCGACGCTTGCCTTGTCCCCTTCTTTTGTCTGCCTAAGCCCATCATGATTCTTCCTTTTCCTCCCTTTCTTCTTGGGTCGGTCGATGGCAATGGCTGCCGGTGTAGCATCCCGCCTCTTTTCGTGAGAGAAGTCTGCTTGCCCAGCTCCTTCGCGTGTATCATCCCCATTGCTGAGCGCCACTGGCCGTACTGCTTCGCTTTGCCGACTACAGGAACCTCGGGTTACGAGTGTTGGCTCGAGTTCTGGGCTGGGCTCCGTAAAATTGTTCGCTCCACGCTCGTGCCTTCCAGTCGTCGTCTTGGGATGGGCTTGACTACCCTCGGCATTGAGCTTTGTAACGACCTCTTGGAAGGACTTGCGGATGTCGTGATATTGCCGTAGAGGTATCCTATCTCTCGCTCGCTCGGCAGCTTCGACAGTGATGTGCTTGAGTATGAGAGCGCCAATGAGGGTTCTGTCCGCTTCAGAAACTTCGTAGGGGTACTCCGGGTCGGACAAGGCTTTGAGAATTCCTGTAAAAATATTCGTCTGCAACGATGAGGGGAGTCTGTGATGCTTGGATACGCTGAGCTTCACACAAGCGTCCAGAGCATCGAAGTCGGCTTCGAGACTGGCTGCGTGATCAAGGGCATCTTGAGAAGGGTGTGGGTGGATATGGGGCCAATTGAGTTGAAGCATTGCGTACAGAGTCTCGGGAGAGATGTCACAAGCCTTGCGGCATAGATTGAATGGTTGTCCAGGACTTTTATGTCATTGAGCAGAGTACCTATTGAGATTTGAGAGTATACTTGTAGGTATTAACATTTTACTAGACGCGTTCTCACGGGCTTTCTAACGTGTAACCTCCGAGGTTTAAACCCGAGCGCGGAAGCCCTCCGCATTGATCTATACCCGATATGGTAAGCTCGTGCGTTGGGATAGCGTCTGAGGACTGAGGCAAGCCGAAGTTCAGTTCCAAGCTTCTATATCAGGAAGTTATGGCCGGGAGAAAAGGAGAAAAGACGGACCAACCGAGGTTCAAATATTTGAGGGGCAGATATTCAATCAGCAAAGTACATATATATCAAAGTCTGCCTTAGCATTTATTCCACATTCTCTGCTCCTCAATCTCCCAAATCTTTGACACTTCCCCTCCTCTCCAACCCAGGTCACCCACGAGAAATACCCTCCGACACCCTTCTCTCAATCACATACCCAATTGAACAAACCCAGTAAAGCTCGCTTGCACGCACTGTGACTACAACAATGGCGACCACGCAAACTGTCGTCCTGGCCGAGCGCCCCAAAGCCGACGTCCAACCTGGGAAGACATTCCAAATGCAACCCCAGAAGAAACTTAACAGAGACGACCTCAAGGAAGGCCAAGCCTTGGTCGAGATCATCTATCTGTCTCTTGACCCTGCCATGCGAGGCTGGCTCAACGATACCCGCTCCTACGTGCCCCCCGTCCCCATTGGCGGCGTTATGCGCGGCGCGGTTATTGCGAGAGTTGTTGCGTCCAAATCCAGCAAATATGAAGTTGGATGTCATGTTTATGCTGCCTGTGGGTGGAGAGAGCAGGCGGTGGTGGAGGACAAGGATGGGGATGTGCAGAGGTTGGATGTGCCCAAGGGTGGGAGGTTGACTGATGCTTTGGGTGTCCTGGGTATGTTATTTTATGCTATCATCACAGCACGTGATATTATATGAAACAGAGAAATAGGAGCTCAAATTTCGGGACATCATAGGAATCACAGGCTTAGTGAGTATATTTCCGAGTCATCCTCCTCCGATACGTATCATTCTGCCTGTCCCACACCTGTGTCTTGCAGAGTCGATACTGACCCTGAACTGTAATTAGACAGCCTACTTCGGTCTCATCGATGTCGGTAAAGTCAAAAGCGGCGATTTCGTCGTCGTCTCCGGCGCTGCGGGCGCAACAGGAAGCGTGGTCTGCCAGATCGCCAAGCTCAAAGGCGCGACCGTGCTGGGTCTGGCTGGTAGTGATGATAAAGTCGAGTGGTTGAGGGACTTGGGCTGTGATGATGCCCTCAACTACAAGGACGCGGATTTCGCCACCAAATTTCGAACCAGCACCAAGGGTTTCATCGATGTCTTCTTCGACAACGTCGGCGGTGATATTCTTGACTTGGCGCTCTCGAGAGCAAAGCCCCATTCCAGATTCGTGATCTGTGGCGCCATCAGTCAGTACAACAGCACTGAGCCGAAGGGGCCGAAGAATTATCTGATGATCATATCCATGCGGATTCGCATGGAGGGATTTATTGTACTTGATTATAAGGATCAGTATCCAGCTGCGCGACAAGAGCTCTCCAACTGGCTCGCTGAAGGCAAGATTCAAAGGAAGGAGACGATTGTGAAGGGAGGGTTGGGAGTGGCTGAGAGGGCATTATTGGGGTTATATGAGGGGACGAATACGGGGAAATTGCTTGTCGAGGTTCAAAGTGAGGCGGGGGGGAGCAAGTTGTGAGGAGCGCAAGTGGTGAGGAACGAGGGATTACCTCGGAAGCCACAGAAAGGAGGTAAACGTGGGATATATATCATGATAGGTGTTTTTATTTTCGCCACCTTTGCTATACAGGAAGACTTGTACTCCAAATCAAATAGCGCCTTCCGCGGACGATGGAAACAATGACGATGTTAACTTTTTCAACGGCGTTGGGTTGTGCTAGGGATTACTGATAAAACGCTACTTCCCCAGATGCTCCAAAAACACAAAACTTATTTACGGAGTAGCTACTGAACTGAGGGAATGCGGAAGAATCGGAGACAACAAAACCGTCGACTCTGGGAGCCATGTCAAAGACACGACAACATCTACAAAAGAGATACGCACCCGAAGAACGTTCCTCCCAAAACTTGCTTATGTCGTAAACTCTAGACTCTTATTCAATCTATCCGCATTCGATCTATGGAATGTCGTAGGCTTTGAGCCCGTTGCCTTATGCACAAGCTCTGATGTCTGTCTGATGAAGAAGCATGCAATTCCAGAAAACTGGGACACGATGCGGTAACACAATGCCGAAGATGCCTGGAAACAATAATGATATGAAGTGTAAAAAAAAATCAGTCAGCAGGTTATGCAGACGCAAAGGTGAGCCACGTCTGATGCATCGCGAGCCAGTGTGCTTTGTAGTTGGCGGCAGTGACGAGAGTAGCTGAATCAAGTAGGCAAGGTGTCTAGGGTTCAAGTCTAGAGCATGAGAATCGCTGATTTGGCATTAAGAGTCGACAGAGTTTGATTCGACAAGCTCTAGCTGTCCATGTAGGGTGCGTCCGAAAGGGTGGGAAGGCCTCCACGTGAAGACCAGATGGCCATGAACGTCGACGGAGCGAATAAGGCTACCAAGGTCTGTGGACGATGTATGGCGAAGGCTGTCGGTAGGGGCCCAACGAATCTTCACGATGCCGTGGTTCTTCTTGCTTGAGAACTTCCTGTTTTATGCGTTTATTGTCTCCACCAGACTCAGCCTCAGGTGATCCATCCTCGGCCTCACGCTTTAGTCTGGCTGAAGTACTGAACGGGAAGCCAGTGTCTCTTGCCATTCGGCCGGCTCTGAAGTCATCGATTTGCTGAGGCAGAGTCCCAGGAGTAGGATAATAGTCTAGGGTACGATCAAATGATTTTCTGGCTGGTCGGGCTCCATTTTGATTGCGATCTTAGTCTCAGCGACGGGCTCGGCGGCTGGAGGCAAGAGGGTAGTTGGGAAGCCGTGATTTTTCTATGCATGCCTCCAGACCAGACGTCCTCGACCACCAGAGGTGTGACGCCCACCGCGGAGAACGCACTATATCTTGGTACATGTACATTGTTCCGTCAGATGCTGCGCAGCGCAAATCCCACATTGAGGCTCGGCAGAGCATGATTCCGAAAGGTGGCCGTAGCCTTGACAAGTTAGGCATCTCTGAAGACCGAATTAACCTCGATCCGCAATATTGCAGGCGTGACGTTTTCCCTGCCAGGACAAACTGTCTGCAAAAGCCTTATTGGCTTTCTCTGGAGGCAAAAATTCTACCATAAGGGCGGTGGTCCCTTTTCCTTCTTATTTCGCAACTTCTTACCACACCAAGCTATGTCATTGATGCTGCTGCTGCGGACGCTGCTATCAGAGTCGTCAAGGAAGTTGGTCTCAGCTAGCGCCCTGATGATAATAGACTTCTCTATCCGGTTCCTAAACATCATACAGTCGATCCTAATATTGTGCATTCTGATGTTATAGGTTTGTTTTGGCAAGGGACCCAGACTTCTCCTCAACCTCTTCATGCCATGCTGTTGACTGGATGAGTCGGTCGAGGTCTTCGCGGTGCTCTGCGTCGGCAACAACTTTGACATCGCCACGGTCTAACAAACTTGCGGTAGATAGTCGCACTGAGCCTTTGAACCAGTCGTTGGAGAAGTAAGCTTCAAGCAAAACCGAGATAGCCTCTCCCAAATATCGGGAGTCCCTTCCTTCCATTATATTCACGCTCGCCTGGTGTACAATATTGAGGATGATGTTGGCTGAGGATGATTTGATCTCTACAATATTGGTACCATTGACAACAGCAATGAGACGATTATCTGCTGCGGTATCAGGCATTTGCGCCATGAGCTTGGCGTGAATGTCCTGATAGGATTAATGTGGTCCGTAGACTGGGTCAGCGGGACTGTATCTGGCGCTCCGGCGGTTGTCTGAGTCGTGATGGTGCCAAGAATAATCTTAGTAAAGGTGTCCCTGTCCATCTCTGACAATTTAGAGCAGTGCCCATTCGACTCAGCTTCGGTAATGCCATTTGTGACGCCCTTTGCAATCTGAGCTCGGAGATTTGCGGGAAGGTTAATGGCTCCGGACACGCTGGCTTTCATAGTGTGGTGAACATTGTCAAAGTCGGCCTTCTTGAGACTTCTGGGGCTGGGGTGATCGGAGATGTCATTCATCACGGGCAAAGGCGGTGAGCGAGTGCCCAGTGTGTTGCATATGTGGTGGCTAATGTGCGGACTTCAAAGGGAAGTCGCCTTCAGGAACACATCTTTACGCAAGCGTGATATATTGCTAGCGCTGTAGGAAACGCGTTCTCCTCCCTTACTTAACCTTTCTAATTGTCATTGTAAACAAGGAAATCATACAGAACCGAACAGCGTCTCTGCGGGCACATCGTCTACCATAGTGAATCAGCACGCTAGGGAAGTTGTCATCATTCATTCTTTTCTGCTTGCAAATGAAGCAGTCAGCCCTACACCCTCAAGACCCTTTATCATGCTTTGCCACTCGATGGTCCACTTCATACCTTGGTGGTCTCTGAACATAACCTCATAGCCTGGAAAAGTCGATCTCAGGAGAGGTATAGACATGCTTGTCGGTATCATCTAAGGAAAGGATGTGTTGCGTCACTCCACTACTTGTTTTCATTCACATATCTTTCACCACGTACATCAGGCCCGGTTTGCGCTGTTCCATCAAGAAGCTCCGCAGAATTAAGCATTATAACGAGCCCGCGGTGGAGAATAGACCATGCTTCTGTGAAAACCTGATGATCTATTCACAAGACCGCTGGAAGGCTTCGATGGATCTTTCCATTTCCACTCATCTGCATCGGCGTCATCATAAATTTCTCGCTTTTGCCAGTCCGCAATCGTTCTTTAGTAGATTCGCTCAAGCTGATACCCATCCAAACCTTTTCTATCCTCTGCGGCCGGCCAAGCTGTGGCAGAAAGAGCCTGTTAGCAAAACAGAAGGAACTTGCTATTACGCGGGCGGAAATAGAGGAGAGGAGTATCCTTGGGATTATGTCGATATATGGTCGGGAGAAAGACAAATGCTTTTCAACTTTAAGGTGGGCCAGGCAATTTCAGTCGATAAGTGGGCTTTCTGAACTCCCGTTGACTGCAACAATTTGCTGCGTAAACCCTTTCGTTTGAAAACTTACCAACAAAGACAAAGTCGCCGGCGATTGCAGCGGATATTCAAAACGCAGATGGGTGCGATATCAAATCCTGGCTTGAAGGGGGAGAAAGTGGGCACACTCAATTCCGCGCTTGCCATTTGATTCCAACGAATATTGGGTGTGCGACCATCATTGACTCCGGTTGTGGCACTCTTCCGAGTGCGAAACTTGTGCCGTTAGCGCAATGATTCAAGAACCAATCGTCGAGGGTTTTGGGTTACACTGTAATTCCTGGCTTAGATGAATGTGCCGGCGAAGACGATCTTTGCTCCATTGCCCCGAAAGGATCTCAAGAATCAGTTCACACAGCAGAGGCTGCTTAGAAATAAGGAATTCTGGTCAATACTGTCGAAGCGCGCCTAATAAAGGGACCCAAGCAGTTTCAGTCGAAGAATACACAACCACACACACTTGGAGAACCCTACCAAGGTACCTAATTCCTCACGCGGCACAACGGGAAGATGCGAACCTTTCTATGATCAGAGCTGGGATAGCCAAGGTGATAGGTAAGTATACAACGCCAAGGCAAGACTAAATGAGGGTGTACGGCTAACATGCGTCTAATGCAAGTCAGGCAGCGGATAGAGTATAGTACCTATGCAGTATGCACACGCCGCTCGCTACCCTTATCTTTTATTGGTTCTTCCCGAGTCTCGCCGGACCACTCCGCCCCTATTTCCCACCAGCCCCTCTCATCTACCCGTCTCTTCACTTCAAGACCTTTGTTAAAAATTGCTTGCGCTGTAACGAGAGATCTTCGTTTGGACAGCCATAGTTCATGCATCCTCGGCGACTGTGCTCCCGGGCACGGTCCGGACTTCCCCCTCTCATAGTTACCGTGTATCTTATTTGTGCCTTTCTCCTAAGTCCGGTTGACGTGCTTATGAGGCAAAGCACGTTTCAATGCTCAGCTCTCACGTTAGGTGTCTACATGCATGACGTTGACACCAGCATGAAACGGCAGAAGACGTGCTCGCCGCAGGAGACGTTCTTTTTTGTCCTCTAATTTATGATTAATAAGTATCTCTTCCTTTTCCCGTTTCGGAATTGTTTGCGCTGTGCGGCGAGGGTGGGCGGAAGATATTTTGAAACCACCCTTTGTGCTCTTGGGGGCCTGGGAAACAAGCAGAGCGTCGAGAAAAAAAAAGGGGGGGTTTCCTAGTAATAAGATCTTCTATGGCAACTTGATTTCCTTTCCCTGCTGTTTCTATCCATCCTCCGTTTCCTGAAAACGTCTCGAGTCTTTCGTTTGACGCTTCTTAAACACTCGATCCCCATTCGTTTAATCTACTTACCTTACCTTAACTTCCTCATCCTCCATATTTAATTCGTCACGACAGGATCGCCGGCTTTTTTGTTCATTACAACCAACATTGGAAGTATCTGCGAAGATCCCAAAAATGTCGGACAACCAAAGCCTCGGCGCTGCATACTACATCAAGCATATCACCATCCTTTCAGTTTTCTCCGGTCTCGCAGCCGTTGCAGTTGTTTTACGATTTTGGGCGAGAAGAATCCAGAAGATGTCGCTGGAGTTGAATGATTATCTTATTGTGCCTGGCCTGGTATGAGCTAGGCTTCCGGATGTGTTAGCATTCGTCCATCTAATTGCATTAGCTCTGTGCTTTAGGGGAGACCGCCGTGAACATATATGGTAAGCCCCTTCCAGAAGCGATACAAAATGATTCTCCCCAGCGTTTGACTAAAAATTTCCAGGGTGTTGCTTTGGCACGGCCAAAGAGATGAGTCAAGAGGATATAATGAAAGCAATCATCTTTTCACAAAAGGTAGGACCTTTCCTCTTGCCTTCAACACCACATTCATGCTGACACGTACATCACCAGAGCCAATTCATGTGCCCAATTATCTGGGTCGCCTCTGTCACATTCATCCGCGCCTCAATCGTCTTCCTCTATATCCGCATCTTCCCAATCCGCATCTTCCGCATGGTCTGCTACCTTGTCCTTGCAGTCAATCTTTGCTTCTTCGTCGGTACCATCCTTGCAGATTGCCTTATCTGCCAACCTATATCCTATCGATGGGATCGCACGGTTGGAGGTACAGGATCTTGCGGAGATCAGAAGTCTCTAGACCTCTTCATTGGGATTTTCAATCTTTTTCTCGATGTTACGGCCGTGGTGCTGCCGATGCCGGTCCTTTGGGGTTTGAAAATGGCCGTAGGGAAAAAAGTGATGTTGAGTGGCATGTTTGGCATGGGTACTGCGTATGTTCTTCCCATTCGCCAGCCAGTATTCTCTGCTACCGCCATCAAACGCTTCGGGACTGTGCTGATTAGCATGACCCTACAGCATCTGCGCCCTTACTCTCTACCGCATCTACGACACAACAACTATTGCAGTCTCTAACGCGCAAGAAGCCTACGCCCTCATCGCCATGCTCACCTCCCTCGAAGCCCTCCTCGGGGTCATCAACGCGTGCCTCCCCGTACTCAAACCCATCTTCAACAAGATGCGCGGCACTGCACCCAAAAGAGGCGACAGCTCCGGCGTCAGCGAAATCCTCAAATCGGGCACGATACCTATCTTCATACGCGTGAGCCAGATGTGGACTCTCACATCTCGGAGAGGAAAAACTTTGTCGAGCGATGCGACTTTGACAGAGACTTCCGGGTGGTATGGGGAGGAGGGGAACGGCAAATCTGGTCCGGAGGGTGGGAGGGGGGCAAGTGTGACGACGAAAGAAATTAGTCCACCGATAACGCAGAAGGCGGATAGGGTGCTGGGGATTACGACACAAGCAATCCATGTAAGGAGAGATGTGGATGTGGAGAGTGTGGCCAGTCGAGATGAGAGGGGCCTGGTTTGTGAAGGGTGGGAAGGGAGGCAGGACAGGTGGTAAGGGGTATTCGCACTTTGGACTCGGTTTTCCACAAGTGTTGCTTGGGGTACGCTAATGGGAATATGATATTCGCTAATGTTGATATACGAAGGGATTAACACGTCCATACTGCCATACTTTTCGAACTCAAGCCAGCCAATACGCTTCGAGCTGCTGATGGGCAGATAGGAACGAAAGGTATAAAGGGCCCAACCGTGACACAACCGTCTCCTTCTCCTGGTGCGGCCAATGCGCTGCCTTCATCCCCAGATAACAGATCCGCTTCAAAGATGTCACAACATCTAGCCCACGGTAACCAGCAAAGGCAGGCACCAGTCTTGTTTGTTCTTTTGACTTTTTGCACATAACGGTCAAAGAACAATGCGGCGATGACTTTCCACGTATTGTACATATGCTCTCCACTCCTTCTATTGCTCGCTAAAGCTACTAAAAGCCGTTCTCATGATTACCACTCTTGGCTGTCTCTTTGGACAAGTCGACAACTGGACGCACCCCTTTTATGCGTACATGCGTCTGTTTCGCTAATCCTAATTGGGTAGGTCCTATTGGTGACGCTAGCGCTCTCGCGCTCTAGCGCTTACAGATTCTTGGTATACTGAGTCGTCTCCTTGTATCTCCTGATTCAATTCTTGATATATTTCCAACATTCTGTCTTTAAATGCAGTCACGATTATAAAACATGGAAACAATTACTTACTCTCGTGTCGGCTCTCTCGACATAAAACTCGATCTCTATATACCACCAGAACCGAAGCAAGGACTCGTACCAGCTCTTGTGCACTTCCATGGTGGCGGCATGATCGCAGGGAGCCGCAAGACCCTCTTCTTCCAGCACTGGCTCAAAGGCATGGCTCACAACCTTCATCTGCAGAAATGAAGAAGTGAATGAATGAGTGAACACCACACTGACACCAACCCCAGATGCAATGCTAGAGCACGGCATCCTCTTCATCAGCGCAGACCATCGCCTCCTGTACCCCTCTACCGCTTTCGACATCATCGCCGATGTTAAGAGCCTCTTTGCCTTCCTCGCTTCTCCCAGCTTCTCCGAGACGCATCTCCCATCAGGAGTCATCCTCGACGCCAGCCGCATAGCCGTCTCGGGCGAGTCGGGCGGAGGCTATGCGACCCGCGCTGCTGGAATTGTTGCCGAACCAAACCCGAAAGCATTACTCCTGCAGTATGCCCAGGGCGGCCAACTCTTGGATGACCACTGGCTCGCTGTCAAAGACCGCGATGTACCAGACCCCGAAGGTGGAATCGTCACCAAGGAGTCTGTTGCACATCTTCTCAACGACACACAGGAGCCTATCTCCGATGACCCGATGCCATTCCTCGGTGATGACGCACCGAACGGTGACAGTGGGAGGACAAAGCTCTTGCTCTGGTGGTGGCGCACCGGTGGATTCGTCGACGTCGTACTGGGCGTCAACGGGATGTCCAAATTCCTGAGAGGTCTAACCTTGACTCAGCGTGAAGGTTTCCTCCCCGAAGCCCTGCGCAAGGTGATCTTGCAGACACAGCTCACGGAGAAGTTCCCGCCGACTTTCTTGCTCCACGGCAAAGACGACAAGCTCGTGCTACCGGCCGAGTCACAGCTCACGTACGATCGATTGACGGAGTTGGGCGTGGAGGTTGAGCTGCACATGCTCGAGGGCGCTGGTCATACGTTGATCGATGAGAAGAGTCCACCGGACCTTGCGGCTGGGGCTAAAGACGCACAGCAAAAGGCGGTGGAGTTCCTGGTGCACAAGTTGAAGGGATAGCGTCTTATGTATGTAGACCGGATGTCGTTTTCTTACGAATTTCAATCAAGGGGCGTCTGGCTTCCGAGGGTCAACATACAATCAAGTCTTATAAACTGCAATACACGATACCCCTGAAATGACCTTCACTGAAGCGTATGCGGAGATATACCTTGCGTCTTTCGTTTCCTAGACCGCACTTACAGACAGCGAGCGTCAAGTGGTCCAGGAGGGGAAGACGACGCTGGAGTTGGGATGTTAGCCACCTTCGAGTCAGAACGAGGGTAACGACGGACCTTTTGATATACTCTGGCGTTTCGAGTAAGTCCTGCAAAAGCCTCCTCACTTTAGTCGGCACACGATCGTCTTTCTTTGGAGTGACCAGAGTTGATGGGCCCGAGGATCCATCCTCGAGAAGGTTCTTGCCCCCCCCATCCCGTGCATCTTGTTTCTGAGACCGCCGGGGAAGATGATTACATATCTTGACATTCTTGATCGCTGTTTTGCCCATATCCTTGAAACATAAGGAACACCAGAGCTCCAATGACTCGCCTATCCAGGGCTCGTCCTCGTGTTCTGCACCAGTCGCACTTGATAAAGCAGAGGACAAGTCTTGACAGCAGCTGGGGTTGGAGCATTTGGCCAGTCCAACTTCATCAAGTTGGTCGAAGCGCGCTTGGGCCTGTCGTATGCTCCATGCTGGTGGTCTTTCTTCAGATCTCTGCGTCTCTATCGGGGTCTTCATTCTACGATTGCATATCAGACGAAGTTCATTGACCCACTTCAATGCGTTGAAAAAGGCGGCGCCGTGAATGTCCTGGCCGGCAGTTTGGAGGTTGTTCAAAGTCATAGCGTTGACTCTTTGATAATCTTCCCACTCTTGCTGGTTAAATTCTAAGTCGACAAGGTTATCTCTGCGAGGAGGTAAGTCGATGGTGTTCTTGGGGCGTCGCAGGGAAAGACGGTTCACAAGGGTTTTCAATTTTGCAACTGAATCTGGATCGGACCTTGCTTTCCAATTTTGGGCGACCTGGCTGTTGAACACCTTCTGGTTGTCGAACGGGGAGCACCGTAGGAACTTGAACAAGCTGAAAAGATCCGTGAGGCGATTTTGAATGGGTGTACCGTTTACATCCTATCGTCTCTCTGCTTGAAGGGCAAAAATCGGGTTTGCAAAGAATTTGGTCGGTTCACGGATAATGTGGGCTACCATGTCAGCGTGACGTGTACAACTTTCGTTCCTTTACACGCCTTCGTCTCACTATCTCCAATTTGCCCTTCTAAAAAGGTACTCGCAGCTGCTGTCTCGCAAAAGGACGCCATTTCAGTCCGCCGGCTTCCACGATGTCCCGCATGCCTTCAAGACTTGCGAGATGGTGAATGCATGAGATGTCCAAAGGCTCGGCAGCGTACAGATTCTGACTGCTTTGAGGGCTAGTTCATGCCTGGGGTATTTTGACATTATGACAGCAAATTTTGCAGTAAGAGATATAAAAGTCGCCGAGATATTTGCCATAGTAAGTCGTCTTCTAACGTATTCTGAGCGGGTCCGGCGACCTAGAGAGTCAAGCTTCATGGCTGCAGAATTTTGCTCTAATTAATACCACCAAAACGAAGTCATCTTTTTTGAAAAAGAATATCTCCACATCAGCAGCGATCAGCGGTAGGATACCTCGTCGACTTCCGCCACTTACCCAGACAGTCTTAGCAAGAATTCACGCAAAGGCGGCCCAGTCGCCTCCTGTCAGATGTGTGTGCAGCTAAGACAACTCAGAGTTTCACCTTTATCCAAGGTTTTTAGCCAGGGAAGAGAAACGACCCTCACGGGCTCGAGCCCATGTAGCCATACTGGTTCATAGCTGACTAGGGTCGCAAAGCCAGCGTGCTTGGGAACGGAACTGAAAGTATTCGCTGTTCTACACGCTACTTCAGCCTGCAGAGCCAGTTATGTCTAATTACTCATTTCCTTACGGATCACAATTCCTTTTGCAATCCTGGACCTGGAGCAGTCGTCGAGATGGAATGCTGAAATCGCATCAATAAAGTATCCAACACAAACAAGCGCGCGACTTGGCTTAGGTATTGCAAGTCCGGTGAGGTTAATTTCGGTCAGGTGGAACTCGAGCCTTAATAATATCTACCCTAGGTTTTAAAAGTGCCTACTGGCGGTACTTTCCGGCCTTCTGTGAGAGAGTTAGAGGGATTCTGCAGCCCCTGCGCACACTGTTGTTAGAGGTATCTAGTTCGTATTAGGTTCGATTCCTAATGGCGCTGGTACAATGGTGTTGCGATGCTTCTTATTTTCTGGCAGCGCCATTTATTGGCTTTAAATTTTTGAAGTTCTTAACCGTGAACAGCCGTTGGTTTGAATTCCCCCGGTGCTTTCATGCCCGGAAAATGTTCGTTGATTGGCTTACTCGTACCGTCCGGGGCGGACGCCTGTTGGTTGTAGTCGTGTTGTTGGGGGTATTTAGTTTGTATTAGGTTCGATCTCTAATGGCGCTGGTGAAATGGTGTTGGGTGCTTCTTGTTTTCTCACACACACATATTCTAAAGCCTGGATTCAGTCGCGGTCAGTATGTAGTATACGAAATAAAATTGAAGATATCTATTTTGATACGGAATATTAATCTCGGCAAGAGGTTTACTGCGAGACTGAGGGTTTGTTCAGAGGCTGAACAAATCCCTTGATTTCTCGAATCTCGATTTCCTTCAAGAGTCAGGGTCTTTATTAGTCTGTTCTTGATACGAGTGAGAGCTCGTATACGAATAATATAAAGTTCGAACTCCTTCAAGAATCAGGGTCTTTTCTATTCCATGGATAAAGCGTCTTATTTATAGACTCCAAAATCAATCATCATGATTTTCTATGACATTTGACGCACTATAATAGAAATTGTCTGAAACAGATTCTAAAATGCACTGCAATAGTTTATACTTTAACGTGCTTACTGTTTACTGTTGTAGGGGCCGAAAGTAGTTTCACAGACCCGAAACGACCACCAACAGATTTAACCTTGGGGTGAGTTCTCGAAGACAGACCTAAGTCCACTCCACCCCGCTACCTACCTTATCCACCCGCGCCTCAACGCACCGTGAACCTACGGTACCCCAAATCGAAAAGTCGGATGAATAAGTACGGCGACGACGTGGAACCTGTGGATGATGGCGTTATCCATGGATGATATATGCGATTGGTGGAACTTCGTCTATGAGATGTACGCCACGATATCGTCAATGATACGTTCGTCCGTGGATGGACATTTGATCCACGGATAGTAGTCTCCACCTATGATGCGGAGTACGCAGCTTTTGACGGGCCGGTTTGTTTCAAATTACGAACACTACCTAAAATTTTACGGTAGAAATAATGAACCCCACATCTTCAATCTTGTTATACGAATTTTCATCACTATGAGCCTTGCAAGGTACCTTGACCGTATATCAATCCCACGGGACAAGGTTTATTTTTGAGCTATCGTCCCGTGTAACTGGGCCTCTCCTGAAATTGGATGCGGCTTCGCTGTCTTTATCGTCCTCTACATAATCAACTCAATTGCTCCCATTTTTCTCTCTCGTCCTGCCCATCTAACAATCAAGTAAAAAAGGTTAGTCTTATTATTGTGCATTTCCTCTATCCAGAAGACAGATATTGATACCACGCTAGCGCTTTCCATCTCTTTCTGCCCAAGCCCAGAATACTGCAACGATGAAAAGCCTCTTTTCCATAGGCTCCGGTCTTGTGACTCTGCCCCTCGCCACCAATCCTACGAATGCACAGGACCTCACAAGTGTGGCAATTTATCACTCACCATATTGGCTCCAAATTTTGCCCAGACTGTGCGCAATGCATCGTGACGTCCGATTTCGTTGAAATGTCTTTAGACGTTACCATTAGTAACGCCGATTGCGAAGATTTGAACGGGAGGATGGGCGTAGGGACAGATTACGGGACGCTCATTGTGGACTTCAGCCCAACGGTTCCAGGAGCCACTGGCATGTATATGGATTTCCCCAACGGGACCTGTATAGGTGGCAGCATGGCGAGCGTGACCGCATGGGGCGTCACTATCAACATGGAGGGTACTGGGCAATGGGGCTCCACGAGTTACATTGGCGGTTGGTGTGTGGCAAACATAGTTCAGTATCAGAAGCTCAACGCCTCGGCGGACGCGACCAATCCAGATGGTCAGTATAAATACGATATCGATCTCTTCGACAACGGCACTCCAAGGAATTGGATCGGCGGGACGACAGGTGGACCGCTTTACGTGCAGGATGGTAAGACTGAGGGACTAGACAGCAAGCTCCCTCAAGTGTTCGAAATAACCTCCGGGAGTAAGTCCTTTCTAACTTTGTTCGCCGCTTGAGATGGCTTTACTGACCTCTCCAGATGTGGATGTCGACCCATACTATATGAGCTACAACAACCCATGTTTGCCAAGCCCCTCCAACGAGGTCTGGTCTGCGTATGATTCAATCCATCAATGCGGTCTCCAAAATGTTTTTCCAAATGGAGGTGCTCATGGAGCGTGGGGTTATGCTAATAACGCACGGACGAACAACTGCGGATTCCCATGCTAGAAGGTGGAAAGGTGGAGGGTAGAATCATTTTGGATTCAGGTGACTGCCTCGGTGATTTCTAGCACTCAGTGGAGTATCGCATCCCCCTAATCCGCAAGCAAATGGCTCCGGAATCGGATGGTGGCAAATGGTCGATTTTCAGACATCTTTGTATATTTACCCGAGCGAGAGTATACCCGCCCGTATGCTGTGTGCTCATGCTCTTCAATCAAGTCAATACTTTACCACAGCCCGCGTAGAGCTAGCCATACTTGTACGTTGCCAGTGGACACAGTCCCCTGTTTCCGCTGCCAAGACCCGTTTCCTTCCCACAGAAGCTGACCTGATGTACTAAACCCAAAACAGTTCCACAAGGCAGTCAGTGCAATTCCTTGGTGCACGAACCACGTACATCAAGTGCCAGGTGGCACAAACCGAAAAATGGGGGATTAGAATTCAGAGTGGATTTTCTCCGCCCGCCCGTGGCGTTTCGGATTTGGCCCCCCAACATTCGGGCGATGTCTGCCCATGCCAAACATGCTTCTCCCCGCCCATTCTGATGATGATGACTAGACGCAACAGGAACACCAAAATAGATCTTCAGTCTGCAACCTCTCAAGATCACCGATACTTGAAGCCGTCATTGATTCCACCCTATCGGCCCACAGACCAGCACCGAGGATGGAGAACGATGTGATATCTCCTACCGCAGGTCCGCTGTTGAAGCTCTGCTGCGTAGAATGTGCGGCTTATGATCCTTGATAAAACAGGACTCAGGAGAGAGGCAAATGACAGTCCTGCAAACTACCAATGGCGACCAATGACTCGCGGATCACTCTCCTTGAAATATAACGAACAAGCCCATTTCAAAAGCACTTTTCATCGACTTCTCTCTAGCTTCTTTGCTCGGTTTCAGCTTAAGGTAATAGAGGCAACGGGGCTACTCAGGTAACATTGTCACATCTAATCGCCAAAGACCTTGTAAACATGGAACGCTCAATTCACCTTCGCTACCCAGGAATGACGAGCAACATCGCAAGGGCCCGAAAAATGAGTTTCCTCCTTGCCGTCTCTCCGCCAATTCCCAGATTTAAGAGTAGCAGCCACTCTTACTTTGTGCCTATTCATCTCGCGCCAAAGGACTGTGGCCTCTTGGGAGGGTGATTACCATCTCTATCCTCAACTCGCTCCCCGTACGTGTGCATTATCTTGAGGTCAATCTCGTCACCCAAGACCCAATCTCTTGAAGCCAGCAGAGCGAATCAGGAACGTCAAAGTCGGGCCAAACTTATTGCCAAATCTTGTGTGAAGGCGCCATGGCATAAGGAGGGGAAAAATGAGCATTTCCATGTCGGTGGCAAGGTTGGGAATGTTAATCCAGCCGGCATTGGGATGCTCCATACTCGGCTGACTAAATCAAGTATCAGCATCCTATTCATGATGCTATGCTTGTGTGAGGAAGAGGGGAGGCTTACGGCAATGGAAGTTGCGATTGCAATAATCTTTCTGGATGTCCGAAGGAAGGCGGAAGTCTTTGGTGGGAAGTGGAAACGGAGTGTGGGAATTTTCGAGAGCACGGAAGATTTGGTAGCAAAGAAAAGAAAAGAGGGGAAAAGGCTCTTATAACAATAATAGGTGCCTTGGAAGTCGCCGCAGGTATCGCCATGACAATGTTTGGGGAGGCGTTCTCTGGCGTAGAATGATTGGACTTTAACAGCCTGATACATGCATGTCACAGGGTATCAGCCGAACGGTCTCAGGTTAACAAGGGTAGACCTATCATCTCACCTTACACCACACCTTCACCAGAGGGCCCCACTTGTACCCTCTGGATATGAGGCAGGCCTCACTTTGAGAGCTTTCAGAGTGCTCAGTGTTACTGCCTCGTCTTAGTCACAGTCTCTGCAACGACGCTGACTCAATCGCGCATGGTGGAAGTTTCTCAGGCTCAAAAAGTTCAGGACGAGGGCGCAGCGCAAGTGATGAAGATCTACCAGACACAAAGCGCTCGTCGTACACTATCCCCTTCATCTTGAATCTTGCTACTCTATTTCCCCTGTCCCTGCCTCAATGATTGCCAGGTCACTATGTAGCCATCTTATTCAGAAGTACATAGGCAGCGCTTCTACTATAAAAACTGTCCAGGATATATCCTCCATCCGGTCATAGTTCGCCTTACCCTGCCGATCGAACGTCCTGGCCTCAACCAGTCTAAAGTACAAAAGCGTCTCCGTGGACGAGCGCATCCTTCTTCAATTGTTGATACCTCGGTAGTGCGTACCTCGATCCAATGCACGATTCCCTGCACTTGTACACAAGATACATTCCTTTCCATCCTTTAGGCACAGCGGTATTCGAAAGCTCGTGATTGAAGAGATAACGATGTTTCAAATTGATAGTGTCGTCGACCGAACGTAGATCGGGCACGTGCCCGAGGAATGCTTCCAGGTCTGCAGTTTTCTTGTCGAGGGCGTAGGGGTAGTTTTTGCTGAATCTAGTGTCGTATATTTGGATTTTGCCGGCTACACCCCTGGCTGGTATGCGATGTACGTCGATACAGGCGGGTTGCTCCATAGCAGTAAAGGTTGTAGAGTACGACGTCTCTCAGTGACGGCTTGACCAGACCATGTCTTTTTGTGTCTGGCTAGGGTAGCTGTGCTTGATGTAGCATAGGCGAGAGTCTTGTGTGGAAGTGGGGGCGGAAGTGGAAGCCGATGTTAGATTGCTATCGCGAGACTGGAGAGTATGGTAGCAGAACCGACACCGGAGGAAGAGAGTTTCTTACAAAACAAGCATGGCCGCCTTAAGAATGCTCGCATTGAGTAGATGGCAAAATGCGCTCTCAAGCCGTGCCATGAGTGGCTGCCGGCGCCCGCAAAGCAGGCGAGCATGTTTCAAGATCGGAGTCAATACCGTCGCCTTGGAAATGGCCGCCTTGGACGGATCGCAAGGACGATTGGGTGTTGGTGCCCGCAACTTGTAACGAGCTCCGAGGCGAACGTTTTCCTCCAAAGGAAAACAATAGTGACATGTGCAACGCTAGAAATGTCGAGGTCTCGGCTGACCACCCTCGTGCTACTCCGCAATTGTGAATTCCAGCCGATAGATCTGAGGCAGACATCTTCATTGTCAGTGAGTCATCGAAAGGAGTGCAACCGATGGGTAGATTTGCAGCCTCGTCTCGTCCGTGTCCCCCTGAAACGATGCCGGCTCCGCCACGGATGACGGAAGCTTCCCATACTACGGAGAATCTTGCAACGAATGGGCAGCGAAGATCGCCTCACAAGTGGAATACGCGCGACATTGCAGAAGGAGGTGCAGAGTCAGAAGGATATCTTGTTTAATTAAGATCCCTCTTCTCGCGAATATTGCCTAACTGTGAGTGTGAACCAGTTTATTCTTCTGAGGTAACGCCATGATTGTAGAATAACTCTAGCAGCGGCGCCGGAGCTAAGCATTACATGTACCGTCCTCCACCAGCGTCTCCGGACCGCTACTTGTTCCTCTTTGGTAGCGTGATCAAGAGTTCCCACAGTATTTTATTTGGAAAGCCCTTATCCTTCGCAGCCAACGCGAAGTCGTCTCCTAAGTCATAGTATTTCGCTTTACAGGGGCCATCTTCTCCCGTCTGCTCTCTCTGCATCTTGAAGACGTATGCATCTCCATACACGGTAGTACCAGAAAGTTTTTCGAGGTATGTGTTATGTGGAAGATCTGATAGATCTCAAAGTCAGTACTGCTATGTCAAGTCAAGGTCGCGAAGAGAGCCCGGGAGGGATCCCTAGTGCCGTTTCTCCTGGGCCATGTCTCGCAAGTCGTCAAGTAGTCTGAAATAGGAAGACTTTGTTTGGACAAAGTACATACTTGCTTCCTTGTCCTGGCACGTGTACATCAAATAGTCTGCCTTCCACTCTCCACTATTCTCACCCAGACTTGCGGCGGTAACGCCGATGAGCGAACGATATTTCCAGCTGAAACTTTGCGAGTTATTGTTACTCTTCCAGATTCTTGGGAAGCATATAAGACACTTTTCCGCGTCTCTCCAAACTTCGAGGCTGAAATCGTCTGGGCCAAGTCTGGCGAGGGAGAAGGTTTCTATCGTGCATGGGGTGTCATCACATGGTATGCGAACGACCTTGAGAAGAGTTTCAGGCTTCGTCGTTGCGTGGACATCTTCAAAGTGCTCCATTGTCTGGCCATAGACATGGTAGAGATCAGTATTAGGCCCCCAAGAAGACATTTCTATGTGGGTGCTTACCGCGATAAGTGGTTTCTAGATTTGAAGTGGCAAGGAGGGAGGCAGGACTCTGTGTTCAGAGAAAGGAGGACTCCGATCGCGACAGCCAAAGTCTGTGGTACGGTAATGAATGATCACGGTCGATGATTTGCAAAGCGTGTCAAAGTAGAGAACTCTGGGAGGTATGCTAACGGAAGAAGATGAGTGGGAGAAGGTCTCATTTATATACTGTGCCACTCGTCGCCCAAGAAAAAAGCTTGCCTCCAACGCAGCTGATACATGCGTCATCTTGCCTTGCAACGACTCATTCAAGTTGTTTCGATGCTCGAAACGTCGTGATGCAGGTTTCAAAACATGAAGCACAAAACATCGTACCAAACACGAGGCGATGGGACCAGTAGGTTGACCGCCTTGTCTCAGGATGATTCTCCGGAACAACGCCGATTCAGCCTTGTAATGCAAAACGCTTCGTGTGCCTAAAGACACGGGCGACCGATGGAAACGAGCGACAGATGGAAACAGGCGACCGATGGAAATCCAAAAAATTACGGAGAAGCGAGGTCGCGCGACATTTAGGATATTGGCGTAGAGCGGGATTGCTTGCAGATCAGACAGGCGATAGGTGGAGTTTTTAACCCCCACTCCTACACATCTGATACCATGAACCCCATCCGTAAACATTTCATCAAGTTTGAGCAGGCTGATACATCTCATGGTCGCGTTCCGTTGTCTGCTCTTGCTCCTGCGATCATCCGCTGCCTGTTGTTCCTGAGGTGAGCTGTGTAGGTAATCCAGTATGATCATGACAGTAGTGTTGGTAAGGATATGGGATCTATGTGCGATACTTTGAAGGCCATGTGCCAAGCCGCTAGCCGGATAGGGTCGGCTACAGGCGGCGGCTGACAAGATGATAAGATACTTTCAGATGCTGGATACATTTTTCAATCCTTCCTTCTCCGATGGATCCTTGCCTCTATACAGCTTTCGCACAAAGGCTTACGTTTCGTCCTTGACGAAGTCTCTCTGGCCATTGCCGACCGGGACTGGATTCATGTTGGCTGTGATGCCCTGTACTACGATTCCCCCCCTAGCGCCATCGCGATGCTGCTCGAGGGTGGCAGAGCGTTGTACCGCCTACCTTATGAAACCTGCAGAGAGAACCATCTGTACAGTGGCGAAGAAGACGAGTGTGCCAACATCGTGGCGTGGAAGCGTTGGCCTCTTCGGCCGAGGCTAAGCAGGACCGGAGTGGAATGCTAGTGTCTCAGTTGCGTGGGTGAGGTTTTGAGGTTGTAGGTAGCAAGGGTGGTTACGGCGCGCTGTCTGATGTAACTCGAAAGCAATGCGGGTGGGGCGCGGACAGCGACCAGTATTGTTGAAACTGCGGAGCGAGCTGAGGACTGCCCGTGTTTTCCATCTTTACGTGCTACCACGGATCAAAGTTGCCGTTTGGACGCAGAAGACGACGAGGAAGAATCAAAAGATAAGCATTCATACTTGCAGCGTTGTGAGTAGACTTGCACTAGCAGGCAGCCGAAGATGCGATGCATGCCACATACCAACGGTTGCTTCCACCCCCCAGAATAAAACTTCAACTCCCTAACGCTGTTTCCACATCAGGACGTATTGTCGGATACCAGAGACCGTGCGACCTTTTTCTCCGCAGTCACCCATCAGCGAAAAGCGAACCGCAGACACGGAAGATTTCCTACCTGACACTCTGCCTCAACTCACTCTCTCCACCGTCTGTTTTGATACAGACCCGCTCTTGATACTGAATCAATATTCACATGTTGTAGAAACGATCGCATACCAACAAACACCACCCCCCACCCCACCACCCCAACCCAAACAACAGCAGAAGCATCCCATCCCACCCCAACAAACCGAACAAAATACCACAGCAGCCAGAAGAATTCCCCACCGCAAACGTCACACCAACCCAAACCAACAATCACACGCACCACCCATGCTTCACCGAACCGAAACTCCATCCGCCGCTCCGCTCCAAAGCATAACCTCGCGCGCCGTTCAAGGCAGATGGGAAAAAAAAACAGAACGGCAGGACAGGTCCCCGTTCCTCATCCCGGCTGCAACGGCGGAGGACACGCTCAGATCGCCTCCCCAGACCCAGGCTGCTCCGTCGAAGTGGGTCCGCGGTCCGCTGATGGCCCTGTCGACGCATCCCGGCTCGGCTGTTGAGGGAGGGGAGGGGAGGGGAGATAGGTCATGGTATATCCGTTGCAAAAGCTAGCGGAATTGGGTCAACAGACGTCGCTTACGAGGTTCGTTTGAACGAGGTATTTCATCCGGCTCGGAGGATGAGGAGGTTGGATGTCAGTGTCTAGATTTCGGATGCGGTTGCGATTTTCGAGTTCGGTGAACGGCGGTGGGGGCCGGGAAGTCGGTCCTTGGTTGGTGGGGGAGGAAAGATCGACTCGGTTGTACAATGGATCGGAGGGCAAGCACACCTTGAGCTATCCCATCGACTTGGCGCCTTTCGTGTGAGATATCTTGGCTTGCAGAGCTGAACCACTGATTTGTTCCTCCCTGCCCGTCGATGGGAGGTGCAATGAACAGAGGTGACTAGGAATGATTGGATAGCAGGGAAGGATGATGTAGAGAATAGCCGGTTGCGGAAAAGGAAAGGAGACATGGGTACAGAGGCACTCTTTCTAAATGAATCCATGGTCTCGTTATGATATATCGTCAATGCAAAGAATGGGCAGAACAGTGAGTCCAAAATGAACGCTGAAGGGGGAATGCTACGCTAGTTCATGCCAAAGCTCCCATAGGATCCCATAGCGGAAGCCTGTGAATGGATCAGCGCTGCATCGACTGCCACCAGGACTGGGAAGCACTCACATCTTCGGCTCCTTCTTCAGCACATCCCGAATCTCTTCCGGAACGAATCTAGCTCCCATTAGCATTGTCAGTTCGTATTCGTGGGCGGAAAGCATACTTCGGGTCAACGACAGCCTGATAAACAAATTCATCCATCCACTCATCACTCATAACAAACCATCCTTTCGTTCCAGCCCCCTCTCCCCAACTATTCTGTACCCGCCACCTCACCGGCTTGCCATCCCCATCAACATGCACGGCCGTTAGTACCATCGCATGCGTCATCGCGCTCTCTCCCGTCTTGAGTCTCTGCGCCTTTGTCAACCCGAGCCTGATGTTGAAACCGAGCTCGTAATCAATAAGCCCTGGATCCATAATGCCAGATTTCGAGTCTGAAAACTTCCCAACGTCCGAGCCGAAGAAGATGGGCAGTTCAGCTTTCAGCATGGCTGTACAAGCGGCTTTCATGGTGTCCATGTCGACGTTCACGTAACGGACGCCGCGCATGCCGATCACGTTCCCAAGACGGCTCACGCTTAGCAGGTCACCATAGGTATTCCGGGGATCATTGACAAGACTGAACAGCTCGTGAACGTCGGCACCGCGATTGGCTTCGATGCTGGCTTCGCTGGAAAGCTCACCGGCGAAATCCAATGGGCTCGTTGTAAGAGTGCCGAAATTGTCGTCTTTGTCGTAGTATTCCCATATCATATCTTTGTTAGGATTCGGAGGAGGGCCGAGCATGATGGTTAGGACACGGTGGATTTCTTGCATCATTTTGTCCTTGACACTGCCAAGTGTGGATCTTGGGTTATCACTTTTGCTGGCCAGACGTCGGAGCTCTAGGGCGTCTTCTCGGAGCTTGGTGGTGATGAGTGAGGCCATGGTGCTGGAGTTCATAGCGTTGTGGGAATCGGGGTAGAGCGTTTGGGGGACCTACAAACTTCATATCAGCGCACTCGTAGCCGGGAAGTAGCCCAGTATGCACCCACCAGGCCGTATTTCTCCACCAAATTCGCAACCATATCCCATTGCCCTCCATCACCGACCGGCGACGCCATAAGCGTCTGCACCAACCTTCCATCCAGCTCCTCATCCGTTGTATCCAGAACCTGCTCCAAGAAATAGTTCGCCTTCTCTAATTTGTCCCAGAAGAACAGGTATGACTGGCTCAGCTCGAACTCTTTCAGATTGTACCTCCGCATGATAGCCACGCGGAAGACATTGGTGGCAGCGAAGAGCCAGCATCGTCCAGAGGATCGCTGGTTGGTGATGGGAGCTCCTTCCAGCTTGATCTTGATGTTGAAGTTCTGAGTGTCGGCAATCGTGGCGGACCGTTGGGTTAGGACCTGCTTGGGGTCGGTGCCCGAAAGGGCGGAGAGAGCGAGACGGTTCTGTATCTCATCGTCAGCAGGAAGATTGGGAGCGAGGCATGATGGGATGAAAGGGTAGGACAGGAGCAAGGATACCTTTGGATCTTGCAAGAGCTCCTTCTCCCAGTGCTCCGCTGCGCTAATGGACAGAGTAGGTTCCCATGCTGTTGAGGGCAACTCGTTGGCAGAGTCTGGGGTACGTGGTGTCTCCATATCGCTCTTCACGTAAACGTAGTCCTTTTCTGGTGGACCTTGTACGTCCAAAGCTTCGAGTCTTTCTGCCAGTTGATCTCCAATTACTGACTCTGGCATTGTTGAATGAGAAACTCCCATTTATACAACGAAGGATTGCGTGAAAGCGGGGAGTAGCGGCAAACCGAGTGTGAGTTTAGTCAAGAAAGACTGAGAGTATACGGGGTAAGAGGCTAGCTTGTGGAAAGTATTGGAGTCAGGTGCAATATAAAGTTCATGACAACGTAGATCACGAGCGACGATGCATGTTCAAGGGATTCCAAGTACCAACTGCCTTAACAGGTTTAGATCATCCACCTCCAACTCGCTATTTGCATTATCTTAGGGCTTATCGCACCACCAAGCCGCCTATGAATATTCGTAGCGTTAAGATCCCTACTTTACATTACGTGCCCCGACCTTCCCCGAGGCCTCTATAAACTTCAGATACGAGTACCGTATTGTCATGAGTCAGTATGGTAATATATTGACTTGATCAGATCTCCTCTCTACAGTGTGAGGGAGCCGAATTACACTTTCGAGCGCGGAGGTCGGCACCGAAAACGTCATTAATGATCCCTGACCCTAAGGGGTTTCGGGAGGCAGCCCTAAAGCGGGAGACCCGGAGCGCAAGAATTGAACCTCAGGGATATGCAGTCTCAAGCCAAATGTTCAAGCTGCACGTTACCTATACACCACGCCAATTCACGAGATGTAAACCAGGTTGATCTTTACCCAAGTAAGTTCGTTCAAATTTGCATATAGGCAACCTTCCGACCCGCCTAATCTCATGTCCCCACGTTTCGAATGCCTGTCATTCAAATCACATTCCAATTCAACTCTCTCGCAAAACCCCACGCAGTGAGAACTTCGTTGATGACGCAGCAGCCGCTCGGGTTGAGGTCGCGGCTCGAATATTGATAATTTACTGTTCTACAAGCGACCATGATCAACCAATCGAAGCTCCCTGTACCAACGTCTTTGTGCATGATGCATGAGTGTGGGGAAGGCTTAGCTGTATATACGAGAGACTCAGTAGTGGAGTTGCGCGCATACAGGTCCACTTTGCACAGGGAGGATGTTTCGACCCCGGTCAAGGTGCTCTGATTGCTTGCGTTATGGGAAATTGCAGTGACAAAGCTGGGTATAAGACACGAGTCTCGTTCTGAATTCTCATTTCGCCAGCAGCATCAGCTCGGACAGCAACGAGAGCGACAGCCTTTTTATTTACATCAACAAAAACTCAATCCGTTACCGGCTTTCGACGCAGAACTCACCATCGATATCATGCACTTCACCAAGATACTGCTCGCCTCTGGCATCCCCCTTCTAGCTGTCTGCAACCGTTTCAAGCTCAAGCCCCGTACCATCTCACCCCCTTTTCATCTCCTCGCAATCCACTCAACAAGCCCCATCCATCTCCAACCCATCAACGCCAGACTCGGAGGCTTCTACATCGGCGAAAGACCCGAAACTTACTGTCCGCTAGCACCGTGCCCGGTTGTAAATCAGACAGGATTCATCGTTGCCAACGGCAAGTCATTCTTGGTACGCGCCTCCGGCATTCCTCCGCGAAACAACAAAAGAATCGCAGACCGAGCTAACCAACCCAGGACGTCTCGGTCGCAGGAGGCCAAAACCTCTACGTCGATCCCCACGGCGCACTCTCCTTCACACGCGCCGGCAGCCCCGGCGCCATCCCCGAGGGCGCCGCGACGGCCAATTTCACCTACACCCCTGCCATCGACGACGACGACGGGCCCGGATCGTTCATGTTCTCGGGACTCGGCGCCGACGGCTTTCTGGCCTGTCCGAGCGACGGACCCGCTGGCATCCCCTACAGCGTATTCGCCAACGTGACAGGGTTGACCGACGCAACCGTGCCCGGTGGCAATGTGAGTGCTTGTGTTGGGATCGCTGCCGCCGCGTTTGCGTATACGTATGAGGACAATGTTGTGGCTTATGGGTACGATTGATGGTGCCGAGCTGGTGACGGCCAGGGTTTAGCTGGAAAGACAATGACCATTGAAAATCACTGTGCATGAGAACGCGATAAAGTGGAGACGATGGTTTCCTATTTCCCAATCGAAAGTCCTGTGCACACCCAAATGGCGGTGGTGCGATCCTCCTTTCAGCCTAACGCAGATAGAACCTTCCGTCCCTTTCAAAACATGAGACAACATACAATCAACAACGGGATAAATCCAGAAGAAAGCGCAACCGGCACCAAAATGCTTTGAATCTTCTGTCAGGATAACGCTGATGTTGTGCTGAGATGCATTACCCGAGATCTTGGCGCTAGAAATCTAGGTAGGGCCGGTCTCCGTAGTAATCTCTCTCGTGTTAGCGCGTGATAATTCTTGGCACTGTCAGATTCGCTTCTTTCTTCCACTGTATTCAACGTAGTCTCTTTCTTCTTCTTTTCTTCCTTGTCACATCTAACAGCATGAAAGATACGGGTACCCCCGTGGCCCTTGATCTAATCTACCGTACGGTACTGGCTTGATGAGATGTACGCTACAGGGTTCACGAAGTAATTGAGGTGTTAGCGAGGTTGAATACAAGCATAGATGTTTAAGTATGTTCAAGAAAGAATGGTCAGTTGCATTTGGCTGACCCTTCCTGCCAACTCAATCTCATGTCCCCAACAGTCCCGCTGTTTCGCATACCCATCCGTTATCCAGATCCTGTTCCCATTCAGCTCTCTTACATAGACCCATGCAACGAGACGTGCTATGGCGACTGCAAACGTTTTATATGAATCGGCACTGTCAGAGCCTCAAACGTTTGATGATCGGAAGCAGCGACCCCCGAGCATTTACTGTTCCGGAAGTAGACCGACCTCAGGTGTGGATTCCCTCCAAGGCGCGAGTATTTACTTGGATTGAAGTGGCAGGCACAGGGCAATTGCTGTCCTAAAGGAGGAACACTCAAAGCGGTTGCTGCTTTGAAGGAGACAATCCCAAGTTGTCACTGCGTTGGTGGACCAAGTGCAAAGAAGGTTGCCGCTCATATGGGTAGACATCCCAAACCGGTGATGGTGAAGGATCAGATCCAAAGGCCACATCGACCGTTGAATTTTCACTCATGCACATCTCCAAAGTCGTTCTGCCACAATGGCGACTTCGGGATTCCCGGCAGCGCCTTATCACCCCTCCCTCTCGGAAAACGCCCGTATTTGGATCGCAGCCTCCGCGCATATGGCGGCGTTGCCCTGTCTTTCTCTTGAGCCACACTGGGATATATGTTCACTACTTGTGCGTTCCCAATCGTCCAGTTGGACGAAATCTCCGATGAAGCGATCGTAAGAATGGACCGATTGGACATCACGGAGACACCTCGTTGCAATTTTTTGGGACTCTCAAGTTGGCTGGATTCGTCAGATGATCTTGTCGAGTCAAAGAAAGACATGTTGCCGAAGTCGGGAGTGTCAAGCTGCGGCGGCGTGTCCCTGACGAAGCCTGGGGTGTCTGGCATGTACGATACTAAGCCGCTGGACACTGGCGGAGATGTCTCGTACTGGATGAGCTCGTTTATCGACGGCGGTGGAGCGCGCAGCACAGGTGATACCTGTTCAGTTGTATATGATGAGCTTGCCGAGTCTGTCATTGACAGGAAGGAGACACGATTGACATCATCGTCACCATGAGAGATATTTTGGACAGGCGCAAAGGTGACATGCGGACTGTAGTCGACGGTAGAGAAAAGTGGCGGAGGCCTTTGAACGGAATCAGATATGACTCGTGAGCTTACTATTGAGCCGTCCGCAGATCGACCTGAAGATCGGCGTCCACTCGCCCTTCTACTTTCTGCCGTATGAAGCGACGAATTCCATAAGATAGGACTAACAGGTAGCTGGCGAGCTTCTCCCCCAAATATTGATTGACCTGTGTAAGCCCTCTGGAGGGACTCGGCAATTTCTCGATTTTGAGACGAAGAAGGATGGCGGGATTGAGGACTGGACTTTGACTTGGATGTCTGGCGAGACTGAGAATCATTTGATTTTGCAGCTGAAGGTCTGCGAGATTCGATGGTCACCAAAGCCGGTCGAGGTAATGTCAGTGAGCCCGATCGTTGTGTCATTGGAACTGGTCGGGAGAGCTTTGCGTGAACCTTCGCCATTTCCTCCTTGCGACGGAAACACTCGCTTTCAGCAATTTTGGACCTTCCCGAATCTTGAGTCTGACCCTCCAGATCTATACTACCAAACGGGTGTTTCTGGCTACGAGCTGCAGGCTTTGGTGGCCAAGTGTATGCCGCAACTTTGGACCTCCCAGCGTCCTTGCTCTGCGCCTCAATGTCTGTGGCCTTCGAAGGATTGTCCTGACGGTGAGTTGAGACCTTCGGGGGCCATGTGTCTGAGGTCTTCCGTCTCTCGGCTTCACACTTGACAGTGTATGTTGCTTTTGGGCGAATAAGGTCGAACGATGCAGGGTCTCGGGTGCTCGCAGTTTCTGCCGCTTCCGATTTGGGTATGACCTGGCCACTTCGCACCGTAAGATGACGGGTGGGTCTTTCTTGAGTTTCACTGTCTAGCCGTCTTTTATGTTGTTCTCTAGCTTTCAGATATTGCCAGGTAAAAAGCCCGGCGGTGAGAATGATGAAGAATCCGAGGAGCGAGACAATAATGATGATTGGAAGGAGTTCCATGTTGCCGGCAATGATTCAAAAGAAAAGCCCGGTAATCGTGCACACTTGATGCAGGCCTAGAAGATCCACGTTGTGTTTGTATGCCACTAGGACAATGCAGGGTCGAAGGCCATTCATAGGCAACAAGCGGAAAATCCAAGGATTGCAGAGAGCGATTGAGTTCAACTCTCACTGATCATACGAAATGCTGTCTGAAGCTGTTAAAGGGGAAATTTTCGATTTCTCTTAAAGGCGTGGTAGTTGGGAAGTCTTCCGTCGACCAATTTGATCTAGGTCAAATTGTGGATTAGTTGGATGAATTCACTAGGATGCACAAGCAGCGCGTAAAGATTGAAGTGAGTATGATCAGAAAAGATGGTAGTAAAGCAGAAAACAACTTCTTAGCACCAATGAACGAATGTAATGCATCTTGACTGAAGGAGGCAGGTTACTACTCTGTACGGTCTTATAAGGAAGGTACTCGCAACCTCATAGGACACCCGGAGGCGGCTGCACGCTTACGCACGACAACGAATGGCGCCCGAATTCTGTGAAATGCTTGGTTTCCAGATAGAAGCATTTTGGCTATCGAAGATCTGCGAGGTCTCCCATGCTTGATCCCCAGCCGATATGCATTACAGCTGAACAGTGAGTGGTGGGTCGCGACTGGTCCTAGCTTAAGCGTCCAGATATATACTTTGAAGCGATTGAGCAGAATCTTAGGCCTGGCGTGGCGCGGTGGTGGGGTCAATGCGATCCTTGACAAATTCCTGGTATTATCAGAAATAGGCGTCATAGGTTCAGACGATGAATCTAATGCCGACCCACGCCGATATGTGCAGGGATTGGTACCATAGGATTCTGATTAGTTGATGACGAAGAATATTTCTCATCCTGCGGGCTCGTAAAAGGCGCATTTTGATCGCTTTCATCCAAAGACTGCATGCGCAGGGATCAGTGGTGGAGGCCTCGGGCTGTCAGCAAGAGTAGAGGATCTCCGAAAGAACAGCACAAACGTCAACCAGAGGATGACAGTAAGAATGAAAAGCATGACAAGGGTGCTGAAAGGAAGGTTTCCTCCTCTGTGGTGTTGGCGTCTGTGGCGGATGTAGGGTCGCATATTGGCCATCCGCAGTAGCCTGGCAAGGCGTGCATAAGTTGAAACAGGATGACCACAAATTCAATTTCAATCGCTATGATAAGTCCGCTTGCAAAGTCTGAGCTGACATTCGCATTTCGCAAAGGTCCGTTGCTCATCCAGCAAATCGCATCATCTTGGAACAGCATCTAGTCAGCGAACTCTATATGCAGCCACACCGCCAGTCGCAACGGTGGTCAGTCCGTAATCCGCAAGGCTTTTCTGGCCAAGCGACTGGAGACTTCAGCGCCGAGTAGATATTCCTCAAATCCCACATTCATGCGAGGGTATGACATCCCACTCGTGGCTGTTTTGGAACATCCAAATCGAGGAGAGAGTCGTGTTTCAAGATTTGTTGTCGACTCCTCCGAGTAAAACTTTCGGACAACCAATTTGCGTCATGTCTCATAGTGACAGCGGCGTACTTGCCTGATGAGACAATTGAGTACGGAGGGAACAATGGTTGGCTGCGCCGTTGATGGAAAGGATTCGAGACGTGGGAAGCGTCGAAAACAGCCAAGCTTGAGCGGAATGGGTGGAAATTTTGCCACTCTGCGTTGGCCCGCAGCAGGGAAAGCCTTACACGTGTTGAGGATACATCATTTTGGGACTCATGAATGGAGAGTATATCAATGCAAGATTAGGTACTGGAGGTGGTAAGCAGGAGCGATCCAACGAAAGAAATCTGTTTGCTTTTGCTTGGCAGGGTCCAATGCCAAGTGCGCGAGGGCGTCCTCTCGTCCAATGAATGTCCTGCTGGATCAGATAAAAATATTGTCCGAATCTATTGTTCATTATGGCTACCTCATCCTTGGATCATGTCTTGCTATCTACGAGTCCAAACCCTTTAAAACGAAGTTGATCCGGGGATATCTCTGCCAAGCCAGCCACGGCGAGGGTTTGATCTGCACGGGGCTCGTAAAGTACTAGCTGCAAGGCTGCAAGTGTTTCCTTAGCCGCGGGAAGGCATGGGGCCGTTGAGGCGTTCGCGGGGCTAGGGCAAGGGCAGTTGACTGAGGTATCAAACGTCTATTGACCTTCTCACGACTGGTACAGACCAGGTCCACAAATATATCATAGCCATCATCACTTCCGTCGCCGCATTCGAAGAATCACGCAGTACTGTCTACGCTTCTAACTATACTAATTGCAAGACCAGTCCAAGATGGGTCGACCACCGGCCGTAGTCATTATTGTGAGGTATTTTATTCACAAGCCAAATTATGAAGCGAAATTCTGCTAATACCAAACGCAGGCATGGTGCTAGACTGGATGCTGCCGACACGCAATGGCACTTGACCTCGCCAACGCCATACGACCCTCCTCTGACTTATGGCGGATGGAGGCAGTCTCAAGCTCTGGGCGCAAGGATTGCGAGCATATTACACGCTCGAGAGGTCGTTACAAACCCGCATACCCTTGATGATCTTGATGGACATGTGGACAGACTGAATATCAATGGCGATTTCGGAGAGAAACAAGGACGTGCCCATCAATCACGCCGTGAAAAAAGACGAAAACACAAGGTCGTCATGCACACTTCGCCATTCCTGAGATGCGTTCAGACCTCCATCGCCATTAGTGCCGGAATAGCTCAGTATCAAGGACCCCCCGATCCCAGCAGTCATCAAACGCATCCAAGACCGCATGTGATGCACTCTGGCTCGCCTCATATTCGGGCGATGGATGGTCGGAACTCACCCTATCTGTCGGCAATTGCTGAGCCTGAGGATCATGGCAGATCAAGACAAAAGAAAAAAATGCATCGAACCCTCTTGAGGGTGGACGCTTTCCTGGGAGAGTGGCTTTCTCCAGAGTACTTTGACAAGATCACACCTCCGCCTGAGTCCAAGATGATGGTAGCAAGCTCGAAAGCAGATCTGCTGCATCATGAAGACCCGGTCAATGTAACACACACATCCAACAAATACTCATCTGGACAGGGCAATTTTCCAGGCGGTTGGAACAGCGGAAGTGCAATAAATACCAAGTCCCTGAATTCTGACGATGACACGCCTCTGGCCGACCCGTCCAGTCTTAACCAAACTATGCCTAGATTAGGCCGTGCCAATAGTCATAGTGTTGGAAATCCTCCGAAGAGATCTGATGTGATGCTCAACAGAAGAGCCGAAAGAAGCCCAACTCCAGAAAGCCCGACTTATGTGCCTCCGATACCTGCGTACGCAATCTCGCCTTCGCAACCTATACCTCCCGGGTACGTTTCCCATGCACGTGACGCATGTGTCAAGGTGGACAATCTATGGGATAGCTTACGACCACCGCTTGAATGGGGCAGCGGAGGTGAATATGGAGAAGAATGGAGCGCCATGCACAAGCGATTCCGAAAAGGCTTGCACGAGATGATCTCCTGGTACCGCACTCATGATGACTCCGAGACACTGAAGCCCATAGAGGAAGACTCTCTAGAAAGGAAAGACTCCGTCAGCAAGGACCCGGAGTATTACGATGACGATGAGACGGACACTGTACTGGTTTTGGTGACCCATGGCGCTGGATGCAATGCCTTGATCGGAGCATTGACGAGTCAACCCGTCCTTTTGGACGTTGGCATGGCTTCACTGACCATGGCTGTACGGAAGAGCGTCGCTTACAAGAGAGTCTCGTCACCTCACTCCGAGGATGTGCCAGCGTCTCCATCCCGACGACGACACTCGCTGATTGACCTTGGCATCTCGGAAGATTATGAAGTCAAGCTCACCGCTTCAACAGAACATCTGCGAGCAGGATCTCCATTCTTAGCGGGCCCACAGCTTCAGCGTACTCCAAGCGTGCCAATCAGAGAAAAGTCTCCGTACAGATATGAACGTCCTGGGTTCGTCAATCCCCATCACTCCAAGTTCAGTCCGACCAAAGAGGACTTTCATCTGGATAGCCCAATCAACGACAGATTCGGAGAACTCCAGAGAAGTTCTACTACTGTCGTCAAATCGTCAGGTGGCCTCTGGAGCATGCCTGTCCCCGAACAACTAGACAAAGCTGTGGAACAAGAGAGCAAGCATCCCGGCCCGCAAGCAGGTCAAAGCGCCCCAGTCAAGGCAGGGAACCTTGACGGTTTCTCAGAGCGAGGAGAAGTGGATCGACATGAACGACTTAATGGTTCATCCAATTCTGGCCGAACTTCTCCGATTGGCATTCTTGATCACGCCAATCAAGGGCATTCCATCGCTCCGAACGGTCTCTGGGGTGCTCCACCGCAAGCGCTCGGAACAGAGCGTGATCAAGGTTCCAAGCGGCGCTGGACGCTGTCCCAAGCCGCGTGAGCGGCATGCCGCTATCGATCACAATTCCCTTCCCAGCTGGGCTTTGCGCAGATGGAGACGGCCTGCACGAAATCATGATCGGCGTCAATGTCATACATTACGGCTCTCAACTCTTCTTGCCTCAATTTTAGTACCTAGCGTGCTAGCCTATTGATATTGAAGTATTGTATCTCCAATATAGGCCGTCTCTAATGGCGCATGATACCCAATCCTACTCTTTTCACGACACCAAAGATTTCCAACATGGGAGCGCGCGGTCTTCGAGAGGTACCGCGCAAATGATGAATCTAGATCCATATATCGATGAGATTAGAGATCACATTCGCTCTTCTTGTCACCGCGACTCCAGCCAAGAAGCCCCACCCCAAAATAACGCACACCCAAGAAGAGCTCCCGCTCCCAGAATCCGCTGGCTCCACGCCTCAACTCCTTCAATCTTGGCTGCGCCCTCAACCTTTCCCTTGCCCAAATCCCTCCCATGCGCTATTACCTCCTCACCAGGTGCCTCGCTCTTCTTAGCTTCTGTCGTTTTTCCTCTCGCGCGTGCTCTGTTGATGATCTCCTCTAATCTCCTCATATCTTCCCTCCACTCCGTCTCATTCCCGCCCACTCCTTCAACCTCAACACCCTGCACATTTCCAAAGAAATCCATCACCAATCTCTCCCTGCCCTTCTCCTCCCCTCCTGGAAACAGATCCCATCGGTATCCCGGATTGCTATGAATCTTGCTCTCATCGTAGCTACCAAAAAGATCCGCTAACGTGAGCTTTGAAGTTGGAGACGTGACTTGGGTTTCTAGAAAGTCGAGGTTGTAGTAGGTCCAGCGATCTATGACAGCAACACCCACGTCGTTGTCTGCGTGGTGGGAGTAGGAGGATTGGTCAATTTCAGAGGAGCCGGTGGCGATGATGTTGGGGGAGTAGAAGTGCTTGTAGAGAGTGTTGGCTTGGCAGGTGTCGATCATGAAAAGCATTTCGTTATAGCTATACCACCATTTCAGTCAGCCTTAGCTCCTAGAAAAAACACGGAAAAGCCGCGGCGGCATGAGGGAGGGAAAGACATACCGCTTCTTCTCCCACATCTGCTCAAACGCATCCGCCAAATCCCAACTCCCAATCTCCTCACTGTCCTGAAACTTCAAAAACTCATTCCCCCCATGTCCCGTCATGTACACCAGCACATTACTGCCCCCGTCACTCCCCAGCCGCTTCCCCCGCGGCACATCCTCCCCCAACCGATCCGTCAGCAACCGGATGAAGTTCTCCACCGTGACCTCGTACCCGCGGTAGTCCACCTCGATGTTGTCGCCGTACAGGTCGAGCGCGCGGTCGGCGTTGTTGTAGACGGTGCCCGGGAAGGCGTTGCGCGGGTTGCAGGCCATGTCGTCGGGGAGCATGAGGAGGATTTGCGAGTCCGGGATCCCGAGCCGCTTGACCGTGCGGTAGAGCGAGAGCACGTTGGCCAGGTGCCGGTAGTTGAACCAGAAGCGCGAGGTGGAGACCAGGACGGCCCAGTTGGAGGTGTGGGCGCCGAGGGAGGGGGGGAGGAGCAGGGGGAGGAGGGTCAGGGGGAGGAGGGAGAGGGGTGGGAGCTTCATTTTTGGGGGCGGAGGGAGGGAGGGAGAGAGGGAGGGGAGAGGGTTTTGAGGAGAGGGTGGGTGAGGACGGGACACAATGGTGAGGGTAGTAGTCCACCAATACAAAAAGATGAGCTCTGGAGTTGTCAGTAATTGACAAGTGTGACTCCGTAAATACGACCTGCCGTAGGAGCTGCCGCTAGCGTATCGGACATTCAGCCCTATGATTCGCGACTTCTTGAGATTCTGAGCGCGTCGGTCTTGGAGATCAGCATCTTGTCAATATCGATATTCTCTATCTCTAATTCTCAGCCTGTTTTTCTGATTTTCATGAGGCTGATTGTACAGAGCAGCGCGCCTTCTATTTCACGTCTACCTCTCAAGTGAGCTTGACTGCTAGATCCTGGATTACTGCAAACCATTTCTCCATGCCGAGTGCCCCTTCTACCGGTACATGCTTCTTGTGCATTTTTCTGTGACCGTTGTGGAAATATTGAAAGAGATGCTGGTGGATCTTCGTCGTAAATTCTCAGCTTCGTTGCGCCTTCAGAACCAGATCAGGTACGAAACAAGAGCGCGTCATGTACCTCCCACGCAATCTGATCTCCCACCTCTACCAACATCTCCAACGGAACAATCACCCTCTGTCACCCCCTGTCCTAATCTTAGTCGCACTAGAGCCCGATGCTCTCTGCGCCTGTCGAATACTCACAGCGCTCCTCAAACGCGACTACATACTGCACAAGATCCAACCCATCTCCGGCTATGGGGATCTTACACAAGCGGGGAGAACCATGGTGCAGCCCATGAAGATACAACAAGGTGGGAGCGGAGGGGTGGTGGTATGTCTCGGTGTAGGGGGACTCGTCGATATGTCAAGTGAACTCGGACTGGACTCGGGTGACCCAGGAGAAGACTTGTCCGGAGGCGTCGAAGTATGGCTCATTGACGCGCGACGGCCGTGGAATCTGGGGAATGTCTTTGAAGGAGATCCAACCGCTGTTGCTCTCCGAGAGATCAGCGGCGATGCTGCGGCAATAAATCCAGTTGTTGATAATGGACGAATACAACCGTCATACAAGCCTGGCCGAGGCGGAATTATAGTGTATGATGATGGAGATATTGATGAAGAGTTGGGTGCTGAGCGAGAGGCTTACTGCGAACTCACCAGGATGCAAGGCGTAGAGGATTATGGCGAGGACTCTGGTGACTCAGGCGACGAGAGCGATGTAGTAGATTCAATCGAGGGTGGGCAGCGCTCAAGGAAGCGTAAGTCTTGGTCGGACCGAGATGAGGAGGACGAGGAGAGTCAAGATGAGAACAGAAGACCTCGTCAAAGGCCGAGAAGTAACTCTGTATGTGTGATCTTCCTTCGTACATTTCTAAAAAACATGCTAACACAAAAAACAGAGTGGCTCCATATCTAAATCACCCGGTCGTCACCGCCAAGAGAGCTCAAGAACTGTACGAGGCTCCTCCGAAACGTCACCTCTCCCTCCATTGCAAGCTTCGTCGCCAGGACCACCGAAAGGACCAACGATAGGATCACTGCGTCGAAAGCTCCTCCGTGATCGTCGAAAGTACACTGCCACTCTCGAGAAGTATTATTCGGGTGGTGCGACCTACTCAGAGCCCATCTCATCAATTCTCTACTCCCTGGCTGAGGATCTTGGCCGCGAAGATAACGATCTCCTATGGCATGCCATTGTTGGGGTCAGCTCGCTGGAACTATACGGGCGAAGCATGACTGGGGTTGGAATATCGACCTCTCTAGATGCTGGTGGCTCAGCGGGCTGGGGAGGCGAACGAGGGGAACGAATACGGCAAGTACTACGAGACGAAGTCCGCCGATTGAATCCGCCAGATCCTAGCGAAGCATCTCGAGAGAATGGTCGCGGAGAGAGTTCAGGCGTCATACCCACCACAGCTCGCTCACCCACCGATACTTCAATCCGACTATCTCCTGAACCCCGTTTCCTCATGATCAGACATTGGTCGTTATATGACAGCATGCTTCATTCTCCCTATTTAGCTTCTCGGTTGCACATATGGAGCGATGTTGGTAGAAAAAGACTGCATAAGCTTCTGGCCAAAATGGGAGTCAGTCTGAGTCAATGCAAACAGAGCTACACGCACATGGATATGGACCTCAAGCGAGGCTTACGGGAGAGGTTACTAACCTATGCTCCCTTGTATGGACTAGATGGCTTAGTACCGCCAAGAGCTAGCACTGGTCGTGGAAGAGAAGGCTGGGGTTTCGTAAGAAGCTGGGGCTGGAAAGCATGCTTAAGTGCACAAGACGTCGGCGTAATAGTTGGAGCGATCCTTGAGGTGGGAAAGTCTGGCGTTGCAGCAGGCGATTCGTCGAGGAACTGGGACCGTGGAAGGGGTGAGCAGAAAGAGCTGGTGGATGAAGATGGCAAAGCAGAGGGTGAAGAGTGGGTGCGGAGGTTCTGGGAGGCGTATGATGCTCTTGAAAAGTAAGTCAAGATTCTGAGATATCCTTCACTTCTACATAATTCTGACTTGTAACACAGCATCGAAGCACTCAAACACGCACTTCCCACTGCCCAGCATCTCCATAAAGCTATCCTCCGCACCGGCACCTCCCTCATCGAAAAGCGCCAAATTCGCCATCTACGCGCTTTCCGAATGGCTGTCGTCAAAGAGGGCCCCGATGTCCAGATGTTCACCCATCCAGCAGCTCTAACCAAACTCGCCCTCTGGGTTGGCGAAGCTATTGCCGAACAGGAGCGAGATCAACGCGGCAAGATAAGGAAAGATGGCTGGGGCACTCCCCTCGTCTTGGCTAGTCTCAACGAGGCCAGGGGCGTATTCGTGGTCGTCGGCACAGGGGGAGGTGGCGGCGTAGTCGACTTCGCAGCTCGAGCTAAGCGAAAATCGAGGTTGGAGGAGAAAGCAATGGCTCGAGCCGCTAAGCTCGCCGAGAAGGAGCGGAAACGGCAGGAGAGAGAGGAGAGGGAAGAAAACGACGGCGAGCAAGAAAGCGAAGAAGAGGATGACGACGAGGATGAAAGCGATGACGATGATGATGACGATGCTGGGAATGGTTATGGGAAGAACCGATTTGGTAATGCGTTTGAGGAAGTTGCCCAAGAGACCAATGCCAGAGTCAGGATTGACAGCTTCGAGCATTGCGTTGTCGAGGTCAAGAAGGAGGATCTGGGTGGCTTTCTGGAAAATTTGAGCGTGAAAGCTGTGGTTGGCTGATCCAGAGACAAGGATGGATTGGTAATGCATAGGCTGGTGTTCTTGCAAGCGAGCATCTGTTTTTTGGCTTCCATTGAGCTTGCTGAGAGCCATGCTGTATAGGAAAACGGACATACACAATATGTACATGAAACCCGGCCACGATAGCCTCCTACCCATAACCGTGCTTCTCAGGTCATTCAATGCCCCACATTGAGACCCTGCGGTCTGAGGACAGTGCTGTTGTGACAAAGAAATGCAGAGAAAGTGTAACAGACTCACACCTTTTCACACCAATTCCCTCTCCTACTCGCAACCACCACCTCTTGCACCACCCTGCGAGACTCATCAATATACCATTTTACTGTCTAATGCACATGCTAAATGCAACACCCTGAATCATCCAGTTGCAGCCTGTCCGGCGACCATCCCCCTTTGTTTACCTTTTTCGTTTACATCCAACCGCACTATTCGCCCCGACGATAATCTGACCAGGCTAGACAGATACAACACCAGCAATCTATTTCCCTCTGACAGAATGATCCCTTCCTCTTCATCATCACCTGCTGCCATCGATACCAGAGCATCTGTGTCGCACCTGGCATCAGCTTTCCGCATCTCATCATTACTCTTCTCATCTCAGCGCCACCCTACGCTTCAAAACACACAACACCATTCACCAAACTCCCGCAAGGTACCCTCCCCCTTCCTCCCCCTTCCATCCCACCCTCTAACCCTTTCTCCCTCTCAGCAAAGATGCCCGTCCTCCTCTTCCCCCACGCCGCCTACTTCCTCCTCAAAGCCTACCGCCCCGTCAAGGACCCCCTTACAGGTCGCATCACCTACCAGCACGTCGGGCTCGAATGGATCAAACGCGACCTTTATGATCCCGTGCAGAGAGAGCAGGCGCATAATTACTACCTTTCGTTGTGTTCCGAGGTGAGAAGATTCGATCGATCCATTTATCCATTTTACCTTACAGAGGAAGAAGAAGAAGAAGAAGAAGAAGATGATGATGATGATGATGATGATGATGACAATTTTTGGTGTGCTGATGTGGTTATGTGTGTGTAGGTTAGTCAGGAGGATAGAGATAGGCTGGCGAGCGAGTGGGCGGATATTCGGCACGCGAGGGAGGCGGAGGAGGAGGAGGAAGTGGAGAGGGAGAGGAGGATCGACGCGTTGGTCGAGGAGAGTGAGGGCGTGGCGTGGAATATTGCGAAAGTGGAGAAGGGGTTGAGGATTGCTGGGGGGAAGAAGACGGGGGAGGGGATGGATGTGGTGAGGGGTGATTGATTGGTGTCATGGACGGATGGGGGTGTATTCGAAGGGAGGGAAGGGAAGGGAAGGCAAAGGGGGATTGTGGAATAGCTTGCTGAGATAGATGATCGAAGGGGAGTAGTGCTTAATCAAGGGCTCACTCAATTTGCTTGAAAACAGCATAGATATCGCCACTGGAGCTAGGAATGAGGTTGAAAGCTCTCGGTATGAAGCCCAGAATGCCAAGACCAGTCACGTACCAAAGTGGCCATCTTCGCCGTCGGGCAACCGAACGGATGTCAGCATATCGGGGCTTCCTGTTCAAATGGCATCTCTGATACGGAGCCCTCGACGATGTTGCTACACTCGGGTTGGCATAGGTGATTTGATAGGACTTGGCGCATGCACGAACCCTCACAAGGGTCAAGTAGGCTTTTCGGTCTTCTCGAATAGTTAGTGCTGCCGGGATGCGAGTTGCGGGGTGTGTCAAAGAGCAAACAAGCAAACAATCATTTTGCCATTTTTGATTGTTTGATATGGGTCCTCGGTCTAAAGAAATGTGTCTGAAACCACACAACAGGACCCGATCAGCGGAACTCGACATCGCGATCTCGGGTTTTCAAACGTTAATTTTGCTTCCGAAAAGACGAAAAGGCAAACCTCAGTCAGCGAATAGAGTATTGGCAAACAACCCAACTCACGTATAATAACAGCAGGGACCTCTCCAACCCTTCGTCTCCAGACATCCTCAGCATTACTATCTCAGGCCTACATCTCACATTCAAATCACAATGTCTGGGAATCCATCCGAAAACACCGGGGACCCCTCCGGACACAATGCTCCCCCCGGCGTTAAAAAGCCCCCTCAGTGGCTGATCGACGTCAACTGGATGACCAACCATTTGGCTGTCGAGGAACGAGATCGAGAGTGGGAGAAACAGAAAGAGGCGGAAGAGAAACGCAGGAAGGAGGAGATGGAAGCCGAGAGGCAAGAGCGAGAGAGGGAGCAGAAGAGAGATGCGAAATGGAGACGCAGAAAGGCGGAGAAGGAAGCCGAGAGGCGAGATCAAGAGAGGAAGGAAAAGAAAGAGGCGGAAGAGAAACGCAGAAACGAGAAGAAGGAAGACGGTGCAAGCATCAAACAAGAGGAAGTCGAATGAGGCGCTTGATCCGGTGCCCCATAGTTGCAGCAAGGTATGAATTTGTGCCTCATTGCTTGCTGAGAGGAGAGCTCAAATGCTGTTAGAGGCTAAGGAAGGGACTTTCCGGTGGCGACAAGGTCTGCCATTTCAACAGTCCGTACCAAAGTACATGGGAGCATCATGGGTCCAAGTAATGCACTTTTGCCGTCGATCAATAGGCTCAATAACTATGCACGTGGTCAATAATACATTTCTGGCATGCCTCCTGACGGCAGAACCACAGGTCTATAGCCCTTTGTATCGTTGCTCATCAACGGTCATCATCCATGATCATCCATCTTCCCCCTAGGCAGCTCACCGTGCCGCCAACCTCGCCTCTACCTTATCCCTCTCCTGGTCTTTCATCTCCCTCAGCTCCTCCTTCGTAGTGTCAAACCTCGCGTTCGCCTGGTTGAACGGATTCTCCGGACTCCGCTCAAACTCCTTTCGAATCATATCCTCCCTCTGCTTCTTCCTTAGCCCCTTATGCTCTTCCTCCAACTCGGGCATGCGTCGGGCCTCGTACGCCGCATACGCAGCCTTGAATCTTCTCTCCGGATGTCTGTCGATCTTTTCCGAAGGGTTGGCGGAGGCGAGGGAGAGGGCGTCGAGGGCGTTGTCGATACCGGTGGCGTTGAGGGCCGGGTTGCCTTTTGAGATAGAGGATGAGGGTTCGTCGTCGTCGAGTGAGGAGAGGTCGAGGCCTTTAGTCTTTTTGACTGCGGTTTTGGTGTTTTTGGGTGTGGGGCGGGCGTCTTTCTCTTCAGCGGCGAGGAGGGCATCTTTCTCCGCTTTTTTACGCGCTGCCTCTTGCTTCTTTGCTTCGGCTTCCTCTCTGTAAGTATGGTTAGATTGAATCGAGGGCGGAGGGAGAGGTGTGTACTTCTTAGCGTTGGATTTTGCGCCTTTGCCCCATTCCTGATCTTCAGAGGCTGCTTTCTTCGCACCCTCAGCTGTGGCTTTTTGGTTTGTTACTTCGGCTTTCTGAAGGGGCGATCAGCTACCAGGCCCTCAATGGACAAAGCAACGCAGCATCGGACCTTTGCATTGCCGGCAGCCTTTTTGCTATTCTCTCCCGCCTGCTTCTTGGGCATACTGGATCTTGTCGGCGGCAGACTCCTCGAGCCGTGACGCCCAGTCTTTCGAGTCTGAGGGCCCCGTGGTAGTGAGAAAATCAGTATCTAGGTTGTAGGGTATCTACGAGAGTCGAAGGGTCAAGTTTTAATTGGTGGAGCCGCTTCGTCCCCATCAAAACATCATCGAGCGCCAAGGCCAAAGCCCTAAGGCTCTTAGGGCTCCATTTCTAGCGGCTGCTTCAGAGGTGGTAATGGCATAATGTTCCACTCGTACGAGTACCACCAAACTTCATGATACCCAGAAGTCCGTTCTGTCAAATCAGGTCTCTGTCTGTCGGACGTCTTATAGATACTAGTGCTCTAAAGTCACATCAATCATGGTGGGGTTCTCCGATCTCTCCGACGAGCTCTCCTCATGATATGGGATTTCGTTGAATTGGATGATATTTACATCTTTTCTACAGTCTCTAAAAAAGTCGACTTTCTAACCCACGAGCTACTGCGCGAGCACTGCAGGCTCGCTTTCAAAAGCGCAACTTACCATTTTCAGGCTACTCTATGTAAGAGCAAGCTTCGTATCCGTCAATGCGGGGATGACGTTCAAATGCCAGGCTCAATGGAGCGTATCTCAAGGAATCACGCAGGTCACTTTAGCTAAACGCTTCGTCGACATAACTCCCCATTCATTAATTAAAGACGCTTTGACCGTCCGAAACTTCCAAATACCAAGACAAGAAAAAACGTTAAGTATCGTTTCCCAATCACTGGATGGGATCGCCAGCTGCATCGGACGTAGTTGACCAAGTCTGCTGCTGCAACCCCGCCGGGAATCCCGATGTGTCGAATCCTCCACCACCGCTATTACCATTGTAGTATCCGTCTCCCACTCCTCCGCCGCCGCCGCCGCCGCCGCCGAGAACCTGATTAGCAACATTCGCAACTTTGGCCATGCCAGAGAGCACTTTTGGCAGACTCGTACCGGAGGCAGAAGACCCTCGCGCTGGCGAGCGCACCAGTGATTGCATCACGGCGGATTGCATGTTGGGCATATTTGAAGTCACGACTCCGAACCTCTCTCCGTGTCCGTCCGGGCACAAGCCTTCAGCCGCGCCACTCTTCATGACGAGCATGTACAAGGGATCGTCGACATCGCCGCTCGCGGAGATCGAGTTGTATGTGGATAAGGAGAGGTACTGTTCCTCTTCGTCAGTAAAATGATCGAAATGTCCGATGTGAGGCATCCGCCTCGGTCCGTAGAAGATCGACCAAGAATATGTCACCTACATGAACGTTCCCAAGACTGGGCATGCCCGCAAGCAATTTCTCAAGACCTGGGAACCTGCCCCTCAAACTCCGCAAGCCGGACCCATCAGTATTGATGATGACGAACGAATCGTCTATCCCCAGAGTGACCAGTCGGGTGCGATGCGTTCCGAAGCTGTTCAAGCGGGCCGCAAGGGCATCCAGAACTCCGCACCACTGCATCTTGTTTTTGTCTTTGACGACATAGCTTCCCTTTGGTCCCAGCGTAACCATTGTCGTACGGATGTCGTGTTCCACGAAGCCTTTAGCGTTGGTTGAGAGCCATTTTGTCAAGTGGAAAGGGAGTCCGTGGTTCATGCAGTATGTCTTGTTATCGTTGTCAAGGTAGCCGATATAGTAAGAACCAGACGGACCGATGACCAATTCATAGATGTTCTTGATAGGGAGGCTGTTTCGTGAAGAGATTCTCGACGGCCGCAGGTAAATTGTGACTATGGTAGTCCTTGTCAGTCCTTCGCATTCTTGGCATACAAAGAGAAATAAGCTTTGACGAACCGAGTCCATTTTGTCGGACAATTACACAGATAGCTATTCTCGGGCCCAAAGGCAAAGCATACATTCGACATGGTGAAGACAAAAAACCTTCAAATATGCGAAAACTGCAAGAGAAGATAGTGCTGAACTTATACTTGAGTCACTCCCGCCGAGAGAAAAAAGTCTGTGTGACACGAGAAGAACTTTGAAGTCCTCAGGATAATGCATACCTTTATAATGAGGCTATAACCCACACTGACCCTCCTCGGCACAAGGCTGAACGACACCATCACCACATCAAGCCAAGCCTGGGGACGCCACCTCAGCGTCCAGACGCATGTCACCAATATCAATATACAGCTAGAGCTGGTGAGATTTTAGTAAGAAAAAGACAAGCAGTAGCAAGTATCGTGCTATCGCGCTTTCATGAAGTTATCATCTCCTTTGTGGAAATCTGACGAGGCACTTCACTTCGGCCTAGTCGCTTAATCCTCGAAACCTCGAGAGCGGAGGGTCGTGGCCTGGCAAATGCTTGAGCCTCTTTCTTTATTTCAACAATGTACCTGGAAAGGTCCTGTCCCCTAACCTACTATAGGCAGAGCTGCGATATGCACGTTCGCCTCCTGCTTTCTCAAAGAAGTGGAGTACAGTCACGGGATAGGTTTCTCGGTCAAAGTAACGCGGTGGATTACTGACGGATGTTGTGATCTTGGAGTCGTTTCGTAATGAAGAATGGAGGGTGGGCCAAAGCGAGCTAACGCCACAGGCTTAGCGAATGCAGCCATCTTGCCAATTCAGGCTGCTTACGCTGCGCCCTATGTCGTACAGGCAGCAATTAAAGGCTTCTTTCAGCTTGCTTTCCAACGAACGAAAGCGGAGATGGTGAATTATACCGTCGCTTTGGAAGCTGAAACTCTTTACCTTCTTATCAAATGTGCAAGGAACCGGAAATCGAAGCGGGATTGTGAAGGACGAGAACTTGAAGACAGTGGATTAGTAATCTGTGTACAGGAGAGGAGGGGCGCCTTTATCGATCTGAGTCTAAACTGTTCACAGGGAATTGTAAAGAGGGAGAGATTTATGGAGGGTTCCTAAAAGTAGATGCAGGTCTTATATACAACTTTATGAGCAGACTTTAGATGAGCTTGGGGGTATCTGTGATAGCGAGAAGACGGATGCCGAAGTCGAAGGAGAAGACGTCGGAATACGCGCAGATGGTTCTGTCTGCCCAACTTAACTTTATTATGATGCATAGAGGTCAGAGATGTTAGAAGTGACATACGACGGGGTTGAGGGACTGGCCTGTGTTGCGATATCTCAGAGCAAAGTTATTCCCAGATACCATCGCCGGCGCCGAATTCGCTCTTCCTCTCATCCGACCTACGGCCGGAAACACATCGTCTACTTCACTTGAAGGTTATCGAAGAAGAGGCCGATGGTCAGCCGTCAACCAAGAAGTTGAAGAGCAGAACAAAAAAGAATTCAAACAACGAGTCCGCCGCAGGATATGACTAGGAAAAGACACATCCTACCCAGCGACTATCCGTATGGAGAGCTCGACGACAAGTGTACTCTGCGGTGGAAATCTCGGTCATACGCTCTCTTAGAGCATACTACGGCATCATCACGGCCTGCGTGGGTGAAGTCGCAGTCGCCATTGGCCTTGCCCCTGCTCGTTCTGCCGACATGACCACTAAAGCGGATGCCGGTTGCAGCAGATCCGCGTATGCGCCAAAGTACATATACCCTTCACTGCGTCCTGCGCTGCGGTGGTCTCAATCCACGGTCATCATCGGGCGCCAAGAATGATTTTACAAACTCTCCCACTATTTGCATTGATAGCTACTTGTTTCACCCTTTCTATACCTCTAGAAGCCTCAGCCGTGCGACTCCCATTACACTTACAGAACGAGACGATACCGTCATCACCGGCCAACGCGACGAACGCCGGCCTGGGCACATGGCCCGATACTCCCTTTAATAGGCACCTCGGCTGGGACACCGGCATCGAAATCATCAGTTGCACACCCGCTTCCCCTGCAGACCCTACTTCCGAAATGGGTGTTCTCGAAGGAATCAGCATCATCGGCGCGAAAGCTCGCTCCCAGAGTCGCCTGGCTCTCATTGAAAACTTCCACGAGGACAGTGGCCCCGTGACGTTTGATTTCCATGCAACAGAAGATCTTTTTCGCGGATCAGACGTTGGCAAGATTCTCGATGTACTCTGGGAGATGACAAACCAGTATGGAAAGGGCGGAGTCTATGGATGTCTTGTCATGGAGGATATCCACACTGCATATTTCAATCTTGCACTCAAGAAAGTGGCTGTGGCGAAGTGAAAAGCGTTTGATTACCGTGTTGGCTACTTCTGGATTTTGAAGTATACAAGGCGTTCCCACGACCCATCATGCCGGCCGCCGGGTCTTACTGCACGAGGTTGGGTCATTTCATGTCAGACTTGAGATAGAGAACTTCATGAGACTCATGGTGAAAACTAGAGACCGTAAGATACGTACGCTTTTTGATGTGAAATGATTGGCTCGCGGCACCTTTGGACCTGAGATCGCGAGTTTCCAAAAATCAACAGCTACAAAGCCTGGCAGAGAGTTGGCCGGAAAGCAGCCCGAAATCAATTTCCTGCAACAAGCGCACAAGATGCCTCCACCGCGAAAGCTACTGTTACCTTGCACGGTTCATCCTGGTTGATGGTCCTTTTTTTCTCAGCTTCAATGCAGCTACTCTCACCTTACAAAAGAGGATTGAAAGCGTTCAATGGACTGTGTCAGGGCGTCGATGTGAGCAAAATCCATTTTTGAGCAGTGACATGCATAGAACTTATCATTCTGCTCGCGAGTTATTACTCGCTAGTGAGAATATAAGGGAACCTTGAGTATATCGGCAGCGACATCAGCCACAATTAGCAACCCTCTTGCCTTCTACATGTATAAGTCCACCATGGCTGGTTTTGACCTTTGAATGAACCGACATTCAAGACTTACCACTTCTTCTACAGCTTAGGTGGCCCTCACATCCACAGTCGAGTGGACTGGATGACTTGTGCGGATTGTTAAGCGCACGGCAATTCACACGTGCGACGCTATCGAGGGTCTGCGCCTAAGATACTCCCAAGGCAATGAAACGGGATGGAAATGATTACAAGCGCTTCAAGAATCAACTGAGTAGCTATCTAAGCGACTGCAACAGCGCCATTTAACCCTATATGCGAAAGAACGGCCACTACACAGAACCTGTTGTCGTCACTGGTCCTCTAGAGCGTACCTTTTTCCGTTCCCTGCTCCGTGGCGGCATGGAAACTAACCATGTCTTACATTCCCTTGATTCTCGCAGGGTTTGCTGCTTCAACTGTCGTATCGCTAGCTCTAATTCCTCTGCAAGCCATTGTGACCCCCGCAAACCATTCCGTCACAGAGGTAGCATTCAACTCGTCCAATCCAACCAGCCAGAGCATCCTCTCCTCCACTTCTGCCTATGTGCCTTCGGTCTCTGCATCCAACCACTCATCCGAATCGTTAGCATACGGATACTACCAATGCAACGCAAAGAAGTTCGGTCAACCCAAATTCAATAGCTGCCGAGAGGCCTTACATCAGATGCCGAATGGCTGGGACTTGAGCACTTATGGAGATCGCACCGTTTTCGGCGGTAGTGTTGATTTTCCACTGCCTGCCAGATACGCCAGCAGTAAGCAAGAGCGGATTCTCGGAGATCGGTGAGGCATCTACGAGCTGATTCCAGGAATAGTCGATGGGGCTTGCATTATCGAGGTGTTTGCAGCGAAGCAAGGTGCAATCGACAGACTGGAACCGTCCCATTTGAAGATGAGCATCCGTTATCTCCTTGATAAGTGTGTGCGGGACGAGGAGCACGAAGGCGGGTTTGCGAAGTACTTGGGTTAGTATCGATTTGCCCTTTCTAAAAGTTGCGGATTGAATTAGTGTGAAGTAACAATGAGCCTTCAGGAGAAAATGGGCGTCTCTCCGTCTTCGTAAAACAGTCTACTACACAGTTCAAGTGTTTCGTACCCATGGGTTTATCTCCAATAGGCTCTGCGTGTCAGTTACCGTTGAACACAATGCCTGTATCCAATTCAACGGAGCTGTTCGGTGAAAGGGGTACGCAAGGTATCGACGTCGGTCTTCCGCTGAGATACACAGACCGTGAGTAAATGCCTACGATCTACCTTTTTCTGCTCTCTCGGCTCATTCCAAATGTAGCCCGTGATGAATGTGCAATCGATGTTGTGATCGAAGGACCACCAATCCGGGCTGATTGGTATGACCTTTGGGGTGCTGCTGCGATCGTTGTCGCTGTCTGCGCCAGGCGTGGCAAAGATGGCGTCTTTGCCAAAACAGGTATTGAGTTCTCCCATCTTCACGAATCTTGTATTATGTTAAGACTCGGTGGTAGTTGGCGAGACGGAACTTGCGGTCTGGGTTTCTGGAGGTAACTCGCTGCCTATGCCGGAAAATACGGCGTGAGTTATCACAAGGGTAGTAAGTTGGCGCTCTTTTGGTTCAAGAGCAGTAATTATTGGGCGTATCTCATCCGATATCAAAGATATGGATCGATGCTGGCTAGGATTTAGACCAGATGCTGCCAACACAATGACGGCAAACGCAGCTCCTGTTATCTTATGATACACTTCTTACTTCGCAACTAAAGCATCATGGATACTAATCTCCTTAAGAGCAGCCTTTCCGTTCTTCATCCTACCTTCCTAAATCCAGCTGCTCATCTGCTAATTTGCCAAAGGTGACGCCTTCAACTTCAGGATTCTCTGCTACTTCTACCGCATCATCAGCAATGCTCCGGCTCCTCATCGCACGCCAGTCTCTACAATCTCGGAAATTTGGCCGGCAGGTAGGCTCTCTGAAAGTCTCAAGCCTGACATGGAGAACTCGTCAAGAGCAAAGTTCATAATGACATTTTCGACCATGTAGAATTATGACTTGGAACTGTCTTACCTACCACGATTGTCTCGAGAAAAAAGGCCCCGGCACTATGAACCACATGAGTAGCATAATTGCTGTCATTGCTGCTGGACAATATAAAGGGACTTGGACCCTGTCTCCGCGTCCCAGAAAAACAACCGAGCCGCCAGCCGGTCCCGTAGTATTCTTCTGTGTCTGATTAGAGGCTGTCGATCCTGCTGTAGTAGGTAATGGCACAAGGCCACCATTCAACCCAGCAGAGATGAAACCGCCGATACCGTATGACAGTGGGGATACGCCCACGATGCTTTGATACGGTATCGTTGACGTGCCACCAATCACCAATGCCGAGCTGTCTAGAGCGACCGGTGTTCCCGAGATTCTTATTGCGGGTTGCCCGAGTTGGATTGTTGTGCCTGCGATGGAAACTCCGTTAGCAGCTTGAGATATGGCGTACGTTTGACCTGCGATGGTGATTATCGAGGTTGGCGGTAAGGATGGCAGGGGAATCGTCGATGTGCCCACTACTAGATGATCGGCCCCGAAGGATATAGGCGTCCCTGCCAAAGTAATAGCGGGTGCGTTCGCGGTAAATGTTGTTCCGGCGATAGCTACGTGGTTTGGGAGGATAGTAAATGGTTGACCCGCTGCCGTAATTACTGTTATCGGTAGTATCGAGGTATCATGGCTTAGTGGAATAGTGTTCGTTCCTATTTGCAGCTCAGAATCGCCAAGAGAAACGATCGTGCCGTCAATAGAAATGTCGGGATCATTAGGTCTCAGCGTTGTACCGGCAGCTATGAGGCTGTTTGAGGATAAAGTTAGGGTTTGGCTGCCTACTGTGAAGACTGTAGCGGATGTAGGTACTAGGCTTGAGAGAAAACCTGGGACTGTTGAAGTGCCGAGCACAAGGTTCCCGTTCGAATGTAAAGCGATAGGGGTGCCAGAGACTGTTATCGGATCTCCCCCACGGGTAACAGAATGTCCATCAACGAGAATGCCGCCGGGAAAAGGGGCCGCTTGAATTAAATGTCCGCCGACTGCAGTGATGAAGGGCGCTAGGCTTGGGAGAATAGTTTGAGCTATCAAAGTGCCAAGCATCAAGTCTCCATTGGAATGTAGAGCAATGGAGGTACCGGAGACGGTTATTGAACTTCCCCCACGAGCAATGGATTGCTCATCTACGAGAATACCGTTGGCGGAGGACGCGGCCTGAACTACGTGTCCGCCCACCGTAATGGTGAAAGGCGCTCCTGCTTCAGCTGGATCATTGTTGATGAATTTCCCCCCAGCCGGAAATTGGCCAGGTTGTTGATTAGCGAGCGCAGAGTCTTTGGAAGGATCTACATTTCCACTATTCGGGTATGGTAGATTTTGCCCTGCCTGCGGGTCGTTCCCTGGAACATCGCCAACTAACGGATCTTTTCCTTCTGGGGAACCGTTTCCTGCTGCATTGGTTCCTGTTGGTGGATCATTTTTTGGTCCGCTAATTGCGTTAGATCCGCTTGGAGGAGCTGTCTTCAGCGGCAGTGTGTGCGAAGCCAGAGAAACGGGGGCAGCGGCCGACGTAGGGCTTGCTTCTTTAGTCTGAGCAGGGCCCAAAACAGCGGCTGGTATTAATGCCCGTGGAGGGTCGATTACGTAGCCTGTGTCATCTGCCTCCATAGTATCCACGCAAGTTGACCAGGCTGGATTTACTGATTGTAGTCCGGTAGGTAGTTGAAGTAAAGGGGAGCAATGAGTGGCATCGTAAGAAGTTTCCGCCACGGAGCTTTGATTATGGCCTTGAATAGTCGCAGGATTCGTGCAATTGGTGAAAAGATCTGCGTAGTTAACGGCGGTGGGATTGGCCGATTGGGGAAAGTCCAAATTGGTCGAGAGGTCGGTTTGATGGTAGGACAAGGTGATGCTGGAATAGGAAGACCCTAGTATACCGCATTGGCCGGTCGCATGAAGACTTTTATAGACTAGATAGACCGAGGGAGAAGTACTGGGATTTGATCCGTCAGCTTGGGATACTCACGTCAGTTTTGACCCTGCTCACTAAATGAAACCGTCCGGTCCAACTACAGTAGTGATGTTGGGATATGGCGCTGGAGTAGGCCAAAAGTATAATTGAACGGCCGAAGCGACAATATTGCAAAGAGTGCCACAGCATGGTTGCGTTAGCGTGGGCGTCCATACTGGGGGCTCTGTGAGGGTTGTTCCGTTCCACCCAACAGCAGTGGTGGAAGTGGGGTCGGCGGCCGCCCAGCTACTGTAATTCGACCTCTCGAGCGATAGACAATGTTGTTTTTCGCTAGCATTAATACCATAGAGCCAAGGTCCGATGGACTCGCCAACCTCTGTCGTTTCATCGTAGTTTTCACACCAATATTGTTCAAATGGTATGGTTGAAGAAGAGGCCGCTGGGTTAACAGAGGCTAGAGAAGCAAGCCCTTCTGTAGTACTTGCCACTATGGTAGTTGGTGAGGCTATAAGCCATGAGGAGTCTGTAGGTCATTAGGGTATGCTTACCGTCTGCGATAGGTGATACCAACAGCTTGAGCAATCGATAAATAGGTCTTGACGACGACTAATGGAGTAGCCATCATCCTCAGCAAAATCTGCGATCTCAAATGCTTTAGTCGGGTTGTTGGTGTGATTATTATGCAATATTGCGTTTGTGATAGTCGAGACAAGCAGGAAGGGAAAAAGGTTCTTCATCTTTCGGGTGCTCATCTTCAGGCGTAAAGTTTCCAGAAATCACTTATGACCGCAACTAAAAAGTGTGCAAGAGTACGAAATATGATATTGCAAGGACGGGCTGCCGAATTTCAAGCAGCCTTGTGGATGAGAGATGCAACCCTGCATGCACAGCCCCTATATTGCATCCCATCGCATGCTGGTCTTAGATGGGATTTTGACCCCACCAGCAGCCAAATTTTTCAATGCGCAATCCAGTGGAACATGTTATCTGACCACCTCGTGTATACTCTTATATTCTGGGGATCGTAAAATGGCAGGACGCCGGGAAATGAAATCATAATGCACGCACAGCCTCCATGTTTCATGTGACGTGGTTTAGGCTTAGGTTGAGCAGACCGATTGGGCTGTTAACGTGCCTAGGCAGGATTCGGGCAACCCGTGCCATCAACATGCATAGGGAGGACTTTGCTTTGAGCAGCGAACGTCTGGTTGAAATGGCTAAACGAGAGGAAGGTCCGGAGCAGCGTCGCGTCTTCGCAAAGACTTATGACTCTCTGCACGTTCGCGTTCGCAATGCTTCGTCTTGAAAAAAGGATGGAAATGTATGCCGCCACGGTCTGTAGAGTGGGCATGGCGGGCGAAGAATTTGCTGTGCCGCTAATGCGGTCATGCTTTGGAAATCCCGGCGGCATAGTCGTTAGACATCTTGACCTGTCAATGACCGAGGTACTATCACGAGGCGGCCAGCGAAGGATGAGGCCCAACCTGCTTATGGTAAATAGAGGCTTCACTCAGCGCGTCCAGGGTAGTACCTTTATATCAACACCAGCTGTGTTATGTCCGACTCGCAAAATAAGCGCTCTTGATCATGGGACCGTACCTCGTTAGTAGTGGCACAATCCATTTACCATATAATCCAGCTTACTCAGTGGTACTCAGGCTGCGGAATCTGACTTGTATTTGTGAAGTGAGTAATTCGGATCGATGCCTTCGAGGCGTTGCGTGACAAGACCCAATGCCAAGACTGTACAGCCTCAGCACTACCTGAGATATCTTATAGGCATCTTGCTTCAATAGAGACGCGTATGACAACTTTCCCATCCAGTCATTTCATCGAGCATAGTTCTCGACCCGTTGCCCACGTCGAGAACTTCGCTCCCTTGCCTCGCCCTCCACATCGCGCAATCATCTCACAACTTCATCCCCCTTCCCACCGCCACTTCTCTTACCGACTCCTTTCTTCATACTATCCTCCCATGTCTTCGTCTCTTCGCCTGCCGTTAGCCCCTGTCCATACGTCTTACTACCCTTCTTGAACAACCTCCTCAACTGTCCCGACGCACTATTCGCCTCTCTTTGCGCCACCAAGGTAAGAAATTTGGCGTTGGGATCTTCGTTGCTGTGGAAGACCCCATCAGTAGCCTACCTCCTCATGGGATGAACCACAGGAAACCCAAAATCAGAATTAAGGAAGGACCTACCGCGCAACAGCCTCCTGCCTCTCTCTATTCCATTTCTCGTAGTAAGCAGCGTCACAATGGACCGGGAGCTGGGCGTAGGAGGAGTCGCAGCCCAGAGCGCCATCAGCCATCGTGGATGGGGCGGCAATGGGTTTGTGGTTGGCGGGAGGATCGGTGGCGGGCTGGGGTGGAGGTGTGGCAGCTTGTCTTTTTTGTAGAGTTGGTTGGATTCCTGTCAGTTAGATGTCTGGCATTATGAAGGATGTGGAATGATGTGAGGTTTGCATATTAATCACACAGTGGGTGGGTGGGTGTGGAAGGGAACCTTTGGCAACGTGTTTACATAACCTCATGCAACCTGATTACTGCTGCATACATCTATGGAGGTCAGCGCTAGGCCGGGTCTAGCTTAGCATTTGGAAGCCGACTAACATTTCTTAGGCACAGGGAACTCAAAGAATCATTTCTTTCAATTGCTGCAGCGCCTAGGTGACCACTGCCAGCGACTCAGCCCAGTCGGATCGCTGTTCTCTGCAAACAATTGAATCAGCCGATTGATGGTACTGCGCATCTTATCAAGTACCGAATCCCTCATGATGAACCCTTCTATTTGGAGTTTCCCTCCCAAAGGCTTCGTCGGTTCATTGCTTACCCCAAGGTTTTCAGCTGTACAGTATCTACCGAGCAGTCAGTGACCAGCATTTGATCGGGTAACTCGAAGTCGATTGTAGCTTTGAGACCAAAGGCGTGGGCTGGGATCGGATCGATGGGAGACGGCAACATTTGGGTCTTGCTGTTGGGCTACGCCATGCTTAGCGCAGGTGACTGTCGTTACTTCAAGATCAAAGATATGTGATATTTGTTCGCACGTCCAGCACTGTGGTTTCTCGACAGTTGCCCGACAAAAGGTAGTCGATCTGTTGCAGAACATCCGCATGTTCCAGTAATCCACTGCCAGTGGTGGGGCTAATGGGCTCTTGAGGATTTGTCTAATCAAACTTTGTCGGCATGGCATGACGCTCCCTTCTCCAATCTCGAAATGACCTACGCATTATGTTATTGCTTCTATCCCAACATGCGTTTCGAGCTTCGTTATTGGATCGCATGTTTTTCACAGAATAAGCATATACATACAGAAGAACGTGGGAACACATGAAGACGAAATTATCCAATGCAAGAAGAACTAAAGAAATTTATTTCTCACCAAATATGTATCTTCCCTTTAGTACGTACCATCCATGCTGCTTGACCCATCCGCCCCCCTTCTGCGACCTCGAGGAACTGCCTAGTACGGGTATGCAGACCACATCCACCGCGTTTCATCGAAAACATAACCCTGCGAACGAAGTATGTGCCATCTTTCATTGTTACTCTGCACCTCATCGAGAACACCCCTAAAAGCTCCCTTCCCGCACAGACGTCGAAATATAGAGGCTTCACACTCACCAGACAGCCGACCTGGAGGCCCGTTCAGCAACTCCGGAGTGAAGCGGAGGGTTGAATGACGTATCACGTAGAGGTAAGACTCCCGGAAGGACAGAGTTCGGATCGCTGATGCCAGTGGCTCAAGTTCAGTATCCGATTCTGTTTCAGACCAGCACACCGTCCTTGTATCTGCTGGCACTTCCGACCATCCTGTTCGCCTGAAAAGATCTTCGCGGGCCGTCCTCGCGTGGGTTATGGCCTCCTCGTTTACGTCGATTGCTGCCTTGCCCCATTGCACGAACCATTGTTGCCATTGTTGCATGAGATCCGGAGTAGCCCCTACGCTTCCCAAGTACGAGCTGAAAACATGCCACTGGTCGAGCCAGCGCTCGAATCGGTCTCCGTGGTCGCCTAGAATGGTCGCGGCGAGAAACTCAGTTCGGCAGTATGGGCAGGAGTGTCTGTTCATGTCAGATGAAAACCAAGACGAGATACAATTGGATCCGACTATGTGTCCACCTGGGCATGGTAGACGCACTGCTTCCTCGGCAGGCTCGCTATCTGAGGGTGCCGTACCGTATTCTTCGTGGCATATAATGCAGGCTTTTTCTTCGGATAGTTCTTCCTTTGGGACTCTAGGAAGTTGAGCGAGGAAGAACTCTGTCATAGTGAGATTCAATTATGGAGTCTGGAGCCTGAGTCTTTGTCAGTTGAGGCTTTGGAAGAGTGAACCACCTGGATGTCTGGAGAAAAGATGATGGTACTTAAAAGGTCAAACTTCGGAAGCGACCACAAATGCATCGTTAGCACAATGACAAGAAAGGCTTTGAAGGCTGCTTGAACGGGTACGACTGGAAGCCGAAACAAAGCCCAGCGATGTCTCCAACTTTGTTCGAATGAAAGAATGCATAGTTGTTTTGTTTTCTAGCTTCTGTTTCTCATAACCGAACGCTGAATTTCATGGAACTAGTGGCTCTTTTCGGCGCCCGCAATTCATTTCCCAAGGTTAAACTAGAATGTCACAAAACAGATTCCGAGATATGCTTAGTGGCTGTTCAAAGTCGAATTATGGTTTAGATTTCGATGACGCCTTCGCGAAGTCCACATTGCAGCCGCCTTGAGAATTCTGCACTAGTCGGCTTGATCTCATTATTTGAAGAGTAGATACAATCTTACCGCTGACCGACCTTTATCTGATATTTTGAGCATCCTTCAGGGCTCTTGGGGCGGACGTAAGGGTAAGGAAATGCGCAAATGAACACACACAAGAGATAACACAGAGGGAATTTGGATGGAAGATCGAGAACAGGGATTGAGCGACGGAACTTTGATGTATGTTACGATTCATGGGGATCATAGCGACTAGCTTTGTGACACTCCTCCTCTCTCGAAAGCTGTCGTATCCATATAATCTCCCTTGTGGTGCTTTGTCTGGCTGTCAATCCTAGACTAAGGAAATGTCGCGGCATGGACTTCTCCGGTCTGTCCTTTTCTTATGAGCGCTCTCTTTTTCTCAGAGACATAGCTAGGAGACTGACCTCAATTAATGGTCCCTATGCAGAAACTCGAGACGCTGCGGCTCTCTGCATAATGATTTTGAGAATACTATGACAAGCTTCTATTTTCTCTAGGCTATTAGGATCGTCGAGTTTGACACTCGAAAGACGTTCTTTTATCGAAGCATGTTCCGGAGTCAACTGCTCGCGACCGGCTGGATCTGTTTGGTCCAGAGCATCAACCTGGCTCATGGTCGCAGTGAGCTCCGTCTGCAAAACATCTTCAGGCCCCGAAGGCCCTTTTTTGCCATAGTCGTGGCTACCTTCGGAAGAGGTTTCGTCATAGAATTTCCAACCTGCATAGGGTTTAGTTACAGTGGTGAAGGAGATCTTTTCCATGTGTTGACCCAGATGACGTCCAAGAGTACGTGATCCCCCGGGTTTGATGGTTATACGTGAGAGACATAGGGCTGAAAATCAGTAGGCCACGAATTAGTCTACTGTGCGTCCCTGGCATTCGACTCTCTCTTGGAATTCAGCATCTCAGCCCTAGTGTGCTTGGCAACAACTATAAATAGCAGTACTCCTCCATAGAAAAACAATAAGCCGTCATCAACTTCAACACTCTCTCTAGATGTATATTTTTCTTAAAGTTAAGCAAGTAAGTAAGTAGGTCAGTAAGTAAGTAAGTAAGTAAGTAAGTAGATAAGTAAGTAGGGTATCGATAACGATAGTCTGATGGGGTATAATAGTGGTCGGGTTTGACCCTCGCGGAGTCGAAATTTCATTAACTCGGCTTTCATCTGATATTTTTAGACTAATGCAATTCTTATCAAATACGATTACAGAAACTCTCTCACTTCTATGGTTAGACAGACCGAATCGCGCATTATCTCCTTCGTAGTTTAAGCCTCTTTAATGACCTACTAAATCATACCCCATGCAATAGCAAATTACTGAATCATACCTCCTATTTGGGTCGAATTTGGTGTAGGGGTATCATTCAGTAGTTAGGGGTATGATTCGGTAAGGATTCGTACTTTCGGGGTATGATCCGGTAATCTGCCCATTCGGTAAGGGTCTATACTTTTGGGGTATGAATTAGTAATTCGCCCCGGATCCCTCTCTGTCGTTAATTTCAAGCACCTGCTCCGAAGGGTCAAATTCAGATGGACCACGTCGCGTGCCATTCCAACTAGTTGTCCGAGAGTTGACAGAGGAAGCAGGAGAAGTTGCTCTCGGCGATGAGCTGGGTTTTTCGCGAGAATGTCGACTAATAAAATAATAAGGCTTGGATACAAAGGCATGCTCGCCGCAATGCGCTAGTGTTATGTCCCTGTGGCTTTCTTGGGCAGTGTGATTGGAAATAGGGGGCAAAGCATAGGATTGACTTCTTTTCGAGGGGAGACCATTTTGAGGGCGCTACGAGTAATTTTAGCGTGTGCAGAAAACGTTGGAATACTTGGCACTGAGATTCTCACACACACCCCACCAAAAGTAGTACTGAGTAGATGAATCTTCTCCCATATCGCATTCTACCACCTTCCTCATCATATTTGAAGCTCCTGTATATCTCGCTTAGCCGATCCTTGGTGTTTTGCCTTAGTGTTTCGAAATGCCTCCCAATCGACGCAGTCAGGGGCCCCCCCCCCTACCGACCTCCCCTCCGGCCAGACAGTCCAAGAGGCCTAAGAAGGCGTCCTCCCGTGCCCAAGCGATTGCTGAGGATAGCCAGCCGGGCCCCAGCAACAGTCAGCCAAGCGCAGCTACCCCCGCTCCCAGACCTGAAGGCCCTCATGCCAAAGCCGCCCGTGAACGTGCGGCCCTGGAAGACAATTGGCTAAGCGAGATATACAGGAGCTTCAAATATGATGAGGAAGGTGGTAGAATGCGATATGGGAGAAGATTCATCTACTCAGTACTACTTTTGGTGGGGTGTGTGTGAGAATCTCAGTGCCAAGTATTCCAACGTTTTCTGCACACGCTAATTGTAGGGCTGAGTGGGCTTGGCAGCATAACCTTTCCATACATTACTTGTTTGAGTACCAGGTCCTAACAGTGGGAGGGTACTGTGTTCGGTAGCGATCTTAATCTTCACAGAAGTGCTGTCAACCTGATTTTGACCATTCTATCTCCCAAATACTGAAAATGTGCTACGCTATTAGTTTCTTTGCCATCGGCCTACAAAGTGCAATCCCATACAATGGATCCGCAAAATCAGGCTCCTCGAAAAACTCAGCCTTAGAAAGGTTCTATCGGTTTGTCAAATCCAAGCATGCGATCGTGGATCAGACCTCGGGCCTTCTCCACCTCTTGCAACACTTTTCCAGGCTCCTGAACCATCACCTTCTCCTCGACATCACCGTTTGTGAGATAATTTTTCATGACCACCCTAGTCGCCATCTTGCCGTTGGGGAGTGTGATGCGTTCTGCAGCCGTTGTTTGACCCAAAAAGTAAGGACGCTCAGGGACCTTGGTCCAGAGTGTAGGCCGGTCTGGCGGAAGCTGCGGAGAGCTACTCCCAATAACGCTTTGACGGTCATCCACCGGTTCGGCTGGAGGCTGATCTGATACCTTGTACAAAGGTGGCCCAGGGCTTCCTACCCCCAAGGGTTTTCCTTCTTCGAAATGCTCGCTTAGCTCACGTTCGGTACAGCCAAAGCCACCGGAGTCTTCTGAAGCTTCTAAATCCTTGCCTAGACGAATGAAAGCTCCGTGTTCGGTGTCTTCTAGTGTAGATTCCCAGCCCCTCAACGCACCGCCGGTGATAAGAGACGCCATCCATTGGCCCCGATCTTTGTGTCTACTAGCCGACCAATCTCTGCGGGTTTCTTCCATGGCCTTGAAGGTCATGGCGACTGCGACGCGAAGCTGCATCATTTCTCGCATCTCGTTGACCGTCTGGTCCAGCCAGGAAATGATGGAAGAGTCTGTCTGATATTCCGGAGACTTGGCGTTGCTGAGAGTTGTCTGCGCGAGACTAAAGACGTGGGCATCTCGTGTATTCAACTTGTTGATCTTTTCGATGCAGTGATTTGCCCTTTCCCAACTGAGTTTTGCAGCAACAGCCTTTTCTTGCTTCCTACTTTCATAGCTAATCATTTCGACACCAGACTCCAGAGCGAGTAAGTCTTCGAAAGCGTTGCGCCAATCGCGCTTTGGGAGCTCCTGCTCAACCCGAAATGGAGAGTATGGACTTCCTACTATGTATCCGACAGGCCATAACTGTGGACTCAACTGCCATTCCTTCATGAACTGGCGCAGTCTATCACCGTATGCTACGTTCTCTGTGTTTTGAGATGGCTCGAGAACAGAATTCTTGCATTTATCGCAGAGCACTGAGCCTGGATCTGGGCCTGAAGACGGCCCAGGACCAGATGTAGACGCCATAAGAATGGCCGGAGCGCCGAGCGGTCAATTACAATAGGAAGTTGTTGGAGATGACATGGAGAGTATCACATACTGTCAACGCGCACGACTCCGAAGTTGAGTTATTGACGAGATTCAAGAAAATACATGAATAACAGAGAAAAAATCGCTCTCGCGTCGACGCCGATCTCCCGCTCTAGTTGATGGGGGTTGCCTAGCCAACATGACTAGTGGGCCTTGGCCACAGTAGATATCTGGCCTTGCACCAGCCTTACATAGTTCAGTTATCCTTCTACCTCTGGACAGAAAATAAAAAGCACCGCAACACCATTCTACCAGCGCCATTAGGAATCGAACCTAATACGAACTAAATATCTCCAACATGGCCCTTGGTTCTTTTTTTCTCTCCCCCGGGGAAAAAAAAATCGGACGCCAAGACATGGGTCCAGGTAGGCCTCATTGGTTTCCTTTCTTATTATTTCTTATTTAGATATTTAATCGTTAATAGTCCTTACTATCTAATAATATAGCGAAGAATATCGCGGTTATTATAAATCTATAATAGATTATTAGCGTCGATTAACTACGTAATTAGATCGATAAGAAGTCTAATTAATTTCTTATTATACTCCGCGACCTTCGCTATTAACGAGATTAGTTTCGAGATATAGCTAAATAGTATATTAACTTTAAAACTGAGAAGGATAAGATAGTAAACTAATAAGATAAGGCTTAATAACGCTTAAAGTAAGTTAGTATTAAGGTCGAGAAGCTATAAGAATAGAATAGAGAGCTTCGATAATAGCTAATAGTAATATAATTAAATATACTTAGAAATCTATAAATCACCTCTAAAATACAAGCGTTAACTCTAATAAAGCCCGTTTAAGTTTTATACTCTATCTATAGAAAAGAGAAGTCTATTAAGCTATCGAATTCTCTCTTCTTTATTAACGATAAAAACCCCGTATAAGAGAATTAGTTAGTTAAAATAAAGGAAAAGTTATTAGATAATAAGAATTACTATCTTATCGAGACGTTTTAGATTATTTATCTCCTATTACGTATAGATAGAGAAGCGATTATTTATACTCTAAATAGAAGACGTAGAGGTATTATAAACCTCTATACGTTAGTTAGCGAGGTTATAAATCAACTAACTAAGATCTATAAAGAGATAAATCGTCGTAAAAAAGTAAGATATAATTATAATTCTCTTTAATAGATAACTTAGCCCTTTAATAGATTTTATATAGAACTTATTAGACTCGGTTTCATACTTAACTATAACGAAATCTATTTGAGGAATAATTTAAATATTAAGCTACGAATATATATTCGACTTTACTTTATTTTTATAATTCTTTCTAATTATAAGTCTATATCTCTAAAAGATATTAAGAAATATCTTATAAATAATAATAACTTATAGTGTATAGGCTATAAACTATATCTAGCTTAAATCGTCGATAAAACGACTTCTAAAACTACTATAACTCGGATAAGAAAAACGATTACCGTTATAATCGAGGATTATACATCTTTCACTACTAAATCGAGTACTTATACCTCAAATACCTTTTAGAGTATATCGAAAGCGATAGCCGATATAGATTTGAGGAACTTAATATATTTTAATTATAGAAAGACGAGCTATATAAAGCGTAATTATTTAATATAGGGATAGATTAACGCTAATAAGAAGGCCTTATAGAAGATAAAAATCTATAAATTTATTATCGATAACGAATATAAGATAAATCTACTAGCCGACGCTTATGAAGTCTCTAAAGATTTAGAAAACGAATAGCCTCTATTAAAGTCACGGTAAGGGGAACCTATAACGTATATCTATTAAATGCTTCTAATAATTCTTTAGCACGCCGTCCTTTTAGAATATAAGTAACGCTATCGTCACAGAAACGGAAATACTTACTTCAAAACGCTCTTATCGATAATGAATATACTAGAGCATATATAGTTATTAATGAGTTTCTGGTTTATAGGGTTTGCGAAGAATTGCTATTGGAACCGATTTCACTATCGAAATCTAAATCTCTGAAGGGTTACGATAGCCGGATCGCGAAGAAGCTTATTACCCACTGTCTACTTTTGATAATGATAGTAAATAATTATTAAAAGAAAATATATTCTATACTCATCGCCCCCCTTACATATAATATAATTCTAAGAAAACTATAAATGAATAAGTATGGGGTGCTCCTCGATATAATGAAAGATAAGATTCTTTTTATACCAGACCGCTGCAATCATAACGATAACGAGACCTCGACAGTAGAGGATCTCGCTATCTTACCAGATTTGAAACCGAAACCCCCTACCCTATAGGCTATCTTAAAGAAAAAACCTCCTCCCCAATCTATATATAACGACGACTCGAATATTTCTAGCGAATTAATTAATGAGAAGAGGTTAATATCTACTTCTCGAGACGTAAGATAAAAACGAGATATAGATTTATAATCTATTAATATCGTCGAAATTAGTATTATATTATACTATCAACAAGTAAAGGCCCATGAATTAAATTCATGGAGTTGGATTTTTCATTTTTCTAAGTCAAATGGAGTTGGATTTTTCTAAGTCAAATCGAATTTTAGCCCTAGCCCTAAGTCAAATCGAACTCTGATCGCTTGCTGTGCGTTTTTGACCTACTTCCACCACTACAAAATTGATTTAATCTATGTGGTATACAGGCATATATGTGCGGAGAGAGGTACGCTAAGGCCTGATTGATCCGTAATAATTGCCCACAAAAAATAGAGAAAGGCCATGTTCTTATGGCAAGAAGTATCGAAATACCGGAAAGAAATGGAGACAACGTGCTAATTAGTGGTGTGAATCTCACAATATCTCCTGCCGCAGTGAAATTTTTCGAATAATGAAATAGCTGTAGACATCGGATGGTTTTAATTCGTTTAAATATGCATTGGAGAGCATATGACGTGGGATCTTGGAGAGCTGAGCCGTGTTCTTGGTGCTGGGGGCCTTGTTGCCGCTTGGTTTCTCCGCAGTGTTCTCCGCATTTGCCTGTTGTAGTTCCTCCTCTTGCTCCTCCTCTTGTAGAGTATCAGACTGAGTGGCTAGCTGAGTGGCTGACTGAGTGGATGACTGATATGACGTGGGATCTTGGAGAGCTGAGCCGTGTTCTTGACGATGGTGGCCTTGTTGCCGCTTGGTTTCTCCGCAGTGTTCTCCGCATTTGCCTGTTGTAGTTTCTTCTCTTGCTCCTTCTCTTGTAGAGTATCAGACTGAGTGGCTAGCTGAGTGGCTGACTGAGTGGATGACTGATATGACGTGGGATCTTGGAGAGCTGAGCCGTGTTCTTGACGATGGTGGCCTTGTTGCCGCTTGGTTTCTCCGCAGTGTTCTCCGCATTTGCCTGTTGTAGTTCCTCCTCTTACTCCTTAATGCAGTGGGGATGACAGGCTAAGTTGCAGTGGTGTTCTCCGCTTGCTGAGTGATGATTTGATGTGGAACCGTGGAGAGCATGATGTGGGATCTTGGAGAGCTGAGCCGTGTTCTTGGTGCTGGGGGCCTTGTTGCCGCTTGGTTTCTCCGCAGTGTTCTCCGCATTTGCCTGTTGTAGTTCCTCCTCTTGCTCCTCCTCTTGTAGAGTATTAGACTGAGTGGCTAGCTGAGTGGCTGACTGAGTGGATGACTGATATGACGTGGGATCTTGGAGAGCTGAGCCGTGTTCTTGACGATGGTGGCCTTGTTGCCGCTTGGTTTCTCCGCAGTGTTCTCCGCATTTGCCTGTTGTAGTTCCTCCTCTTGCTCCTCAATGCAGTGGGGATGATAGGCCAAGTTGCAGTGGTGTTCTCCGTTTGCTGAGTGATGATTTGATGTGGAACCGTGGAGAGCATATGACGTGGGATCTTGGAGAGCTGAGCCGTGTTCTTGACGATGGTGGCCTTGTTGCCGCTTGGTTTCTCCGTAGTGTTCTCCGTAGTGTTCTCCGCAGTGTTCTCCGCATTTGCCTGTTGTAGTTCCTCCTCTTGCTCCTCCTCTTATAGAGTATCAGACTGAGTGGCTAGCTGAGTAGGGGCTCTTTTTGAGGGCTTTTCAACGCGTTTATGAGCAGTAGTAGGTAGCTGTTAGGCTCGCTTGCGGCCTCGATTGCCAGTAGTAGCGGATTCGCCGAGGGGTAGCCTGAGAACGATGTTCAGGATCTAATACGCGTTGAGAGGTTTTAAAATAGGGTGATGAAGAATGGGTAGGGGAGGAAGACGCGTCTTGGGAGGGCGTCAGTAGGGGCTCTAAGAGGCGGGTAAAGGGGTATACATGCCTTAGACGTCGAGTAACCTTTGGGCGAGGAGTACCGAAGACGATTGTGTTTATATTGGTGGAATTGGTAGAATTAATAGAATTGATAGAATGGTGGAAGAAGAATGGTTACACAAACAGGTGGAAGGATTATTATCCGATCCCGGACGCGTCTGGTGTAACTATCATTGAATGTCCATTTAATTCATTAATAGTAGGCCAAACTTCATAATTTTTACAGCGTTAGAAAGCGCAAAGCGAGCTTTACAATTTGAGGAATTATGAAGTAACTGTAAGTATCGCAAGCTGAGTACTTCAAAGTGTAAAACTTCTACACACAAATTTTTGATGAGGGAGCTCGGGAGGGCTAGCGGGCTAACTCAGCCGGTCTAACTAAAGAGCGTAGTAACCCTGAATTGATGATTGGCTGCACATACAAATTCAAGGTTTCCAAGCTCAGCCCTACCTTATTCTTTTATATATACTGATTAGCGCGTAATAAGGAAAACCAACTATTTATTCTTATTATAAACGAGATCTATAACTCGCTATTAAAAGAGTTATCTCCTCGAAAGAAACTACGTAATTCTCGCGTATCGGTTAATAAGCTATATTCTTATAACTTAGAAAAGAAGTATAAGAGGTACTGTAAATCGAATTATCTTATTTAAATTAGCGCTATCAAAATCGTTAGCCCTAAAGATATTAAACGAAAACTCTCTATCGAGTATTAC